AAGTTATATATAGATTCTGTGTTGACCAGATCTCGATGTATGACAGCAAATAATATCTTCCTATTACATTAATAAGATGACTTTTACTTTTCTTAAAACAGTAAACTTTGACTTGGCTTGGCTTCCCACGCAAATTGTGTTTAACAAAGTTTCTGATTTTAAATGCTATTTCAGACTTAAAACAAAAACTTTACAGAACACAGTTTTTCTTGGTTTATACAAAACAATTACCATGCATTATCATTTAAATTTAACACGCACATTGCAGAAGAGGAAATATTTATACACAGATTCTATTTTCCATGCACATATTTCACCATGATATACCGTAGTATAAACTAATTAAAACATGGCCTGAAGGTAAGTCGATCACTCACCAATGATCACCTCCGATTATTTGTCATTTATTCACTTAGTACATGTACGGAAATGCCGTATTTATACAGTAATAGGTCTGTATACCATATCCATATTGTACAAAGCTTTTGTGCACGAGCATATTAAAACATATGTAAGTGCATTTACTATTAATGTTTTGCACGTTCTAAGCTCGAAATTACTTTTATAAGTCATCCAAATAACCTCTCCTTCAGTGTTAAAATTGTTAATGTAAACGTACGTAGCAGAATTAAGTCATTAACGTAAACTTACGTACTCTTGTTCGTAGCAGAATTAAGTCGTTAAATCCGCAAGTATGCCTCAGAAATTATATTTTTTTCTGTAGAAAGGGCAAACACATATTTTATATGTTTAAGTATGAATTGTAAGAACATGTGAAATGTTTAAAACCAGAAGAAAATTGCAATGGAAATTAAATCATTTGTGATTACGGTAGCTAAACATAAACAAAATGGTATTTTAAAATTCATACAAAGTACTAATAAAAACATTATAAATGTACTAATTACAAAATGCAAAGGAAGCAAAAGATATGGCGAAGGTTTATAGCGAACAGTAACAGGTTTTTGAAATTACAAATGCTTGCGTTTTTTAGGCTTAATGTGCATTTAACGTTAGAGAACGCACCAAATGTTAAACAAGATGGGAAACGAGAAAGCTATTAGAAAAAGGTTTTCTGAATGATCATGAACTTAATTCAGTTGGGTCTTTAATTGTCACAGGTTTTCTATATACCATTATCAACACAGGCGCATTTTAATCGTTCTCTAATTGTTTTGATGAACCAAGAGTGAATTCGAAACGAAATACATATACATTTCTAACCCCCCTCAAATTAAAACATAAATGTCAAAATTTGTTGTAGATGTGTAGTATGATGTATTGAAGCTAGAAAACCTCAAAACATGATGTACAGGTCGTGAATCATGGAGGAAAACAGTTGTCACCATCTATCTATTGTAACATCATTAACATTCAAAACATTATACAATGTATATGATCATTCATCATTTATGTTTTAATTTTTACAATTCATTCATCTATGAAATGTATTATTAAATATATTAATGAAATATTCGATAATAACCAAAAGAGCAACAGGTTTAATTTAGACAGCAGTTTTCTGGAACAATTTTTCTTCTTAAATACCTGTACGTACATTTGCATAATTATGAAGTACCAATGTTTAGTTTTGATTAAACACTAGGGCTTCAAATGTATTTAAACGGTAGTTAAAATGTGCACGATTCGAGTGTATTCAGAATCAGAAATGTATGTAAATTTACAAAAAACCGGTCTTCCATTTGAACAGAATTACATTTTAATTGTCAAATTGAAGTGGGAAAAATGCATGTACAGTAGTGTCCCACCATACGAGCACCCCGTTTTCACGACCATTCTGCTAATAAAACTAAATTATCATAGACATATTTTCTTCTTCTTATTTCAATGGTCTTTTTATCCAAAATTGAGACCACCAGACCATTTTTCTTCAGAACAACGCGGGGTTTTACTGTACAACGTACATAGACGTATGCATTTCTTTCACTTGTCTAGAAATTGTGTTCCTGTTGAAGTCAGGGTAGATACTAACATATATGACTTTTATTAATTTACAAAATTAAAATAATATTTATGACATGAGCCTCCCCTAACTGCCTTCAACATGGAAATCTGGCTTTCAATTCAATAAATTTAACACATCTAGAAAATAAAGTACTTTATTTTTTGTTAAAAAGAGAGCCTGTCCATTATCATCATCATCATCGTCCATGTCGTCGTCGTTATCATCATCATCGTCGTTATCATCATCATCATCATCATCGTCGTTATCATCATCATCATCGTCGTTACCATCATCATCATCATTATCATCATCATCATCATCATCATCATCATCATCATCTTGATAAAAATAACTGTATCTTTATACTAGTATCATTATAGTACACTGATAACCATTATCATATCATTTATGAACTAGTGTCATCAGTTACATCATCAAATTTACCATCATCATCATCATTTGAATCATTAGCATCGTCCGCATTGCTTAATAGTTGGGTGTAACAGTTTGTGTTGGGACTTTTTTGGGGTGTCCGCATACCTACTGTATACTGTAATGTGAATTTCTTCCGGTTTGTCATTTATTATCCGAACCAAACGCTTCAATCTCCTGGTTTGTGGTTAAGTTAAAATATTTTTTCTCAAACCAAAAACCAAAATTAGTAATTATCACATGAGATAAGTATATATAATATCTGACTAATGTCGGGATCGGAATTTTTCATTTTTATTGAAAAAAAAATAGCCGTAAATGTGTTAATGAAATGATATAAGGAAAGTAAATCTGTCAAACTGAACGCTATATTTTATGATGTTTGGGACAACTGTATATCACAGAACTGTCAATATATCGACAAATTCAGTGTCCAAAGTGATTGATTGAGGTCACTCGTTCACAATTTTTGATTTCTTTTTTTTTGTATCAGTTATTTATGCTATTGTTTTATGTAATATTTACCTCATTGTGAACTTGTCTTTGACGATGCAAAAAATATTCTCGAATGTATACCTATACATGTAGGCCTTATATATTGTACGTAGAATATATTTTTGTGATAAAATGAAAAGTGCTATATCGCAGTTATAGCGAAAGCGTAAAAGTTCTTTTTTTGCAACCTTATTTGAGCCGCGTCATGACAAAACCAACATAATGGGTTTGCGACCAGCATGGATCCAGACCAGCCTGCGCATCCGCGCAGTCTGATCAGGATCCATGCTGTTCGCTTACAAACTCTATTACAAGTAGAGAAACTGATAGCGAACAGCATGGATCCTGATCAGACTGCGCGGATCCATGCTGGTCGCAAACCCAATTTCTTGGTTTTGTCGTGACGCGGCTTATTTGTTGTTGCTGCTGCTGCTGTACCTTTGTTGCCTATAATCAAAAAGAAGTTTGAAAAATACCGCTAAAAGTGCCCATGATTCATCCCTTTAAAAATACCGAATGTATCACTGCGCTAACAAAAATGATATTATGTTTTTGCACGGCAATAAAATTTAAACAATGAATACTCAATTAGAATCTATTTGTTGCCTTCTTTGGCATATTAAACACATGCTCGTACTTGTTTTAACCAAGAACTTACAAATAGTTTGAATGACCCTGTTTTAACTTAAAACATATTAGAAAATATCTTTGAGAAAAATACATTTGGCACATTTTTTTTGTGAGGTTTATTTAATACTTTTGCTTTATGCTATAAAAGTGCAGAATGGATCTTCCTAACATAATGATATCAGGAAAAAATAACTTAATATAGTAATTTTTTATGAGTTTAATACAGGGTGAGATTTAGTGGAAAGCTTGGCATAATTATTATGCATCAACGAATGAATTGAATTGTGGAGATAACTTTCTTTTAAATTCCTCATATTTGCATGCTTACATGTATAGAGAGAAATAAAGATTATGTTTTTATAATAAACACACGTTCTCGAAAAAAAGGCCGCAGAGTTCATAATTATAATTTAATGGTCAAAGAATATTAATGGATGTCAAATATAACATAAATATTTACTTTAATTACTTAATTCATCAGGGCTGATTAAAAAGGTCAAACGTCACTCAGATTTCACTGTTATGATTAATCGATTATTGATGATTGATTTGGTATACCGTATTATACATGCACGAATTCTAGAAAATGGTCAGTACGGTTTTAGCAACTAAACATCGGACCGAAAAGAAACGCAACATGAGCCGTGTCATGACAAAACCAACGTAATGGGTTTGCGACCAGCATGGATCCAGACCAGCCTGCGCATCCGCGCAGTCTGATCAGGATCCACGCTGTTCGCTATCAGTTTATCTACTTGTAATAGGGTTTGTAAGCGAACAGCATGGATCCTGATCAGACTGCGCGGATGCGCAGGCTGGTCTGGATCCATGCTGGTCGCAAACCCATTATGTTGGTTTTGTCATGACACGGCTCAGTCATATTCTAAAAATGTTTGGTAGCTTCGTGTTTCGACAGGTTATAAAGTTTACAAAAATATATATATATATCCATTTATAAAACAGACCTAGAAGATTTATCGCTATCATTAATATATTGTAATATCTTTCTGAACATACTGCAAAAATATTATATTATACCAATAGATCAAACTTTTGATATGTTTGATTCTGAAAATGACAGGGCAAACGGAATACGTTCTCATAATTTTGACCAGTTATTTGGGGAAACATACCTTGTTATTTGTTTAACCGCGTGTATAACATATGTTAACATTAGATTCGATGTCATAATTTCGTTCATTCCCATATTATTTTGGTCAGTTTTTTTTATCGTAAACAAGTTGAATGTCATCTTAAAGTTCACATCAAATTATATAAATATATAAACGTTTTCATGACGGTTTCGGTCAATCTTGATGAGCACTGATAGAAAGGTAAACTGTGCATTTTTGCAATGTTCGGCTGTTATTTAATGGTTGTAAAATTGAATTGTTGTGTAATTTATTTATTTTTTGCGTATTCTGACGATACTGCCGGTTTTTGTTGTCGGTGTAGGAGGAACAAACTAACTGATTCGTCATTGTTTAATCATCTTTATTGCAATTTAAATTAAATTTTGAAATGGTGACGATGACAGTAAAATATTCATATGATAATTAGTGTACATGGTGCATAATTTATTCTTATCATGCTAATTATAAACAATAATGGAAAATGTAGTCAAATGACACTTTGGATTGAAAGGAAGGATGTTTAGGAATAGGTAAAATACAAATGTAATATAAATATAGAATTAATAATATTATAATAGTGTCGCCAATATAAAAAAGATAAAAAGATAACAACGTTTTCTCAAGGTATGTCATTAAAAACTTTATACTAATCTGTTTGATTAATCAATATTACAATATGCAACATGTTTTAGTTGAAAAAAGATATTATAAGAGAAAATACCGCCAAAATTACACAACTGTAAGTCGCTAGTGTTTTTTATTGTACAATGTTAGCGTGTATTATTTTATGTGGAATGCTCCAACCATTGCCAAATCTCAGCCAATTGTCTAAATCATTCTTTTTTTGCTTCTGTTGTCTTTTCGCAGCTAGTACCGTACAGTTATGGTGATTTAGTATTGTGTACGAAAATACCTCTTTGTTTACATTTTGCCACTTTTATGACAAATAATTTCACATTCAGTGCTATTTTATTTCGGTAATAAGCATCTAATATGCTCTAGACCCACGATCTTAACGTTATAAATCCAGCGTTTCCTTTTCTAAGGAAGGAAATATTATATTCGTTTCTGAGACAAAATGTACCTTTAAGAAGCAGCTATACTGCGAGTTGTCTTTTAATAAAACCATTTTGACACTGGTCATTTATCTGTATGTCAAAATTTAATTACCAGCGATGCATTGGCCAGTTGAAGGTTGATAAATGACGATGACGTATGGTCATTTTAGATATATCATATGTGCGAACCCAAAAGGTCATCTCACACGAAGAACGGTCAGTTAAATTGGAATAGATATCATATATGAACATATCTAAAGCTGAAAAGCTATCTATGACACACGTGACACTTGAAAATTCCTTTTTTTGTTGATTTAAGTGCTCTTGACAAGCTGTTTTCCGATTTAGTGTTACATTTCACATGTGTTACAAAAGTGATTGTATTACATATCGCAGGTATGCTATAATAGTATAAATATAATATGTAGTCTATATTAAATAAAGTGTTAAGAAAAATTACCTACATTATTATTATCAAATAAGAAACTTTACACTCATTACTTAGAACTGGTTGGTTCATTGAACCATGGTTCGAGGAACGGATTCCAGAGAATGTCTGGTCTACACAATGGAACTTGAAATAAATTCTGTATAAACTAATATATGTATCATCATATTAAAAATAGAGAAAATCATATTAATTCAAAACATGAATAGTTTAAGAATATATAATTATACCACACGAAAATAAAACAACAACAAAACAACACTGTGTAACATAATTATCAAAATCGATGTATGTTAAAAAGTAATGCATTCCGAAAAACGTATTAAGTGATCGCAATATGTTGCTCAATTATTACATGTACTTAACATATGGCTTTTTTTTCCAGGTCAATGATGTGGTACCAGTTGCTCGCTGTACTTCCGTTCTACTGGCTACCCGGTATTTCCGGCCACGGTCGACTCATTGACCCTCCATCAAGGTCATCAATGTGGAGATACGGTTTCAAGAACCCTCCAAACTACGACGATAACCAACTTTACTGCGGGGGTGTCCAGGTGCTCGAACACTTATTTGTTTTATTTGGTATTTTTTGTAGTTTTATGATTAATCATATAGGAAAGTCTGTTTTACTTCACGCTATAATGTGATGAATGTTATCACATTACATAAATCTTCTGTCATCCTACTTGTTTATTGTATTTAATCATACTTAATAATGCTACAAAGTGCTTTTACGATTCATCTCGAATATTTTGTAACGGTGAAATTTATTTTCTGTAATTTCATTGCCTATTAAAAAGGTGCTCAACCCCGATTTTTTTTATCTAAAATTGCCAAGTCTATGACATCTGACGGGAAACTCCGAAAGCCTTATATAACTTAAATACTTTACATTAAATATCTTCTTTTTTTCCTCAACGAATGAAAACTTTTGAGCAACATGTATATGGAATAATTCCCATAAATATAATATGCTAATGGTTAATTTGATTAAGATAATATTATTCCAAGCGATAAAATTGATAGTGCATAAATATATATTAAGAAATTATTTAGATTAATTCATCATATCATTCATTTTTATATAAATTTCTAAATAAATTGTTCATTATTGATAGAGGGTACCGAATTAACTGTTTATAATAATCTTATTATAATGTCAGGTTCAATATGAGAGAAATGGCGGGAAATGTGGCGTCTGCGGAGATCCATGGAATGGCCCTCGGCCTAATGAGCCGCCAGGAAAATATGCGAACGGAATAATTGTGCGAAAATATTCCCTAGGAGAAGTAATCACAGTCGTTATAGAACTTACAGCCAATCATAAAGGCTGGATGGAATTTAAAATATGTCCCAATGACGATCCAACAAAAACTGTGACGCAGGAGTGCTTAGACCGGCATGTGCTTCCGCTAGCAGAAACTAGATCTCAAAAATATTTTGTCCCTAATAAAAATGGATATCAAAAACTAAGGATAAAACTCATGCTTCCTCAGAATGTCAAGTGTAAAGCATGTGTTTTTCAGTGGATGTACAACGCCGGAAATAGTTGGGGAACTGATAAAATAACCGGAAGAGCTTGCGTCGGCTGCGGAAACCAAGAACAATTTTACGGTTGCGCAGACATTGCAATCGGATATGACGACATTAGTGTAAGTTCCCATAAGAAACTTCCGGCGGATGAAGAGGACGAAGAACGTGACGATTATGACAATGTCCCGGATATCACACATTGGCACTGGACTGCCAAGCCCAGTATAACTCCTGAGTGGAAAACCAGTACTGATAAACAAATGCAAACTATTAGTAAAGGGACACAGTCTTTTAGCTTTATGCCTGTGATGAACAACAATGGAATGAATCCATGTATGTGTATTTGTAAAAAAGCGCCTTTGAAAATGAAAGGTGGCCAAACGGCAGACGGGATAGAAGCTCAGTTCTTTGAAAATCTAGACGGACAGGAAAATCAAGTATGCATGTGTATGTGTCAAAATAGTGCTAGTAACTATAGTTTTTCGTTTTTGTTCACAATATGTGCCTTTATATTAACTCGTGCATCTAGCCTGGTGTTTTAGTACAATGTTACAATGTGTGAAAAAAGAAAGGGTGCCATATCACGGCTGCAAGGTCCTCTTCATAATATGAAACGTGTCTAACACGTGCTTATATCATTCGGTTGATAAGCGTACACGCGCTGTATGCTGTCTGCGTCTGATGCTTTACATCTTGGACAAAGAAAGTATATTTTTAAACCATCACAAATGCGACCTATAGAATTCAAAGTGGAAATCATAATATAGTATGTGTTAAACACGTGCTTGGAACGCTAGATGTTGGTTTTGAGGCAGACCTGTCAGTATCTGTACATATGCCTCTTGACAGAAAGTTAGTCAAATATCACAAATGTGACATCATGATAAAAAGGTGTATTACAGGAGTATTTTTATCATCACTTGCTGCTATGTTAATTCTTGAAAAAAAAACCCAAACAGAACCCACCGAGTTATAACAAATGTGATCTATTCTTTGCCTTTACGAAAGACGTTCGAGGTCCTGTGACTGGTCATACGTGTGGAGTCCTATTTTCTATGTACAATCTATTTGTTTAGCATAACCGAAAACTTCATTTTGTTATATATGATAATAACTGATTTATATATTTTACTTGTATTGCATGGATGTACCACCATAAACGTATGTCATAGATTCAAATAGCAACTCTCGAAATTTGACAATTTACATAACTTGTTAAGATATTTCATTAAATTTTTACTAATTTAGTCGCACGAGATTTAAAAGTCAGATCTCTGTTACGTGATTGTTGTTTCACGAGTGTCAGCAGCTTTTTGTCTTATACTACATTTTTAGTAAGTTTGGTTGTCCCTTTTTTGCTCACGTATGAGATGAAATTTGTTAAATGTACGACAAATGCAGTGATTAAGGCTCATGAGTTTTTATAGTATAAACCAGGGATGTCTTTATTACATATTTATAGTGGAAAACATTTTAACCACAACATACATATTTGTTTACCATTTCACAATTATAAATACATGGTAACTTTGATAAGATGGCCGAGATAAAAAAAGAAGAGAAATGCGTAATGAAAACAGTAAAACCCTCATAAAATGAGCTTATAAATGCATTATAAAACCTTTAAAATCAAATGTAAGTAGAACTGATGTCGATAAGTTTGTTGAGGCATCTCGGTGGACACATGATGTTGCAAACAGTGGCATTCTACACTAAACTGTAATGCTTATTTTAAGATTTTTAACTAATTGAAGAATGAACGGTAACGTACATTATATAATGAGAGGTCAATGGTGAATGTTCTGAACATAAATATATACAATACTAAATATAAGCTAATTTTCCTCGGACACGAAGAACTTGTTGCCAAGTTATTTTTAACGATTAATCGACACTGTGTTGACAATCTCTTGATGTGTATCTTTCTTCAACAATTACTATATACAGTAGTTTATATTGAATTAAATGTAAGAAATAATATATTTATAATTGGAAATATTCGCTACATAAGAATCTTTTCCAGCTAGATTAATTAGAAATTTACTTGATAAAACTTACATCCCATGCACATGTAAGAAATAAATATGAAGATCTGAATTTTAGTCAGATTGCATCCCAAACTACAACATTTTATGTAACGTCCTGCTTTATTACAAATTCCGTTAATGGCTGGGAGAAATGTGAAAGTGTAGAGAATATGTGTTAATATTGTACCGTGGATTATTCAATAAATCCACGTATTAAATGATTATTGAAATACTTAAAATATTGTTGTTAATTTTTATAGCAAATAACTTTTATAGCAATTAACTTTGATATAATGATATTGAATCCAATAAATTTATTTAATGTCAGTTGAGTGTTGGGCTTTTTATTTTTCGAACGCCACAGCGTTTCAAGTTCGTTACAATCTTCCTGTAATCATATTTCAAACTCATGCAATTATATAGTTTTCATTCTTTACATATAATATTATGTCTACGTAACTGTGGCACGGGCATTTAAACTTTCATTTGTAATATTTTCTTATTTTCATTTGTAATATATTTTCTCAAGATGGTAAAAGTTATCAGTGCGGTAGGTGCATCGAAATAAAACAACTTTTAATGACACACAGGAAACGTAATTTAAAACCAAATTTAGCCCATCAATTCAGTGCAATTTTACATTATACGAGTCTATGAACTCAATATTGAGTGACACAACAGATCAGGTTTACTTGCAAAAGTCAGTATTTATAGTCCAATTTGGTCATGGTGAATCTTATTTTATCCTGTAACTGCGTGCCAATAATAAAAAAAACTTTGTCGATGCATCTTCCGCATAAATAACTTTTTTTTATCTTGAGAAAATGTTGAAAATGTTTAAAGTCTTAATTTTGCATAAAAGTACGCTACGAAACACTGGATTTTTTTATCAGAATGTTAGCCGTTTTCAGAGAGTTTCTTCCAGCATTAGCATCGACCGGGCTAGCTTGGACGCCTGTAATATTCTCGACCAAGACACTTTTAGCTGATATTTGGCTTGCGTGACCCCAATTTGACCAACGTCTATATATGTATAACTCGAAAAACCTTCATTTATTTTAAACTTGAAATATCTCGAGCAAAAAAAAAAAAAAACAACAAACCAACAAACAAAAAAAAGAAGAAGAAAAACAGAAAAAAGAGGAATATCATTTTTACGTAATTTGCCAAAGCTTAAACAGAAAGTTTCTGATTTAATAAAGCGAAAAAAAAAGAGTAAAGCGTCCCGTGTTAAAAAAAACATCTATAATATCTATATACTTTAAAACTAAATCAAAATTTGTTTTGACAATGTTCTAGAATAAGATAGCTATGATAACTTTCTTTGATTGAATTGAATTGTGGTTTTCATTATATATTACGCAACACAAGCGTTGTTGATTCGTGATTTCCTGTTATCATTTACGAATCGGGGAAATACATTACTTTAACCGCCTTTGTCATCCACTGCTCGTCACGCCTATGCTGAAAAATGTTCATTTAAATAAATAAAAAACAAATAAATCGTCAATAAATGCTTTAAAAATCATAATTCATGCCGCATAATGTTAATATAAAATCAGTTCATATACGTGGTACTGACGATAAACAGGTACTTTCCCTTGAATTTTTAGAAAATATCTATGTATTGTCAACTTGAAGATGTGTATGTTTATCTTTGAGTAAATATTTTTTATTGCAGAAATTATTGAAATATAGGAAATTATTTGTCTAATATGAGTAATAAAATGCACAAACTATAATTTGGAAGTCACAATTCTTATCATTGTCAAGTAATTTTGATTCTTTCTTTCTAAAAAATAAATAGATAAATAAATAAATCCAGGGTACTGAGCAACCTCTTCTTTAAATAGCTAAAATATCACAAAGTTATTTTTGCAGTTCGAAAAGGACTGGACCCCTTCAAAATTTTGGGGGTAAAAAGGCTTAAAAAACATTATTTACAATCGGAACACCTCAACTTTTCTTCATAGTAACGTTAATCTCGAATTATATACTACAACTTGGTTGATCTTTGATAATGTGTAACGAATATACATACTTGATATTTAAAGAAAAATAAAGTCTATTTAGGTAAAAATTATGATTGAAAATAAGTCTGACAATCATAATCAATTCAAAAACGCCCACTGATGTACAATAATAACCAAATCCGAATTCATGTGAAAAGTGAAACATTTTGTACTTTCGGTTTCTGCACCCATAATAATAATTATATAAAAAGTACAATTAATAATAAGTCGTGCCAAATTCTTTAATTTCAATGTAGTTAGTAGTTAAATTGCCAAAGCTTAAACAGAAAGTTTCTGATTTAATAAAGCGAAAAAAAAAATAAAGCGTTCCGTCTTAAAAGACGCATCTCTAAAAATACATCTCTAACATCTACTTTAAAACTAAAACTAAATCAAAATTTATTTTGATCATGTTCTAGAATTAGATAGCTATGATAACTTTCTGGGATTGAATTGAATTGTGGTTTTTATTATATATTTCGCAACAAAAGCGTTGTTGATTCGTGATTTCCTGTTATTATTTACGAATCGGGGAAATACATTACTTTAACCGCCTTTGTCATCCACTGCTCGTCACGCCTATGCTGAGAAATGTTCATTTAAATAAATAAAAAACAAATAAATTGTCAATAAATGCTTTAAAAATCATAATTCATGCCGCATAATGTTAATATAAAATCAGTTCATATTCGTGGTAGTGACGATAAACAGGTACTTTCCCTTGACATTTTAGAAAATAACTTGAAGATGTTTATGTTCATCTTTGAGTAAATATTTTTTATTGCAGAAATTATTGAAATTATTTGTCTAATATGAGTAATAAAATGCACAAACTATGTTTTGGAAGTCGCAATTCCTATTATTGTCAAGTAATTTTGATTCTTTCTTTCTAAAATAAATAAATAAATCCAGGGTACTAAGCAGTTTCTCTTTTAAATATCTAAAATATCACAAGTTATTTTTTTGTCAGTTCGAAAAGGACTGGACCTCTTCAAAATTTTGGGGTAAAAAGGCTTAAAAAACATTATTTACAATCGGAACACCTCGACTTTTATTCATAGTAATCTCGAATTATATATAAGAGATAAACAAGAACAAAAGGTGTAGTAACGAATATACATACTTGATATTTAAAAAAAAAGTCTTTTAGGTAAAAATTATGATTGAAAATATGTCTGACAATCATAATCAATTTAAAACGCCCACTGATGTACAATAATAACCAAATCCGAATTCAAGTGAACAATTAAACATTTTGTACTTTCGGTTTCTGCAGCCATAATAATAATTATATAAAAAGTACAATTAATAATAAGCCGTGCCAAATTCTTTAATTTCAATGAAGTTAGTAGTTAGGACCGTCCCCGTGTACTGTGATGCCTTTTTGGCGAATGAAGGATTTTAATATGAATTGAATTTAATTCCTTACTGGTAAATATCGTTTAATGATTTATATAAAATATAAATAAATACACATCTAGAGCTTCAAAATATCTGCCAATCATATGCCTCTCAATTCAACAGTCTTGCCAAGCTCTGATTTTTATTTGAATAGGCTAAAATAGATTTAACCACAAACATTGACATGACTGTGTTCTTTTATTAACATATAGGTTGTGGTGGAATAATTATTCTGATAAATTAAATTCGGCATGTTTTGGTCATATAAGGATCATTACATCTTTAACCTTCCTTATAACTAAATCTGAGTGGCGTCGTCGGACCCCGCCCACCATTTTCCCGCCTTGAAGTCGTTGCAGCTTCTGTTTTGTTAGTCTGGAGTTCCTTCCCCTTTCGCTACGCAATAATTATTTGTTAATATTTGTTAGATGCCGGGAACCAGAATACTGTTTTGTAAAGTAACTATTATATTAACAAATTATTTAAGTATTTTTAGGCTAATGACACGACATTTTTACAGCATCAACAATGATGGCCTTTGGTATAGGGGGATATGGGACATTAGGTACATGTACCATGTCGTGTTTTCCATTTATTTTAGTATGTGGAATTACTTTGCAACCCCGCTTCGTATAACCCACTCGGCATACTGAAAGAATGTTCCTACACTGTAGCGTGTTCATGTTCATTTCAAATATTTGCCGCCAGAGTACTCTTCACGTGACGGGATTATGTCAGTGTACGCGTAGCACATGCTACACAGTGACAACAAATCCGGAAGAGGAGGGAAAGAAAGTTGGAAAATGTTCGCTGCAAAAATATTATACTTTGCTTATTTTCTGGCAACTTGTCAGAGTGCTTTTATAGGACCAAAAGATTCCAAATGTGGATACGAGGTAGGCTTTTTTAAAAAAACTTTGTCAAGATTAATTGATACTGAATAAGAAAAGATCTACTGATTAACACTTTAGGTTGTCACGCGACAATTGGTAAAGTATTAACATAGTACAATAATGTTGAGTATATTGACTTATACCTAAATAACGATGAGTAACAGTTATAGTTTTTCTAGTAATTTGTTTTAAATGAAGGAAATAAACAATTAAAAGTGTTTGGTTAAACATAAACAATTACGGCTCACTCAATTAACTAGTTCACGGTTTTATAACTACTTTCACTTTCGTTTTAATACAGTAGCTTAAATTGGCCTACTAATAATTATAACTTTAGGTATATTTGCACCCGAAGTCATATTGGCCTCTCCTTATGTCTCTGGTGTACAAGTTTAAGTGTTCAAAGTGGGTCAAAACATATGATGATATATTTCAGAGTTGTAATCCAGTGAAAGATGACATGATCAATGTCCACCTTGTACCTCATACACATGATGATGTTGGCTGGCTGAAAACTGTTGACCAGTACTACTATGGCTGTAAGATGTCATTATACTTATTTCCTTCTCAAAAATTGGATTTATTGAAAAACATTCATTTGAGTATTAAATTAACCCTTAATCTCACTGAACCATAGTTGTTAGCCTTTGTATAGCATGTCAATGCAGTCAGACCAGGCTCTGTAGATTGACTATTCCAAAATTGATGCAGGGTGATTGCATTACACAAATTCAGCAGATTTAGAATTAAGGCATATTCTGCAAAATTTGTATAATTGAATAAGAACTTTCCATAGCAAAGCGGTATAAAAGTAAAGGTGGTTTGCAGGCTGGCCGGATCTGTACTGATTGCAAATATCATTATTGCCACTAACAACCAAGGATCAATGTACTTTACTGATGAAGTATATTCATAACAAAAGCTAGTAATATGCTAGGAGCACTGTATAGCATATATAGCTAAGACCACTGCAGGCCCAGTAAGCTAACTTGATACTAAGGTAAGACCACTGCAGGCTCAGTAAGCTAGCTGGATAGCTAAGACCACTGTAGGCCCAGTAAGCTAGCTGGATAGGGAATACCACTGCAAGCCTAGTAAGGCTTGCTGGATAGCTAATATAGCTAAGACTCAGTAAGCTAGTTGTAAAGCTAAGACCACTGCCGGCCTAGTTAGCTAGCTGGATAGCTAAGACCACAGCAGGCCAAGTAAGCAAGCTAGATAGGTAAGACCACTGCAGGCTCAGTAAGCTAGTTGTATAGCTAAGCCCACTGCAGGCTCAGTAAGCTAGCTGGATGAGTAAGACCACTACAGGCTCAGTAAGCTACCTGGATAGGTAAGACCACTACAGGCCCAGTAAGCTAGCTGGATAAGTAAGACCACTGCAGGCCCTATAAGCTAGCTGGATATCTAAGACCACTGCATGCTCAGTAAGCTAGCTGGATAGGTAAGACCACTGCAGGTCCTGTAAGCTAGCTGGATATCTAAGACCACTGCAAGCCCAGTAAGCTAGTTGCATAGCTAAGACCACTGCCAGCCCAGTTAGCTATCTGGATAGGTAAGACCACTGCAGGCCCTGTAAGCTAGCTGAATAGTTAAGACCACTGCAGGCCCTGTAAGCTAGATGGATATCTAAGACCACTGCAGGCCCAGTAAGCGAGTTAGATAGGTAAGACCACTGCAGACCCAGTAAGCTTGCTTGATAGATAAGACCACTGCAGGCTCAGTAAGCTTGCTGGATAGGTAGTATAGCTAAGACCTCTGCAGACTCAGTAAGCTAGCCAGTAAGCTAGCTGGATAGGTAAGACCACTGAAGGCCCAGTAATTATAGCATCAATATCTTTAATGGAATTTTGACCTTAATTTCTATACTCGTAATGTAATGCTGGTGGTGATGATAGCTTTTTCTCCGGATCATGTCAGTTAACCACTTTAAATTCTGTAGAGTACAGCCTAGCCATTGCATTGTTCCTGGGCAGGCTGTCAAGCAGTTTACAAGTTGCCTTTACTTTCGCAAGGAACTGATTACTCCTGTACATGCCAGAACAGAGGCACAGTGCGAATGACCATTGAAAGAACTTTATGATCAATCACATGAAAGTGAACTGCACTGTCTGGGAATCAAACCAGTGTCCCCAATTCACAGTCCAATGCTATGTCTATTGAGATAATTGGACAGCTATACTCAGAGGGAATACTAACTTGAACATGTCCCTGATATACTGTTACATTCCTCATTGTCATTATTTTCCATAATCGCAAAATCTAACCTAAACTTGAATATCTGTACAAATCAGACTTGAATAAACTATAAATAGAATTGTGACTCTAATTTAAAAAAAAAGGATCTCTTATGGAATTGAAACTGAAATTTCAATATTCAAACAATTGAATTCTAACTCAAAGAATGAGGGCTAAGTGAAATTCAATTATTGATTTGATAGTATGTTTATAAGTAATTAAAGTTTATGTGTACTCATTTTAATCTACAACAATAACACATTGTCATGTTCCAAGTTGTCTGTATTTTCTTGTGTTAAGAGGGGTGAAACATAAGTATGTGTATGATAATTGGAACATTAGATATCTAATTGCTCTAATATAGAGATGGTGAACTTGACACCAATTTTGTAACATGTGAGTGTTACTCATTATCAAGTTTATTTTAGTGATATAACAACACATGAACATTCTCTCCTACAGTATATTGATCTTGCTTGGTAGGTTTTCCACTTAAAGCTTTATTAAATGAAGTTTCAGACTGTATTTGTCTATCCCCCCCACACACACATCCTTGGGAATATGTTCTGTTATATGAAAAAGAAATTAACCCTTTCAGAGTGGCTTGAAATATTTAATAAACAAACCAAGGTATATTTGTGTGTAACATGATTTTTGTAATGAATTTTTTTTATTTTCATACAATTTTAATTATTTTATTAAAACCCCTTTTACCCATTTTGAAGACCAATAAAATGTATTTGTTGCTAAGGCACAATGTGCCTTTAAGATCTTAGTAGGATTGTTGGTTTTAGTTCTACTGGGCCAATGCAAACTTATTTATATCAGTATTGGTTACTTCAAGGAAAAAGATTCTTTAAGTGATATGAAATAAGGTACAAGCTTTATAAATTTAGAAAAATAATGTTTAAACTAAGCTTTAAGATTATTCTAGATTTAGGGTTAAAATTTTATCACCTGATGTTGAAGTAATACATATAAGTTGTGATAATCTAACTTATGCTGCATATCTTTAGGGTATTACATAAATAAAGTCAACCTAAGATCTGAATTGATAATGTACATTATAGTCCTTAAGCTATCATAATTTACTTTCATGTAACTTGTTTATTTAATTATCTACATACTTTTAGATAAGTCACAAGTAATGTGAGTCCTGTATCAAAGGGGCAAAGATCAACAAGATTTAATCTTTAGTCTGATTGTAATATAGAATGTACATAATTCTACATAATTACATTAAAACACTTAGATAAAAAATAGAATTGACCTAAAAAATTAAGTTGTACAAATGAGCCGCGCCATGACAAAACCAAAATAATGCGCAGTCTGATCAGGATCCATGCTGTTCGCTTACCAACTCTATTACATGTAGAGAAACTGATAGCGAACAGCATGGATCCTGATCAGACTGTGCGGATGCGCAGGCTGGTCTGGATCCATGCTGGTCTCAAACCCATTATGTTGGTTTTTTCGCGACGCGGCTCAAATATAGTTCAGTTCTGATGATGGCTATGAAAGTGCTTACTGATTAATTTCGATCATGATACCAGTAATATCGTTTTCATCATTTTAGCAATTGTCAAGGTTAACTCTTTGTTGTTTGTGTCTGTGTAATTGGCCGACCTTTTTAGTTTAAATTTTCTTTTTAGGTGATAAACATCAAATTAAACATTGATATATAGATGCACCTTGATATGTTCTGTTGTTGTCCAACAATATTGACCTAGAATGAAAGATTTAATATAGATCCCATAATATATATGATTTTTGTTTCTGTTATGATATATTTTTGTAATGTTATCGCATAATATTTAAATGGTATTATACATGTATTGTTACTGTAAATATTGCATCTGTAAATACTGTTATGCTCTTCATGTTCGGAGGAAATAAAAGTATCTATCTATCTATTAACTTTCGAATATATCAATAATTTTGCTAACTTAACTCGTCAGTGAGGTGTGGTGTATTGGTATAGATGTCGGACTCTGGATCTGAAGGTCTCTGGTTTGAATCCTTACCAACGTCACGTTATGATTGTTTTTTAATTAACTTGCAAGAATTAATTTGAAATCTTTTTACTACAACTGGTTTTAGAATACCTTTTAAAGGGTGTTTTATACACAATTATATTTTGTTATTTCATTACAGAATCTTTCAACGGAACTCTTTGTGACATTATGCAATCTTATAATTATGCTTTAGCTCACACACGCTATAAAGGCTGTGAGTTACATGCATTAAAAATACTACACAGATAGTACACAGAACAAAACGGTTTGCAATAGTTTCTAGAGAACAGGAATTTAAAATTAAAAGAAAAAAGAAATCGCTGAAATAGGCTTTGAACCTACCAGTTTACGCCTACTTTCTTCTAGTGAAACCCCTTTACCAACTGCACTAAGAGTGATCTTCAATTTTCACCATTGTAACAATTGGATATTTACATCCATATCGATATAAAAGTTGATCGTGATGGTTATGAAATATACCGATTACAGGGTCAAATGCCAGGTTAATGTTGTTGGACAATACCTGCCACATTCATTTTCAAGTCAAAAGGTCAAGGTCACTGGGACCTGAAATAACAAAAATTTGCCTGTACCCTGGAATTTCAAGCTTTGTTTATTGATAACCCTTGATTAGTTCCACCTGCCAAATTTATTTTCTGGTCAAAAGTCAAGGTCACACAGATCTGAAATATCAAAACTAAAGTTGGTCATTAAATCGGAGTGCATTGGCCTGGGAACTTCAAAATTTGTATGTAAGTGTACCTTGATTTGTGCTACCTTCCTCAATCATTTACAGGTAAAAGGTTCAAGGTCACTGATTGTATTAACAAAACATAAAAGCCTGCCATTAAGCCATGTGCATTGACCTAGAGAACTCAAACTTTGTTTGTAGATGCACCTTGATAAGTCATACTCCCATATGTGGTTAAGGTGAAATGTCAAGGTCACAATTACCTTTGTTAACTTTTTGGTTTTTTGAGTATCATCAATTATGAAATTGAAACTAATTGGTTGATCTTGATCATTTCTGTCAGCCACACTGATTTTTGAATCTGAAGGTCAGTAGTCAAAGTGACCTTAAATTAAAATTATCTCTTTATTTGGAAAATGTGCAGTTTAATATTCAGCACTTAAAAGAATATATGAATCTTACACCTGCTGCCGGTACAGACTGGAATATCTAGCTTGAGGGTGACTGTTTACAGCGGTAACGAGGCTCTGCAAAGTTACTGCTAAACAGTTTCCCAAGAGCTAGATTTTCCTGTCTGCACTGACAGCAGGTGTTTGATTCTTTTTCTTGCATATTACATAATGAATTATTTACAGAACAGAAATTACGAAAAATGATATTTTCATTACGCACTTTTTTCTTATAGGAGCGTATGAACTTACAACTTCATTCATAACGGTTAAGTGAGGCCATCCTAAGAACGCAATTCATTCATAAAAGGCGCGCAACAATGCCGTCATTTAAAGCACGCGACTTGTCTTACATGGGGGATGTAAGACAGGGTTTTCTAGCACCAGTGTAAACAGTAGATAATCCTGTCTGATATGCAAGAAATGAAGCATGCTGCACCTCAGACAGTTCTCGTGTTTTATTAGTCCCCTACCGGTTTAACCGGAGGGGACTTTAGGTTTACACTCCGTCCGTCTGTCTGTCTGTCCGTCTGTCTGTCTGTCTGTCTGTCCGTCCGTCCGTCCGTCCATCATTCCGTCTGTCTGTCTGTCTGTCTGTCAGTCTGTCAGTCCGTCCGTCCACAAAACTGGATCCTGCGATAATGCAAAAAGTACTGAAAATATTTTAATGAAACTTGATATATGGATAGATGGCAGTATTTTTTTTATGAAACTTGATATATGGATAGATGGCAGTATGGAGATTATGCACGTCTTTTTTTTTTCTTCCTATGTTGAAAATTCTGGTTGCTATGGCAACAAATAGCCTGAATTTCAAGATTTCTGATTTAAATTTTTCAGCTTTTTCACTATAAGTTCTTTATTTCTAAAGGTGTTTACTTCAAACTTTAAATATAAGTTTCTGGTCATCAACCACATCATATGTTACAAGGTTTACAACTCTAGCACAAAAATTATCAGTATTACCTCCCTTGAACTTAGAATTTTTATGAAAAAAATGTTGTCTTTTTTAAATAACTTCTTTATTACCTAATGTATCTACTTCAAACTTCATATATATGTTTCTTATTATCACTCAACATTTTTGAGAAGGTTAAATACTCTAGCAAGACTATTTCCAGAATTATGTCCCCCTTGAACTTAGATTTTTTTGGAGAAATTGGTATTTTTCACTCCAACTTCTTCATTCCTTATAGGATTTACTTTAAAATCCCACATCGTAATAATATGACAAGGTTGTATAAACATAATTTCCTTACTAGGCAGGGAAACTTAACACATTACTGTGATATAGACAAACTTAGAACTCAAAAGATTTAAGTTCATTCATGTCATTCATTCACTGGTAAAATTGACTGGCCAATGGCCCATCAGAAAGTTGCTGGGGTTCTAACCGGTAGGGGACTTATGGATTGCTTGCAATACTATGATAATTGCTTGTTGTATTGGGTTTTCAACCAAGGAACCAGTCAATTTGGTCCTTGTTTGGTCCTTCTTGGGAACCAGTTGATTTGAAACTGAAAACACATGCATTTGGAGCTGGGTATTCCTTTGTCATTTGGAACTAAAATAATTTTGATATGATAAATTGCAGTAAATGTTAACTACCCGGTAAATTTGAATTCGAGACCCAGGACGTAGGTAGTTACTGTTCTCTTAACATCATTATTAGGATAGGTTACTGTAATAATAACTTATGAGCAAATATTGTAGCAGAAAGTGTCTAAAATATGCTTGTTTATGACACATCAATTAATTTATCTTAGCTTTTAAGTGTTTGTTATATAAGTATTCATTTATAAAGAGTTCATAAAAAATTGCTAAGTCACTGTAAATATGGAACAGAACAGAACATGTTCTGTACTATAAATATAGATAAGTAGGTTTTGTTGTATCTCATATGTGAAATATAACATATGACAAGAAATTATATAAAAGATATATTTGTATAATATTATATTTGACTTACACCATTTTTATTCACCTATGTATGAAATAAATAATGCAGGTCCATTTTGAAAGGACTATTTGTTATACCTATTTTTGTTACTTTGATCTTACTAGTGACTACCTTTACTTTAGAACAAAGAGAAATATGAATGAATAGTTACTTTATTATACTGATTCTGTATTAAACTTACATTTTGCTAGTTTTTTTTAAGTGCATTATAATTCCTTTTTTTAACAAAAGCATTAAGTAAAGATCAATGATCTTTGAGGAAGAGTAGTTAAGGATACCTAATTTTAATTAAACTTTTAATTTTAATCAAACTTAATTGGTTTGTTTGTTACAAAGCTGTCAAACCAAAATATGCAAGGTCATTGGTTGTATTTTTTGTGTTTTGTTCTGGTTATAGGGTTTCATTTGATCTGGCACTGTTCATCAATTTTTAAAGTTACCTTTTGACTATTGTCCTGACTCTGTAACAAAGTCGTTTGTTATAATGTTTAAGATAATTAAGGTCCATTTTTGCAGAAAGCTATTTTTATTCTTAAAACTTGGTATACTTATCCACTATGATATAATGTGATCTCAAAAATATGTTTAAAAAATTTGCAAAATAATTTTAAGCCCTGATTAATTTCTCAAAAAACCGTATCAAATATTACAAACTTGTTCACTTTAAAAAAGATTAGAAGGTATTACAGAAAGGATGGTAACACTAAAATACATTTTTGCTCGGTTTGGCAACTTTTTAAATATTTTTATTTACATGTAATATTAATCTATCACTTGTATTTTGCAGCTAAGAATGGCATTCAAAATGCAGGAGTACAGTATGTTCTGGACTCAGTTGTAAGGGAGCTATTGACAGATCCAACAAAACGTTTCATCTATGTGGAGATTGCGTTCTTCGCTCGCTGGTGGAGAGAACAGCATGATAGTATGAGGCATCTTGTGAAAGGACTTGTCAACAATGGTAGGTCAAGGGTGCTGGGTCAAGGTCATTTAGGATAAAAATAGATTTTTATTCTTTTTCTCATAGATCAAGTATTGGAACAGCCAAAAGTCCCTGACTATAGAAAGAAATGAAATGTTGTTCAATGAAATAGCATTCAATTATACGAGTATGAAGCACTCTGACTTTTCTTGTTTTATGAACTGAAATTGCCAATATTTATTATGAAAGTTGTGAAACAGTAGCCATAAGCCCACTAATAATATTAATACTTTGACAATCTAAACCTTTCTAGCACAACTTGTAAACTGATAAATTGAGGTATAAAACAACAAGAATACACCATTTCACTTACTTTTACCACTCTCTGCCTACTTTTCTAAATATTATTATATTTTCCTGTTTTGAATTTGGAATTGGCCATTTTTAACATAATAAAGATTGACTTCAAAGTACTAAATTAGATGGCGAACAGGCTGTATGAAGATGCAGACTGACCTACCTGTACCTAATAATAAGTTATTTCAATGATAGTTAATTATAGGTATTTGTGGTAGAATTAATATTAATATTCTCCGTCAATTAGGTCAGCTGGAGTTTATTCTTGGTGGATGGTGTATGAACGATGAAGCTGCCACACACTACAATGCCATCATAGACCAACATTCTCTGGGCTTTGAATTCCTCAGACAAAATTTTGGCGAGTGTGGTAGACCTAAAATAGGGTGGCAAATAGATCCATTTGGTCATTCCAGGGAGCAAGCCTCAATTTTTGCTCAGGTACAGTGTACAGTAGGAAAAGACGGAATATATTTATAAAAACATTAAATACAATAATTCATACAATGATAAAATTAATGTTATTTGTCATCTTATTACTGGCTTCCAAAGGTAGGTATATTCACATTGTACTTGGGCAAGGTTACACTCATCTTTAAATGATAATGAAATTTATTTTAAAGAAATGTTACAAGTACCAGCAACACTAATTTCTGTGTCCGATATCATATAGTTGGTGGTGGGGGTAGGGGGAAGGGGCTGCTAATATAAACCACATACAAAATCTTTTATTTTATTCTTTGAGATTGAAGACCAAAGCATTACTGGGATCCTACATATTTACCGGACAATCAGTTTACCGGACAAAAACTATTACTGCTGAATTGTGCTTTATTTTTTGCTTCGATTAAAAAATTATACAGTCTGTATTGTACACACACTTTCTATTTCTAAGTAAATAACAACAAAACCACTTTCAGGTAAATATTGTTGATTCAGTTCTTTATCTACTAACATGCCCTTTTGTTTAATAGTTATTTCATGACCTGGTCTGATACAGGGGAATAATCTGTTCTGTGCAGGCCCGAATATAGAGACCCTTAATGGGTTTTTTAAGATAGGTTTTACTTTTAATTCTTTTCAACCTTACCTCAAGAGACAATCGTAACATATTTTAATGATAAAAAGTAATTTTGAATTTAATCTTCACTGTATCTCGTTGTTGTCTTTTACAAAGAAGTGTAAATGAAAAGAACATATAAGGAAACGGGTTACGCCCATGGGATGAAACTCTACATGAAATGTAAATAAAAATAGATTTTATGGCTTTTGTAACATGCTACATGATGACCAAATGGAAACTGTATGACAAAGAACAGAATTCATTAAATGTTTCATTTGTTTAAGGATCATGAAGAATCAATACGTTAATTGAGTTAATTTCAATTACACCATAAATTGGCCTATTCATAACAGGCATGGCTGCCGTGTCTATTTCTAGTGACATACTGGGTTTTTCAAATATCTTAAACTTGCCATTCAATAGTCGTAGTTTCCTTGCTGATTATTTAAAGATTAATTTTAATTCACAACTTCAAAAATGTTTGAAACACAATGTCCGGTAAATTGAGTTGTTTGCACAATTTTTTTCCTCTTATAATGACCTACTTTAAAGACACATTTCTACAGTCAAATGTTTAATTTCATGTTTGATAAAAGAATTTTATGTGCATTAAGAACCCAAAACTATTTGGGTAAAATTCCATTCTTTTTTATTATTTTAAATAAAAGTAACAGATAAATAACTTCATATTTTGTCCGGTAATATGTAGGATCCCAGTATAGAGTTTTATATTCTTGTCAGTTTGTACAGAAGCACTGGCTGTTTAGCTCTGTAATACCAATGTCTTAAATTAAGCCTGTTTAGATATGTTTTAGTTTGCAACAAGTTAATGCTTCTTATTTATTAGTAAAACTTATAAAAATATATAAAATACAACAGTAAGTAACAATGCATTTTTAGTTTGGTTTTGATGGTATGTTCTTTGGACGTCTGGATTTTCAAGATAAAAATGAGAGATTGAAGAATGTTACCATGGAAATGCTGTGGCACGGAAGTCCAAAAAATCTTGGTAAGTATGAATATGCATTATGATAACTGTCATATTGTTGGCTAATTGTTATGCATTTCAAACTGATTTGATCAAAGCAGTGACATTTATTATTACCGAATATGGCTCATTCATAACTTATTACATGTATAATACTGCTTCAAGATACAGAATAAGTGTGTCACCTTCAGATAGAGGTCTTATACAGAAACAAACATCTGTTCTTTTTTTTTATATAATTTATATGTTATTGCCTTTACTTGGTTTTAATGGTGTCATTGATATTTATTTTTATATATGATATTAGATCTTATTTTTTTTAAATTTGCACAGAGGTAACAGCATTTTCATTTGAGCTGCGTCATGACAAAACCAACATAATGGGTTTGCGACCTGCATGGATCCAGACCAGCCTGCGCATCCGTGCAGTCTGATCAGGATCAATGCTGTTCGCTATCAGTTTCTCTACTTGTAATAGGGTTTGTAAGCGAACAGCATGGATCCTGATCAGACTGCGCGGATGCGCAGGCTGGTCTGGATCCATGCTGGTCGCAAACGCACTATGTTGGTTTTATCATGACGCGGCTCATTTATTTTTTCCTTAGTATGCTTAGAACCGCTGTACTGTTAAGTTATTGACTTGAATGTATTAAGAGTAAGTGATACTAAGATGAAAAGCTGAAACATCAATACAATGTATTATAAAGTTTAGTCATACTTTAACGAAAGCTTTAAAACTTATATAATAACAGAAAGTTAATTTGTTTTTGCAATTATCTAAGCTTAAATTGTTTTGATTTTTAAAGATTTCCATGTTTGTAGGCATTATGTTTCTGAATATTATTTTGTTTAGTACAATGTATAAAGTTGAACATTCTAAGAGCTGATACCTGTTGTTACAGAAGTCAATTTGCCCTCTCACCTTCAGTATACAGTCAAACTTTTTTTAAAGACCACTTCCATATATAGACATTATATAATAATCTCTAAAGATGAGAGTTTAATTTCCATTTTGATCAGTTATTGTGCAAATACACTTTCATTGATACCATTTGTGTCAAGAAATTTTTTTTATATACCTGGTTGTCCAAATAAAAGTGATGTTACCCTAACTGTCTCTTATTGGCACCAATATATTTAGTTATGTTTTTCTAACAACTTCATATCTTATTAACAACTGTATAAATTCATTCAATTTTGAAACTTCATATAACATACTTGAAGTCTTTACATGGACTTTGACTGAATAATACCACATTTTAAGCTTAGAAAATTTCTGGTTAAGATTTTCCTTGCAAGATTAATTTGACACATGGCTTTGGACTCTAATTCGCCTTTCACTTTCCAAGATCCTTAAATCTAGCATAAATTTTACTGACTAACACCTTAATGTGAACTTAAACAATTCCTATAATGTCAAGTCCCTTGTTTAAAACCTGCAGTGAGAATAATGGAGGTTTCTGTCTGATTGGTTGTTCATATTCATTCCATTAGATTTTACATAAAAGACATGTATGCACAATTTCATGATCGGTTTTACACAAAGATTGCATCAGGATTTTATGAGCTCAACAATTTAGTCCCCTGTTTGTAGGTGAGCAAGCAGACCTCTTTACAGGAGCACTGTACATCGGTTATGGCCCACCTCCCGGATTTTGTTTTGATATCTTCTGTAATGATGACCCTATACAGGTAAAAATACATTAACCCTGCACTACTATATATAGTACACACTGCCTACAACCCACAGAACTCAGGAATGCTAACTGTATCATCTCAAAGCAATGGGTGGAACTTTGATGGATGATGGATTTAATTGCTTCAATGTACGCCAAGTTAAAGGATGTGATAAGGTCTTCACACCATATTTGTTTTTTTTAAAATATGGTTACACCCTTTTTTGTTGCACATCATTGTTTTAAGCTTTTAAGATGTTACAGTGGCATTTTGATATTGAAGTTATCACAATTATACAATTATGAACCCTGCACAGTCAGTTTCCTTGTAAATACCAGTCTCTTTGCTTGTGAAAACCAGTCTCTTTGCTTGTGAAAACCAGTCTCTTTGCTTGTGAAAACCAGTCTCTTAGCTTGTTAAGACCAGTCTCTTTGCTTATGAAAACCAGTCTCTTAGCTTGTGAAGACCAGTCTCTTTGCTTGTGAAAACCAGTCTCTGAAAACCAGTGTCTTTGCTTGTGAAAACCAGTCTCGGTGAAAACCAGTCTGTGTAAAAAACAGTCTTTGCTTGTGAAAACAAGTCTCTTTGCTTGTGAAAACCAGTCTTTGCTTGTGAAAACCAGTCTCTTTGCTTGTGAAAACCAGTCATTTTGCTTGTGTCAGTCCGGCTGTTTTCAGAGAAGGTCTTTATATACATTTAGGACTGCTAGTCTTCTACAGATTATGTTTACTGATTTCAGGGTGAAGTGTTTCATTGATATTTAGTACAGGTTTGATACTTTGTACAATGTGTTGTGATTGTTTATTATATAGCAACTAATGCTGAAACAGCTGTCAAGCACTGCTGTTGCAGAATTTGTTTATTTTTTGTGATCAGCCAATGGTTTGAATTGAAATGGTAAATGACTTATTTGCATATATATGTAACATATTTTTGATATTCTTCAAAGAGAAGCAACACTTTTATAAATGGCTCTAGATTTTCTTGTTTTGGGCTATTAAAATCTTAACAGATCATGTATTTTAGAGTTCATATGAATTTGTTTCTTTTGGTCATCACAAGATGTGTTTTTGTTTTTAATTGAGGAATATGTTTTCTATTTATCTTGATTATGAAAAAAAAGTAATCTTTTTGTTGCTGTGGTACAGTATGACTGACTGAATGTGACAGAGTATTTTCACCTTTTGTCTCAAAATTGTCTTAATGTCAAACATTCCACATTTTTACCTCCCAAATGGACAGTAAAATTTACCAGTATTTGTAAAGACTAGTTGTAAGAATTAGAAAAAAACCAGATAAGTTTTAATAGTTACATATTATGATCTTAATAAATGTTGTAATAAATGAAGTATTAGCTAAACACTATATGGTTCATTTCAATGATAATAGTAGATAAACCAACCATGCACACACAAAAGAAAATGGTCTTTTTTTACAGGTGGTTTCTCTAAACAAATATTTGGGCAGTATGTAATTTATTAACAGGTAAAATGAAAAAACAGCATAAAGTACATGGGTATTAAATTTTGGTCTTTGTCTGGAGGTGGTCTTTAAGAGAGGTTGACTTTACTGTTATAGAGCACTTGTATTAAGTGAAATATTAATACATTTGTTTTTTAGACTATAAATTTGGAATGATTTCAGGGGTGAAAGCTGACCTTTTTACTGGTGTTTTACCAAACATGTACCAGCCTCCACAGGGCTTCTGTTTTGATATTTTCTGTTCTGATGAGCCCATTATGGTATATATAATAATATCATTTTATGTTTACTGCTCATTTTGTTATTCACTTCTGTTGCTTTGAATTTGAAACGATTCATTAGCAGTTTATAAAATTTCAGTATTAAGTTACTTAACCCATTACTTCATGAGCATTTTGTGAAAAATGGCTGTTTTCATTGAAAAGTCTCCCGTTACAAGTTCAAATTGCTATAATACTATAAAAACTGCTTCAACACTAATCAAACTTGGCACAAATGTTGACTGGACCATTGCCCTTGCAACAACATGCTCAGGCTTAAATTTTCTGTTACCATGGCAACGAGGGGACATCTCAAAATTGCCAAAAATCACTATTTTGCGTTGATTTTTTCCATCAAAATTGATTTCAAAGTGCTGCAACTTCTCAATGGATTGAGATAGAGTCAAATGCTTTTCAGCGTTGGTTACACGTTACCTTATGATCAATCTGGGGTCATTTACAGCCTCTCACAAGTCCAAAATTTTCTTGGCGATGAGGGGGACTCCGCCCCCCTTCAAACACCCCAAACAGAAGGGGGCACATCCCCCTTCTGGCAACCCCCTGATGTATCTTTTGGTTGGGGGCCGCGCCGAAAAAGAGGTCACTTTTTTAACAACATTTCTCAAACAAAAACAAGTGTTTGGGGCCTAAATAAGGCATTTTTTCATCATTTGAGACAACAAAAAGGGGGGGGGGGGGTGAAAAAGGAGTTAAAAGGCGTGTATATGAAGTAATGGGTTAAAATACATAGTAACGAACAGTATAAAGTCTAGTTAGACTTCATGGATGTAACCGCCTCCGTGGTCGAGGGGTTAGAGTCGATGACTTCTAATCCAGTTACCTCTCTGCATGGGTTTGATCCCCGGGAGAATCTTTGGTAGTTTAGCACGGAGGAAGGAAGTCTAGTGCTGGTGTTACTCTCCAGGAACGATGTTTAGGAAACTACCCGTCTATATGACTGAAATACTGTTGGGAAAAGGCGTAAAATGAAACAAACATACAAAAAACAAAACTTCATGGATGTACACAATTGCCTGGCTCTATAGTAGTTATACTGGGGCTAGGTGGTATAGAACTGCCATTGTTTAAGTCAGTTCTGTAAGGGTTAGAGCTATTGATGGATTTTCCTTTCATTAATATGCTTTTTTCTTTATTGTTTGTTTTCACTGCTTTTATCAGTTAGTTGTTACACTTAAAATGCTCCTCCCCTCTGAAACCTATATTTTTAATTTTCCTGTTATTAGCTTTAGCGATGCATGCATACCCTAAGCTTAACAGAGCTTTCTTTAAAATTGAAAATACTGTGAGTAGCGTTCAAGAGTTAAAAATTGTAATAGAAATGAAAAATAGAATGTGTATGTATGTAATTTATTGATCTGTAATGTTGAAAGTGAAGTTTATAAGGAAATTCTTAATTATATTCTGTGAATTCACTTATATTCATGGACATGAAATTTCGTGATTTTATCAAAATGGGCATTTTTGTGGGTTCTTAAATTTGTGTTTTTTTTTCAATATCTTGTAAAAAAAAAAAAAAATAACCTAATGCAAGTAATCTTACACTTAATCGCTGTGCATTTTACTTACCGCATGTACATATCTTTCCGTATCATGCAGCGCTTGTCAAGAAATTCAATGCTTGCCTCTGGGCATTCATTACACAAAAATCGGAGGAAAAGCGCCGATGCAAGTTTGTAATGTATAGAATAGAGACATGGCAAGAAGTATTTGTTGGGATAAAATTTTATCGGATCTTCAATTCGTGGATTGACCTACCCACGAAAACCACGAAAATTCATGCCCGACGAATAATAATGATTTTACAGTAGTACGTTTAAACAGAAAAGAGGTTTTGTTGAACTACATCAATACTTTAATAAACTTTAAAAAACATGTATAGTAGTGTGTTAATAGATTCGTAATAAACTTCAGAATTACTGTTTGGTATTGGAAGAATTGTTTTCTTTTCTTATGTTTCACTTTTACCATGTACGTTTTATATATAATGGATTTGTCATTCTTTGTCCTGCTTTGAAGTTGGACTGTCCATTGTTAATATGAGTGAATTCCGTCTCAAAACAATAAAAAGTTAAGCTGGTAATGATAAAAAATCTCAGGACAGACTGATTTAATGTCCTTCTGTCCTGACTCTGTACTCTTAGTCTTTATAAATGTGTATTTGAGTTTATTTATACTCAGCCTGATTGCCCATATGGGCAAGTATATGGGAAAGTCCTCCAGAAGGGTATTGGTCAGTTTATATTTTGGAGGATTATAAATGCAAGATTCAGATACAGAAAGATGCCCCAGTCCCAGAAGCTTCTCCTGGTTCTCTAATATGCTAAGTGTTAAAGCACTCATACACAGGACCTAGATTTTAAGTCTCATCTAATCATGAGATTTGAGACAGAACTCAGAAAAAAAATTTTGTAACCTGAAAACCATTCAAAGCATAAAAGTGCATGTTTTGTTTTGATTCATCTATTGTTAACCAGGTTTTCCGAAGGAAAAAACTGGTTATTAGATTGAGGTATGTCGGCGGGCGGGCGGACGGGGGGGCGGGCGTAAACAATTTCTTCTGTGCGCAACTCCTCCTACATTTCTCAACGGATTTTGACCAAACTTTCACAGAAGCTTTGTCATCAAGTGCCCTGGCGCATATTGTCGGGGTTTTGCGATTGGATAATATTTGACCTAATTATGGCCCTTTGTTTTTTTTCCTTATATAAAATATATAGTGAACAATTTCTTCTGTGCGCAACTCCTCCTACATTTCTCAACGGATTTTGACCAAACTTTCACAGAAGCTTTGTCATCAAGTGCCCTGACACATATCGCCAGGGTTTTGCAATTGGTGTATATTTGACCTAATTATGGCCCTTTGTTTTTTTTCCTTATACAGAATATATAGTGAACAATTTCTTCTGTGCGCAACTCCTCCTACATTTCTCAACGGATTTTGACCAAACTTTCTCAGAAGCTTTGTCATCAAGTGCCCTGACACATATTGCCAGGGTTTTGCAATTGGTATATATTTGACCTAATAATGGCCCTTTGTTTTTTTTCCTTATATAGAATATATAGTGAACAATTTCTTCTGTGCGCAACTCCTCCTACATTTCTCAACGGATTTTGACCAAACTTTCTTAGAAGCTTTGTTATCAAGTGCCTGGCACATATTGTCGGGGTTTTGTGATTGGATAATATTTGACCGAATTATGGCCCTTTGTATATTTTTTCCTTATACAGAATATATAGTGAACAATTTCTTCTGTGCGCAACTCCTTCATTTCTCAACGGATTTTGACCAAACTTTCTTAGAAGCTTTGTTATCAAGTGCCTGGCACATATTGTCGGGGTTTTGTGATTGGATAATATTTGACCGAATTATGGCCCTTTGTATATTTTTTCCTTATACAGAATATATAGTGAACAATTTCTACAGTGCGCAACTTCAAAAATTAAGCAAAAATAAAGTACTGTTTACCTTTCTAAAACATTTGGGGGAAAAAGGCGAATAGACAAAATAAAATTTCTCAATCATTTTTGTTTGAGGAATATTAAAAAAGCCATAATTCCTCCTAAAAATTCAATTAAAAACAAATGCCCCTTCATGACAAAGCTTCTGTGAAATATTTTGCTGAAAACCTGGTTGCATCGCATTGCGATGTTCCTTGTTTTATATTGTAGGATGATAAGCGTCTCCATGACTACAATGTAGATCAGAAGGTCAAGGACTTTATAAAGGCTGTTGAGGAACAAGTAAGATATACATTGTCTAGAGATTGTAATGAATTTTGTATGGAATGAGTATGTCACATGACTAGAAATGTCCATTTTTCTTGGTGGGGGATCATAGTTAGTTTTTGAGAGAGTCAAACTAACACTGCAAATAAAATCATATAGAATCTTTTCAGCTTTAGTTATGGTACATATTATTTAAGCTTGAAGCTCAGTTGAATCACTCTTTAATTACCTCATTGATTACCCAGTTCTGGTGTTAAGTGACAAAAATGGCTTATGACATCAGTAGGAATTGAACCTATGATTCCTGGGCTGAGAGGCAGATACTTTAACCACTAAACTACTGCTTCCTTCCCAATATCATTAGGTGAGGAATATCCTAGATGCTCTCTGTACATTTTAAGCTCGACTTTTTTTTTTGAAAAAAAAAGTAGAGGTATTGTTATAGTCGGGTCGGCGTTGCCGTTGCCGTCCGCAAACTTGTACCTGGATCATAACTTTTTTATTTCTTGGTGTATTGTCTTCATACTTGGCCACAACAACCCTTGGGACAAGACCTTTCAGTAGACCACACTAACCTTGACCTTTATCCATAAATGACCTTGACCTTCAAGGTTAAAAGTCCAATTTTTGCTTGTTCATGCTGTTATTGGCTGTAACTTTGTTATTTTTGAATGGATTGTCTTCAAACTTGAACATAATAATCTTCAAGGATATCCCTTAAAAATAACCAGCCAGACCTTGACCTTCACTCATAAATGACCTTGACTTTGAAGGTCAAATTATTGAAATTTTCATTTTTTTGGCTATTATTGGCTGTAACTTTGTTATTTTTGAATGGATTGTCTTCAAACTTGAACATAATTATCTTCAGGGATATCCCTTAAAAATAACCAGCCAGACCTTGACCTTCACTCATAAATGACCTTGACTTTGAAGGTCAAATTATTGAAATTTTCATTTTTTTGGCTATTATTGGCTGTAACTTTGTTATTTTTGAATGGATTGTCTTCAAACTTGAACATAATTATCTTCAGGGATATCCCTTAAAAATAACTAGACAGACCTTGACCTTCACTCATAAATGACCTTGACTTTGAAGGTCAAATTATTGAAATTTTCATGTTTTTAACCAGGTTTTCCGAAGAAAAAAACTGGTTATTAGATTGAGGTATGTCGGCGGGCGGATGGGCGGGCAGGCGGGCGTAAACAATTTCTTCTGTGCGCAACTCCTCCTACATTTTTCAACGGATTTTGACCAAACTTTCACAGAAGCTTTGTCATCAAGTGACCTGGCGCATATTGTCGGGGTTTTGTGATTGGATAATATTTGACCTAATTATGGCCCTTTGATTTTTTTCCTTATATAGAATATATAGTGAATAACTTCTTCTGTGCCAACTGTTCCTACATTTCTCAATGGATTTTGACCAAACTTTCACAGAGGCTTTGTCATCAAGTGCCCTGGCGCATATTGTCGGGGTTTTGTGATATGATAATATTTGACCTAATTATGGCCCTTTGTTTTTTTTCCTTATATAGAATATATAGTGAATAACTTCTTCTGTGCGCAACTCCTCCTACATTTCTCAATGGATTTTGACCAAACTTTCACAGAGGCTTTGTAATCAAGTGCCCTGGCGCATATTGTCGGGGTTTTGTGATTGGATAATATTTGACCTAATTATGGCCCTTTGTTTTTTTTCCCCAATATAGGATATATAGTGAACGATTTTCTGTGCGCAACTCCTCCTACATTTCTCAACGGAATTTGACCAAACTTTCACAGAGGCTTTGTCATCATATGCCTTAGGGCATATTGTCAGGGTTTTGTGATTGTATAATATTTGACCTAATTATGGCCCTTTGTTTTTTTCCTTATACAGATTATATAGTGAACAATTTTTACCATGCGCAACTTCTCCTACATTTCTCAACAGATTTTGACCAAACTTTCACAGAAGCTTTGTTATCAAATGCCCTGGCGCACATCATCGGGGTTTTGTGATTGGATAATATTTGACCTAATTATGGCCCTTTGTTTTTTTCCTTATACAGATTATATAGTGAACAATTTTTACCATGCTCAACTTCTCCTACATTTCTCAACAGATTTTGACCAAACTTTCACAGAGGCTTTGTCATCAAGTGCCCTGGCGCACATTATCGGGATTTTGTGATTGGATAATATTTGACCTAATTATGGCCCTTTGTTATTTTTCCTTATACAGAATATATAGTGAAAAAATTCTTTTGTGCTGAACTCCTACATTTCTCAACGGATTTTGTTCAAACTTTCACAGTAGCTTTTTTATCCAGTGCCCTGGCGCATACGTGGGGTTTTGTGATTGAATAATTTTTTATTTAAATTATGGCCTTTTGTTTTTTTTCCTTATACAGAATATAATTATAGTGAAAACTTCCTCTGTGGCAATTCCTCCTACATTATTCATGTTTTACATTGCACATAGTTACATTGTTTGTTGCTTGTATTTGTATTTCAAATACAACATATTTATCTACAATGGTGATAATTGAAAACCTGGTTTCATGGCATTGCCATGTTTCTTGTTTTGGCTATTATTGGCTGTAACTTTGTTATTTTTGGATTGATTGTCTTCAAACTTGAACATAATAATCTTCAAAGATAACTGTTAAAAATATACCGAAAGACCTTGACCTTCACTCATTAATGACATTGTCTTTGAAGGGTCAAATTATTGAAAATTTTCATTGTTTTGGCCCGGTAACTGACTGTAACTTTGCTATTATTGAAGGGATAAACTTCATATTATAACAGAACATTTCTTAAGGACCCAGACCCTTGTGTTTATCAAAACCCAATTTGCTTGGGCTCATTTAATGATCTTGACCTTGAAGGTTAAATTACTGAAATTTTTCTCAGATTTGGTGCATTAAATGACCATAATTATATATTAATTGGTGTGTGTGTGTGTATATATATATTTACAACAACAACAAGAATTGCGTCATTGTTTCTATTTATAGAATTGCGTCATTGTTTCTATTTATAGAAATTGTGTCATTGTTTCTATTTATAGAATTGCGTCATTGTTTCTATTTATAGAAATTGAGTCATTGTTTCTATTTATAGAAATTGCGTCATTGTTTCTATTTATAGAAATTGTGTCATTGTTTTCTATTTATAGAAATTGCGTCATTGTTTCTATTTATAGAAATTGCGTCATTGTTTTCTATTTTTAGAAATTGCGTCATTGTTTCTATTTTTAGAAATTGCGTCATTGTTGCTATTTATAGAAATTGCGTCATTGTTGCTATTTTTAAAAATTGCTTCATTGTTTCTATTTTTAGAAATTGCGTCATTGTTGCTATTTATAGAAATTGCGTCATTGTTGCTATTTATAGAAATTGCGTCATTGTTGCTATTTTTGGAAATTGCTTCATTGTTTCTATTTTTAGAAATTGCGTCATTGTTGCTATTTTTAGAAATTGCGTCATTGTTGCTATTTATAGAAATTGCTTCATTGTTGCTATTTATAGAAATTGCGTCATTGTTGCTATATTTTTAGAAATTGCTTCATTGTTTCTATTTTTAGAAATTGCATCATTGTTTCTATTTATAGAAATTGCGTCATTGTTGCTATTTTTAGAAATTGCTTCATTGCTGCTATTTATAGAAATTGCGTCATTGTTGCTTTTTTTAGAAATTGCGTCATTGTTGCTATTTTTAGAAATTGCGTCATTGTTTCTATTTATAGAAATTGCGTCATTGTTGCTATTTTTAGAAATTGCGTCATTGTTTCTATTTTTAGAAATTGCATCATGGTTGCTATTTTTAGAAATTGCGTCATTGTTTCTATTTATAGAAATTGCGTCATTGTTGCTATTTTTAGAAATTGCGTCATTGTTGCTATTTTGTGTGTCTATTTTTTAAAATTGCGTCATTGTTTCTATTTTTAGAAATTGCGTCATGTTTTGCTATTTTTAGAAATTGCATAATGTTGCTATTTTTAGAAATTGCGTAATGTTCTATTTATATATATATACAAAATATATAAACAAAACTAATGTGACCAGACAGACCAACTAAATTTATAAAAGGAAACGTTAAGATATGTTCAAACCTTTCTATGTTTGCGTTTAGAAAAAGTAAAAAGTCGAGCGTTGCCCCCGCCTGGTGGTGGCTCTTGTTTAACTTGTTATTGTCACCATTGATAACATCCCCTATCACTTATCTTTCGAAAAACTAACTGAATTCTAAGCGTTCACATAAGAAACATTATCTGAATTCTAACTTGTAATATTATAAAGAACAAATGGTTTTAAGTCAGGAACATAAATTAATTTATTCACTTAGCCATAGAGATCTACCAATAAATCTAGTACTCATATATTTTCAGTTTAACCTCTGAAATATTTTATTGTAACATTATTTTGGAAATTCTGTTTAAATTGATTACTCTTGAATTTTTCTCTATCCTCCTCTAAAAACATTAATTATATGACTGCTGAGACATTGTACGTGTTATCAGGAAAAGGAATCTGTAAAGTGTTTGTTTAAACCATGTGGTGCCATGTGTTGACTATTTAGGCATTGGCCATGCTGATTTTTGTTTGCTATATAGTAGGTTTTTGTGTTTGCCATGAAAGTATTAAATATTTTGCCTGTGTTATGTTATATGTGTACCATATATGTATTATATATTTACAGGCTATACACTATAAGACCAATCATATTGTGATGACAATGGGCTCTGATTTCTTGTATCAGAATGCTAACCATTGGTACAAGAATCTTGATAAGCTTATAGAGTACACCAACAGACTGGTAAGCTATAAAAACTCTGTGTTGGTTGCCATATCATTTTTAGCTCGACTATACGAAGTATATGGAGAGCTGTCCTACTCGCCCCGGCGTTGGCGTCCACGTCCGCGTCCAGATTTCAGATTAAAGTTTTGGTGCAGTAAAATATTTTTCACTATAACTTTGTCATTTCTTAAAGTATCAACTTCAAACTTCAAATATATGTTCCTTATCATCAACCACATCTTATGTGATAAGGTTCATAACTCTAGCACCAATATTTTCAGATTTATCTCCCCTTGAACTTAGAATTTTCCTTAAAAAATACTATTTTTTACTGTTACTTCTTTATTTTTTAAGGAATCAACCTCATACTTCAAATATATGTACCTTATCATCATCCCCATCTTATGTGATAAGGTTCATAACTCTAGCACAAATATTTTCAGATTTATCTCCCCTTGAACTTAGAATTTTCCTCAAAAAAATACTATTTTTTTACTGTTACTTCTTTATTTCTTAAGGGATCAACCTCATACTTCAAATATATGTACCTTATCATCATCCCCATCTTATGTGACAAGGTTCATAACTCTAGCACCAATATTTTCAGATTTATCTCCCCTTGAACTTAGAATTTTCCTTAAAAAATACTATTTTTTACTGTTACTTTTTTATTTCTAAAGGGATCAACTTCATACTTCAAATATATGTAACTTATCATCATCCACGTCTTTTGTGGCAAGGTTCATAACTCTAGCACTAATATTGCAAGAATTATCTCCCCATAAACTTAGATTTTTTTACTAGAAAAATGTTATTTTTTACTATAACTTTTTTAGTTTTAAAGGTATCTACCTCAAACTTCAAATACTTATTCCTTATCATCAATTACACTTTATGTGACAATGTTCGTAACTCTTGAAGCAATATTTACAGATTTATCTTTCTTTGAAATTAGGATTTTCTTTAAGAAATATTATAACTTCTTTCCTTTTTAAGGTATCTACTTCAAACTTCAAATATATATTTCTTATCATTACACACATGTTGTGTGAAAGGTTCATAACTCTAGCATGACTTTTTCTAGAATTATTCCCCTTGATCTTGGAATTTATGTTAACAAATGATATTTTTTACTATAACTTAATACATAATTATACATAATTGGTTTTTCTTTTATAGTTTTGTCCTCCTTACTGCGTCCAGTATTTTGTTAGTCGAGCTTGGCTGTCTCCTGTGACAGCTCTTGTTGTATGGACTGCCGTTCTCTTTTTCAACAAATGTAATCTTGATTCTTGAAGATTATAGAGCTTTCATATTTGAGTATTACATAGTTACTAGCAAGACCCCGATTTTGACTTATTATGCCCCCATTTTGAAAAAAAGGGGGTATATTGCTTTGCACTTGTCGGTCCGTCGGTCCGTCGGTCCGTAGACCAAATGGTTTCCGAGTGATAACTAAAGAACCCTTAGGCCTAGGAACTTCAAACTTGGTATGGTGATTGGTCATGACCAGTAGATGACCCCTATTGATTTTGGGGTCAAGGGGTCAAAGGTCAAGGTCACATTGACCTTGTAAGCAAAAACGGTTTCCGATCAATAACTAAAGAACCATAAGGCCTAGGAACTTCAAACTTGGTATGGTGATTGGTCATGATCAGTAGATGACCCCTATTGATTTTGGGGTCAAGGGGTCAAAGGTCAAGGTCACATTGACCTTGTAAGCAAAAACGGTTTCCGATCAATAACTAAAGAACCTTAAGGCCTAGGAACTTCAAACTTGGTATGGTGATTGGTCATGATCAGTAGATGACCCCTATTGATTTTGGGGTCAAGGGGTCAAAGGTCAAGGTCACATTGACCTTGTAAGCAAAAACGGTTTCCGATCAATAACTAAAGAACCTTAAGGCCTAGGAACTTCAAACTTGGTATGGTGATTGGTCATGATCAGTAGATGACCCCTATTGATTTTGGGGTCAAGGGGTCAAAGGTCAAGGTCACATTGACCTTGTAAGCAAAAACGGTTTCCGATCAATAACTAAAGAACCTTAAGGCCTAGGAACTTCAAACTTGGTATGGTGATTGGTCATGATCAGTAGATGACCCCTATTGATTTTGGGGTCAAGGGGTCAAAGGTCAAGGTCACATTGACCTTGTAAGCAAAAACGGTTTCCGATCAATAACTAAAGAACCTTAAGGCCTAGGAACTTCAAACTTGGTATGGTGATTGGTCATGATCAGTAGATGACCCCTATTGATTTTGGGGTCAAGGGGTCAAAGGTCAAGGTCACATTGACCTCTTGGGTAAAAACGGTTTCGGATCAATAACAAAAGAACCCTTAGGTCTAGGAACTTCAAACTTGGTATGGTGATTGGTTATGACCAGGAGATGACCCCTATTGATTTTGGGGTTAAGGGGTCAAAGGTCAAGGTCACATTGACCTCTTGGGTAAAAACGGTTTCGGATCAATAACAAAAGAACCCTTAGGCCTAGGAACTTCAAACTTGGTATGGTGATTGGTCATGACCAGCAGAGGACCTATTGATTTTTGGGGTCAAGGGGTCAAAGGTCAAGGTCACATTGACCTTGTATGTAAAAACGATTTCCGATCAATAACAAAAGAACCCTTAGGCCTAGGAACTTCAAACTTGGTATGGTGATTGGTTATATCCAGCAGATGACCTATTGATTTTGGGGTTAAGGGGTCAAAGGTCAAGGTCACATTGACCTTGTAGGTAAAAACGGTTTCTGATCAATAACGAAAGAACCCTTAGGCCTAGGGACTTCAAACTTCATATGGTGATTGGTCATGATCAGTAGATGACCCCTATTGATTTTGGGGTCAAGGGGTCAAAGGTCAAGGTCACATTGACCTCTGAGGTAAAAACGGTTTCCGATCAATAACTAAAGAACCCTTAGGCCTAGGAACTTCAAACTTGGTATGGTGATTGGTCATGACCAGCAGATGACCCCTATTTATATTGGGGTTAAGGGGTCAAAGGGCAAGGTCACATTGACCTTGTAGGTAAAAATGCTTTCCAATCAATAACTTAAGAAACCCTTTGGCCTAGGAACTTCAAACTTGGTATGGTAATTGGTCATGACCAGCAGATGACCTATTGATTTTGGGGTCAAGGGGTCAAAGGTCAAGGTCACATTGACCTTGTAGGTAAAAAACGGTTTCCGATCAATAAACTAAAAACGCTTAGGCCTAGGAACTTCAAACTTTGTATGATGATTAGTCGTGACCAGCAGATGACCCCTATTGAGTTTTGGGTCAAGGGGTCAAAGGTCAAGGTCACATTGACCTTGTAAGTAAAAACGGTTTCTGATCAATAACTAAAGAACTTTAAGGCCTAGGAATTTCAAACTTGGTATGGTGATTTGTCATGACCAGCAGATTACCCCTATTGATTTTGGGATCAAGGGGTCAAAGGTCAAGGTCACATTGACATTGTAAGTAAAAACGGTTTCTGATCAATAACTAAAGAACACCGGCCTAGGAACTTCAAACTTGGCATGGTGATTGGTCATGACCGGCAGATGACCCTCTATTGATTTTGGGGTCAAAGGTCAAGGTCACATTAACCTTGTATGTTAAAAGGGTTTCCGATCAATAACTAAAGAACCCTTAGGCCTAGGAACTTCAAACTTGGTATGGTGATTGGTCATGACCAGCAGATGACCTATTGATTTTGGGGTCAAAGGTCAAGGTCACATTGACCTTGTAGGTAAAAACGGTTTCCGATCAATTAACTAAAAACGCTTAGGCCTAGGAACTTCAAACTTTGTATGATGATTGGTCGTGACCAGCAGATGACCCCTATTGAGTTTTGGGTCAAGCGGTCAAAGGTTAAGGTCATGACCAGTAGATACTTGATAACCCTTATTAATTGTTTGATCACTGGGTCAGAAGTCATGCATAATAACCTTATCACATGACTAATTGGCTGCTGATAGGGGGCATACATGTTTTACAAACATATCTTGTTAATAAATAAACTTGATCTCTAAGTGACCCTGACATTTCAAGTCCATATTTCATAATGGCTGACCATTTCAGCAATGTTGTTTATGATATCATAATTATTTTGGACAGGGTTATTTTGTATTTTTATGATCACTTTTATTGATTTTCTCCTCACACTATCAAACTAGAATTTGAGACTTCAAATACTGGGTGCAGCATACATTTGGTCAACAGCAATAAGATTTCTGTGTAGGTACACATAGTAATAAATTATACAAGCTATATGTTATCATAATTATGGTGATTAATTTGGTTGTTTTCTTATGTATTTATATCTGAAATATATTCCAAATTGTATTATTTAACATTGCACGTATATTGTATTTCAGCAAACCACAAACAATTCTAAGATAAATGTCCTGTATTCAACACCGTCCTGCTATCTGTACCAGTTGAACCGAGCTGACCAGGTTTGGACGACCAAAAGTGATGACTTTTTCCCATATGCTCACCAAAATCACAGTTTCTGGACAGGATATTTCACAAGTAGATCTGCATTAAAGGGATATGTTAGAGAGACTAATGCTTTACTCCAGGTGTGTCTTTTGCATTAATTTTATTTACATACCTTTACATCACTAAATTTTATAATGGAATTGTCCTATTTGACATTGCCAATGTATGTTAATATCTAAATTTATAATGGAATTGTCCTATTTTCACTTTGGAACAGTCCATTAATGTAGGAGGTTCTATGATCTCACAGATCAAAGGGAGACAACAATTAGGCCACTATTGTTCATTTGTATAACTTTCATGAGGGTGTATTATATTTCCTTCAATTTATCAAATCAATCATAATGTTTCTAGATTTTTTTTGGTCAAATTTATTTGGTTAAAACAAGTCAAACAGCATTTTAATTCTAAACATGCATCTAAAAGTTACATCAAAATACATCTGTACCTACTAAATGAAAATGTTCTGACAGAGTCTAATTTTGTTGGGTGGATTTGTAATAATTTATATATGTAAAAAGTGTTTTGTATTGACCTTTTTGTTTATAGGCCTGCAAACAACTTGATGCCTTGGCAATGCTAGAAGACATTCATAATAGTACATACAATATCCAAATACTTAGTGAGTCAATTCTTACATTAATGTATTATACCTTGTACATTCTTATCTGAGTATAAATTCTTACTAGAAATGAATCTTTCTAAAATGACACACATATGTGTGGGGCTTTTTATATGAGATATGAAATTTTTTATTTCCTATTTTATTTTACGTGTAAGTTATACAGACTCATGCCCACATTCTGCAAATGTTTCTCTTGTATATTTACAGAGGAAGCAATGGGAGTTGCACAACATCATGATGCTGTCTCGTAAGTCTATTTATATATTATAAGTTATAACGATTATTGACAGGTTATATGGCCATATATATAACCTGAGATGCTTGGCAAAGGTTATATTGTCAACAGCTGTTTATATACGGCCATATAACCTGTCAAGAATCTTAATAATGAATTTATAATACAGCAAACTTCTTTTTAGAGAAAAAAGTGAGATTTCTTCAGAAATTTATAATACATCTAACAATACATGAAAACTATTTTAGAATATGGTCATACATATAATCTTTCATATGACTTACATTCTTGCTGTATACTACATACTTACTTATCACTGTTCATAGCAACTTCATCTTTTAACTTATATCATGTACCATCCACAAACCTTGACCCTAGGTTGGGTGTTTATGGCAATGTTAAGGTCAGTCTAAAAATAACATTTCCTGGTTTTGGTCTTAGATAGGCCATGTTTTTAGAAGTGTCCAAATGACATGAGACTGCAAACATGGATATTTCAGAGATTTTGTATGAAAAAAATCTGAGTAAAAATGAAGATAACTTTTGAACCTCAGATGCAGAAATAATGCAAAATATGCAAAGATGTTCACGAACCTGGCTTTTTAAAACATATTATATTTATTTGATATAATATGCCAATTATACTTGAAGTAACTTGTAAATTTGATTGTGTTAAAACAAAAGGGAATATTGTTTTTGTTTTGGTATGCCACAAAATATTATGTATAACATTTCAAGGAACAAAATGCAATAACAAAGAGGCAGCTTGGGTATCACGGTCTAGGTTGTCAAAACTGCACAAGGATGAATAAAATTTACATCTATCATTAAATTTATCCTAATTAATGACAAAATAGTTACTTAAAAAACACTCATTGTCAAATACACATATCACTTTTTCATATTGATAAACAGATTTGAATTTTTAGCCATAATAACATTGATCAGCCATTATTGTTTTTTATAAAATTGGAAAAATCTGACCAAATTAATATCTGATATATTGTAGAGGAACAGAAAAACAGGCTGTAGCTGATGACTATGCTATGAGACTTGCATATGGTAGATCTGAATGTAAGGTGGGTAACATTGTTTATAATACTACTATGGATTTGCATAGATATGAGTTTTTTGTTCATTTAGCCTAGATAGTTATAATTTTACCATGTAAGTCATTAGATAAAATTCTAACTGCTACACTTTAAACAGTAGTGAAATATGATTGTTAGAACATATATGAAGAAACCTGTGATCGTTTTTAACCTTTTTTAGTTTCCTTTTTGTATTTAGAATATTTGACTTTTTCTCAAATATTGTTAAAAGTATTCACTTCAGACAAGAAATGTATGCTGACTATTAAGGGCAGGTAAGTCTGTCAAGCACATTGGCTGAGTTATGCCCCATTTGCTATGTTACTTTTATTTAGATATTCAACACTGAGAAATGTGTAAATCTGCAGACAGGTCTTGTTTATATGCTATTTTGACTGGCTTTTATAATTTCAGAAAGTAATGAATGATGCATTAGGCAAGTTGATACCAAAAGGTTCAGAAGGTTTCCCAGGACTGGTATGGTGTGATATGTATAATATCAGCTCCTGTAGTTTTACAGAAGTCAACAAACAGGTGTGTAGCCTTAGTTTGAGTACTAGATAAATGTAATATTTCTGTGGAAAATAAGTGAGCTGATTTTGTAAAAAAAACAATGACAACACTCCAAATACCCCCACTCCAGGATAAATCAAAGCACAGAAGGCGCTGAATTTGTTTGGGTCTCAGAATGTCAGAAAGGTGAAGGTTGTGAGATTATAAAACAATTGGTTTTTGTATAGTGCCACCAATGCTTTCCAGCGTTTTAATTGTAGTAGATTGGCTATAAGACTAATTGCAACACTGATATTCGATCCAATGTTTATTTGACATTTGAAAAAAAAGAGTTGCCTTAACTGGGATTTGAACTCAAGACCTCTCGCTTCTTAAGCGAGCGCGCAAAACCCTCGGCCACGGTGTATTTACATGTTAACGGCCTGAAGAAAACCATATTATTCTAGTTAGGGTTTGTAACGACGCTAACTGTTGTTTAACACTTGTATAAATAATCATGGCGCTTACTATAAGCATGTATATCGATAAAGAATAAAACAATATTAGAAATCTTCGACCATTCGGGAATTATTTTGCTTTAAAATTAATCCGCCTGTCATGTGACCATATTTACGCAGTGATCTCCCCTAAATTTTTCGGCCTAACTGTTACATATAAAGGGAAGTAACCGCTTCAAAAAAGTGGACTACTTTTGGCACTTGCAATTAACAGCATTAGAGTCTGAAATTTCGCTACCATTATTTGTTTGGTCTGACGACCCAAACAAATAAAAACAACAACTTCAACAAAATACCCCACAAATTACTATTAATATGAATAATACAAGCTCAACTGGATATTTATACCATTATATATACCCCTATAGATGATCAGCAGTTGTGGATTTTTTTATATGATGGTAAATATAGTTCATATTATTAGTTATATTTTGTTACTAGTGTATATTGTGTTGAAAACAACATAAATCAAGTTTCCTTCAGTTTAGTGAATGTTGCACAAAACAATATTACATTATATATCTTTTATTTTATTTGACAGTTTGTTATGGTAGTGTATAACCCACTTGGTCACTCTGTTACAAGATGGATCAGACTCCCTGTGGTTGGTAAGGCCTATACTGTGATGGGACCTTATAATGAAGTCATAGAAACTCAGGTAAATGATTAAAATGTTTTCTATTCTTTCACTATAATAGTAATTGCAACTGTTTTGATAATTCCTGTTTTTCCTAGATTTCTTGTCTACAAACTTTGAAATTGAGAAGATGGATTTCTATTTTTTTCATGATCTGTTGATTAAATAATTCATAATAAGTGTTACTTTGCACAGTTGAGGCAATTAATTGGTATAATAGTAAAGGTGTCATGTAATGGAACATGGTTGTGATCCAAGTAAAGTTCAAATTTATATTCTTTGAGTTTAAAGGCAGACACCATTCTTTTAATCAGATTTTGTCTTCATTAACTTTTTCAAGCAGCAGTAATAACAACTGCAAGATTTATGTCTCCTCATGAAGTTAGGCCATCCTACAAATTCACTCGGTAATTTTGGTTGCTGAAGTTATATACATGTACTTTGGTTTTGACATCAATGAAACTGCTAATGGGAAGTTACAGATTTAAAGAACCTTGCAATTGCTTCACATAAAATTCAGTAGAATAAGCTCATTATGGTTCTTTTTATTGCAGATGTCCTCCGTTACAGATCGTACCAAGGACATTCCAGAACGAAATGGATCATTAGCATATAGTGATTTGATATTCCAAGTGAAATTACCTCCCCTTGGTTTCAGTACATACTTTGTCAGTATGTCAAATAGTAAGTTTTCATTGCTTATAGAACTGGAACTTTAGTGGTAGGAAGTGAAAAATGATACATCGCTTATTGCATTGGATTTTTTTTGTAGCTGTAAACTAAAACAGTATTGATAAAAAGGTTTTTGAGATGTTAATTTTGTTTTATGTATTAATTTTGAATAAATGTGACAATTAGTTTATGAAGCTTATCTTTGTTAAAATGATATACATGAATAAATTATTACATTAATGAAAATTTAAAGGATCAGTTGGTGATTGAACTGAAAATAAATTTAACTTTTTATTTGACCTTTGACCTGAATATAAATCATTGTGACTTGAAAATGAAATTGATTATTTATCAGGTGCAATGAAAAAGAAACAGCAGAAACCAGTAAAGAAAATGTTGAAGGGAAATGAAGATTTTGTCATAAAGAATGAGGTAAATCAATACCAACTCTGATTATTGTTTACAGGTTTAGCTTATCTGTGTACTTTATTTTTCCTTATATTTGAAGACTTTTTTTTCAAAAGGTACATTATGATGTAAGTTTGATGTTACAGTATCTAACTTGTTTATGTATTGTTTGCAAAACCAATTTTCCATGAGGGTCAGCATGCAGTAACTCCCAAGATAGTGTATGCCAAGACAAACATTCTTTTGATATTTTTTTTAGCTCACCTGTCACAAAGTGACAGGGTGAGCTTTTGTGATCGCTTTCCGTCCGTCCGTCCATCCGTCGTCCGTCCGTCCGGAAACTTTTGCTTTAAATGACATCTCCTCATAAACCACTAAGCCAATTTCATCCAAACTTCACAGGAATGTTCCTTTGGTGGTCACCTTTAAAAATTGTTCAGAGAATTTAATTCCATGCAGAACTCTGGTTGCCATGGCAAAGAAAAAACTTTAAATATCTTCTTTTAAAGAACCCAAAGAGCTAGAGCTTAGATATTTGGCATGAAACATCTTCTAGTGAGTGTCTACCAAGTTTGTTCAAATAAAAGCCCTGGGGTCAAAATTGGCCCCGCCCCAGGGGGTCATTGATTTTCCCTATATACATATAGTAAAAACTTAAAAAATCTTCTTTTAAAGAACTCAAAGAGCTAGAGCTAAGATATTTAGCATGAAACATGTTCTAATGGGTGTCTACCAAGTTTGTTCAAATAAGAGCCCTGGGGACAAAATTGGCCCCACCCCAGGGGTCATTGATTTTCCTTATATGTGTAAAGCAAAAACTTAAAAAATCTTTTTTGAAAAAAAACAAATAGCTAGAGTTTAGATACTAAGCATGAAACATCTTCTAGTGAGTGTCTACCAAGTTTGTTCAAATAAAAGCCCTGGGGTCAAAATTGGCCCCGCCCAGGGGGTCATTCATTTTCCTTATATGTGTATAACAAAAACTTAAAAAATCTTCTTTGAAAAAACTCAAATAGCTAGAGTTTAGATATTAAGCACCAAGCATCTTCTAGTGAGTGTCTACAAAGTTTGTTCAAATAAAAGCCCTGGGGTCAAAATTAGCCCCGCCCCGGGGGACATTGATTTTCCTTATATGTGTATAGTAAAAACTTAAAAAATCTTCTTCGAAAAAACCCGAATAGCTAGAGTTTAGATATTAAGCATGAAACATTTTCTAGTAAGTGTCTACAAAGATTGTTTAAATAAAATCCCTGGGGTCAAAACTGGCCCTGCCCCAGGTGTGTCATTGTTTTTAACTATATGTGTAAAGAAAAAACTTGAAAAAATCTTCTTTTAAAAAACCCAACAAGCTAGACCTTAGATGTTTAGCATGAAACATCTTCTAATGGGTGTCTACCAAGTTTGTTCAAATAAAAGCCCTGGGGTTTAAACTGGCCCCGCCCCGGGGGCCTATATACAGGTGAGCGACTTCAGGGCCATCATGGCCCTCTTGTTTTAATAAACATTGATGACTTTTCCATAAGAAATTTTATGTTGTGTAACATTCAACATTTGTGTAAGACAGATTTTTTTAGTTATAAGTTTGAGTTAGGAAGTCATATGTTTTTTTTTCAATTTTAAGTCAACAGAATTTATAAAATCTGCTGAAATTCTTGTAATAATAAAAGACTGATAAATAGATTTGTAGTTTTTCAATGTTAACTATAGACTTATCTACCTTTGAATATCATCATCAAAATACTCAAGAGCGTCTGAGATTATTTGTAGCACCAGGAACATGTATGGACAAAATACTAATTACGATTGTTCAGGTATACATGTAATAAATTTTATTGTTTGTGTAGTGTAGGAGTTTAGAAAGGTACTCCATTCTAGAAGAATTATTGCATTGATGTTAAGCATTAATATGGCGAAAACTGAGTTTGAAATTTTCCTTATAAAAAATAAATTAGTATTAACTTAAGAAGTAGTCAGAGGGGAACAAACTCTTGATCCTTTATTGGTAGATATTGTTACCACTGGATGAATGCCCCCATTGCAAGAAAATATCAACTGTGCTTTATGTTGTTGTTGTTTTCATTAAAATCTATTTACTTTTTCCAACCAGTCAGATTTTAGAACTCAATTTGAATAACTTACAACTTAACACTGTTTGTTTTATCATTGTATAGCACATATCAGTGAAGTTTGATGGTAGAACAGGAGCCATGAAGTCGATGACAAACCTTGCAAGTGGTCGAGAACTTGATGTTGTACAAGATATTGTGTACTACCTAAGTCACCCAGGCAACTGCAGTAAACCAGAGTTTGAGCCTTCCGGTGCTTATGTTTTCCGTCCTCTACATGAAAAACCAGAAACATGGAAAGTTTCATACCCTGGTGATGCTTCACAGGTACAAGGATAATACACTTGTTAATATTCCAGTAAATTGAAATCTTTTATTTAAAATGTGATTTTTTTACCAATTTTACTAGAAATACCAGTTATATCTCGGGTAGTAGAATGATTGTATGTACCTATTACCTATTGAGCTAATTGGACGGCTTTAAAAACTATAAAGTTAATTTACTTCTATTTGAATAAAGATAACATGGTTAATGATGCATGACTTGATGCCTAGCTCTTTTTTTTTATTTTGCCTCAATATAAGTTAAATTTACATTAAAAGTCTTCAAATATTTTTGGTCTGTATTACAAGTATTACTGTATTCTGTTCTCGTATTTCAGGGTCCTCTAGTACAAGAAATTTATACAAAGTTTAGTTCCTGGGTTACACAAGTTACAAGAGTGTACACTGGAGAGAAGTATACTGAAATTGAATGGACAGTTGGACCTATTCCTATAAAGTCAGTACCTCTTTTCATATATGTTTTATTTACTTTTATCACTCACCTATTTTTTTTTATTTTTTTTTATTGAAAATAAATCCTTTTTTTAAACTATGAAACCTGTGTAAAAATACACCTCAATAATAAAGAATTTGACCTCATACAGAAAAAGTGTCTTTTTTTCTTAAACACAAAGAATAAAATCTACTGCAGTGTGACCTGTTTCAAGAGGCCATTTATCAAAATATAAGTTTCCACTGGTACCACTTCTCAAGACTAGCTTTCATAGACAGATCTAACAGTTTATGAAATTTGAATAATATGTATGTTTGTAGGATAAGTAATTTGCAGAGAAATTCAGGTAAATACTGTTTAGTTATCCAGCCAGGAAAGCTTGTAAAAAGATATCACCTAAAATGTGATAATTCGGTATTAAAAATCAAACAAGCAAACAACACTATCAAAACATGTACATTATATATGAATTTTTGTAAATTTCTTTATTTGAATGGATAGTGACAAGCAAGGTAAAGAAGTGATTGCAAGATTCAATACTTCATTGAAAACAAATGGAAAATTCTATACAGATGCAAATGGAAGAGAAATTCTTGAGAGACAGTAAGATATTCTTCCATTATATATAGCTTATAAATTAAATCTTTATAATCTGCACTGGCTTTTAAATGAAGAATAACTTGCTCTGAATCATTGTCCGTCAAACTGACCGTCAGTAGTTCTGTCAGTGTTTCTTGTAAACTAAATTTGAAAATAGGATAACTTAAAATACACATTTTATTTATTCTTTTATCTTGTATAATTAAGGCAATGTAAACAATTTACACAATTATTTTGTTATTATTTTTCAAACTAGTTGCTATGTCATCAAATAGTTAGTATCACAAAGGCACTGATTATACATTGTAGGAGAAATTATAGACCAACTTGGAAGTTAAACCAGACAGAACCAGTTGCTGGTAACTATTACCCGGTTAATAGTAGGATCTTTATGCAGGTAAATGTTGTCTCTCTGTTTACAAAAAACAAATTACATATGTATTAATATCCCAATTATTTGTTTGTTCCCATTTATTTCTGTTTGTTTAATTATACACCCCACTCCAACTAATGGAAAATAAAAGTTAAATTTTATTATTCAAGTTCACTAATAATAGAACACAAAGGAAGTGTAAGTGAAAATGAAGTTATAAAAGATAAGTTCTGAAAGATATGCTCTTTGTAATGTAGTGTTTTTAGAAAATAGTTTCTTATATGGGTATCAATCAGACTCTGTTAACTGTTAGCTTAACTTTTCTTATCATAATACGAAAATACATTTGTCTAAAAGTTACTAGTTCTAAATTTAAAGGACATGAATTTAGCTGGATTGAGTAAGATGTTATAAACATAACAAAATGTATTGAGATGTTTGTCATTACTGGCTTGTTTGTTTTACAGGATACAAAAGAAGATACGCAGTTTACGGTGATGACTGACAGATCACATGGTGGGGGCAGCATTAATGATGGTCAAATAGAAATCATGGTAATTGTTCATCAAAATTCAACTTTTATATACATGTATACTATCATAATGTTTTAGTGGAAGCTGTTAAAATCATAGACCTATGCTACTAGTTTAAAACCGGAGTCTGTCCAGACTATGTATACTGTGCTCCTCTTAGTTCACGGTACTTAACGCCTTGAAGCAAGGAAGAAAACAGCACATGAAACTAATGGTACAAAAATTGTCATTAGCTGTAACATAAAGTTATTTTCTTCTGTATGACACAAGGAATCAACAATATATTTAGTCAAAATCAGTTTAAATGAGCCAGACGTAGATCATGTGTCGGCCATTTTGAAAACAGTATGTCATCATTTAAATCGCGGTAATGGTGTTTTATTTCAGTTTTTTTTTATGTTTCAGTTAAAATTTCTACATGTTATTTTGCATAATTTTAAACATTAAAACTATCTTTACTTTGTAACTCAAAATTTATTTTTTTCAACAAACAAGAACATTTAGAAAATGATGATTGTTTCAGACGTATGCACAAATTGAACAGACTATTGTTGCTTTTTGCAGAAGTTTGTAAAATGTTGTTCTGTTTTACGTCAAAATCTATAGATTTAAAATATTTTGCACAAAACTTTGTTATATAGGTGTTTGAATAAAATATGTCAATTCTGACCAATTTTAACGCTGGTCACATGAAAATATGCCATTACTGCAGTACCTTGAAATAAGTGATGACGCGGAATTAGTGATGTTGAGTATACCTTGTAAAATTGCTGTATAAATAATATATATATGGCTTTCAAATTACGATAGACAGTTTCAAAGTCACCATAAGGAACAATCTAGTCAAACAGACTGTTGAAAGACAGTTTCAAATTTCCAACTGGAACAATCTAATCATATAGACTGTTGTTAGTTCCAGGAACAGTCTAATCAAACAGACTGGTTTAAGTTATAGGAAGTGGACAAGAGACTGGTTCAAATAAGCTTCATGCTTTCATCACATTCAAGCTTTATATAAATATTTTTTACCTAAATAGATTCAGATTGTAAATGTGCTTTAATTTTATGTATAAATATTCTTTCTGCAAAGTGTCTTTGTAAAGCATGTAAAAAATGTCTTAACTTTGACCACGTTAGATTAATTTCTTAAATGGGCTTTTCCATAGTTCAATTTTGACAAAACCATTCATCTTTTTGAGGAAAATTTTCACAATAAGAACTGACAGATTAGCAAAAAGCTAGATCATGATCTTTGCTGGCTGAACTTGTGTCTGCACTGGATATATGGGTAAAATAAGTTGCCAGAGCAGGCTAAAGGTTAATTGTATTTGTAATCTTGTATATGTTAAATTAGTGTTACTACACAGTCTTATAACTATGTGAACTTCTGTAGCTTAGAGTGACTGGTTTCAGAAAATTATATATGTAAGTGATTCAAAATTTAAATTTTAGATGCAGCCCACTATTTTACCTGTTATATCATATTGTTGAACAATTGTAGTAATTTTAATCTGTTTTTAGTTACATAGACGTAACCTGTTTGATGATTGCCTTGGAGTGGGGGAACCACTAAACGAGACTGGAGCAGATCACAAAGGATTGATTGTTAGAGGTATACAAGTATAATATACATGTCATAAAAGTATCATTCTGTTTCAATGGTTCTTTATCATTCTATACTTCTATGAGTTTTGCAGTTAAATTTAAATATATTTATCATCTTTCACTTTTAAATGAATTCTAAAATTTATTTTTGCATGCTTTCATTTTGCTGTCATCATCAGACTGTGACTGAAAGTGACATGTATGTGCCTCCTGTATTGAGCCCGGCTAGTCTTCATATCCATGCTGATCGATACTTTAACATTGTTATTAAAATTGAGTTAAAATTCTGTGTTTTGATTATGAGTCAGGATTATCCCTCTTCATAAAGAAGAGAGCAAAAGTTAACTGCCTTTTTAAGAAAACTTTAAGAGACTACTTTTTTGTTATCATTTCCATTTGCTTTGACCATGTGGATTGTTTTGAAAAGCTGTTTATATTGTAGAAAAAAAAGGTTTTAAACATATTTTGAGCTGTATAAAATGGAGCTGAATGGCTACTTTAAAGGACATTATTTGAAACCAAGAGCTTTACATTGTTACATTAGTTATATTTAACTTATACAGTAAATCCCTCAATTAAGACCACCATCAGGACTGGACCAAAGTGGTCTTAATTGTGTGGTGGTCTAAATTGTGAATATTTTTATCATTGCTTACATACTTTATGCCCATGGTCTCTTTTAGTCATTTTGTATGAACAAACCCTACAAATACAACATGTTATAATATTTAATCAGATGTGAGCAAAACATTTTTCTGAAGAAATTTAATATTTAATTATCGTTGGTCGGATTTCAATACTAATTATTATATACTGTACATATTTCACCTATCATATAAGAAATTATTTCTTCACAAAATAAATGTGCTGAAAGCAACATTGAACCAGAAACACAGTAACTCTTAAATTTACTTTCACACCTTATTTCATACAATAACCTTATAACAACAATTTTTGACACCTTGTTAATCTAACAGCATTCAAAGCAGATAATAACAGCAAATATGTGTTCTTGATAGGTGTTGACTTTAAAAATCGGTGGTTTCAATAGTGATTTCAAATAATGAGTAAATCAAAGAATTGGGACTGAATCTTGTGGTCTTAAAAGTGGATAAAAGGATTGGTCTTAATTCTGGAGCATGTAACTATTGACATAAAGAACAGAAAATTCCGTTCTTATAAAAAATGATCTGAATGTGGTTTTAAATCTGAGTTGGTCTTAGGTAGAGATTCTACTGTATATTACATTTTTTTCAGGTAAAATGTATGTGTTTATGGATACTGTAGCTAACTCAGCTAAGATGCATAGAGATTTAGGGTTGAGAACATACATGGCACCTATACCTGCCTTTGCAAAAACTGATATGAAATATTCCGAGTATTCTCAGTATTTTAATACGATGGTTTGTATTATTTATTCTCTGTGATTTGAAAAGATAATGAAAAAATTGTACAACACTTAAATCTACTTGCTTTTAGTTCTTGTTATCTCAGCATAGATTGGAATGAACATTTTAGAAAAGTCAGTGGGTCTTTAATGTGTTGGCTTGAAGTTCTTATTTTTCCATTCATGATTTTTGGATATAACGCTTTCGAAATTTTCAACCTTTAATTGTACTGGTTAATAGTTCTTATATTCCTGTGCATTATCTGAAAGAGAATTTTTGAAGTAATTATGACACTTTAATGGATTGACAGAGGAATGGATACCTGTAAAAGAATACTAAAAGTTTTATGAATTATTGATATACTGATCAATAAAGATTAATTTTCTTTTCAGTGGTCAGGAATCAAGTCACCTTTACCAGCCAATGTTCACATGTTAACTCTAGAACAATGGGGTGGACCAGCTATAGAACCTGCAGCCACACAGCCATACCTGATACGTCTTGAACATTTCTACGAGAAAGGAGAGGATGCAGAGTTATCTCAACCTGCCACAGTTTCATTACAGGTTGTTGCATTGTTTTCAATTTTCTGGATGGTGTTTAAGTCACGTCTTTGCTATTTATGTCATTTATGTTGACTTTCAAAATATATCAGTAGAGAAAAATGCAAAAGTCGCCAGGCACTATATGTAACACACAAGCTTTCAATTAGTTAAAAAAAGCATCAACCTTCGGTGATCCAGATTTCTAACTGATAATGTTAAGATTCCCATGTATGTAGGAAATACTGTTCACTTTGTTTCATTTGTTAACATGGAAGGTAGATAATTCATGTTAACACCTCTGACAATGATCATAAAATTCCAATAACACCTTCATAGGGCCAAGCAAATCAAAACTTTAAAGCTGCTTTTGTATTTGAACCAGATAATATTACATTGTACATTTTTTAAGAATTCGATCACAGTATCTTTAAAGCATCATGGTTCAGTACACAAATTCAAAACAGAACCAGTACCAAATCATGATAAACTGCAGAATTTCAGCTTATTTTTTCTGTTTATATATATTATATATATATTTATCAGGACCTGTTTGTGCCGTTCAACATAGAGAGTGTAGAGGAGTTGACACTAGGGGCTAATCTCCCCAAGTCTCAACTTAACAGACTGAAGTGGAAATCCCAGGATAAAATTCTTACTGATAAACGTAAGTTTTACATTTGCTGTTTATAACATATCAAGATCATCTATTGTGATGTATGAAAAAAATCCAATAAAAAATTATTTTCACTTTAATTTTCTATTTTTCTTTCTTCTTAAGAAACCATTTCTATTTCTTGAAGACAAGTGAGACATAAAGAGTGTAGTATTTTTCTACAAACATTCTATTTTGATGATGAACGCACTTTCTTTAAACAATGTATATCAGACAATTCTATTTACATAATTAATTATCATGATTTTATATCCCCCAATATTTCTAATAATCTGCTTTGTGATACACGATTTATAAGTTTCGTATTTGTTTGGGTTTCACATGAATATGAATCATTATTAGAGGTCACTTTTGGATGTCAATAACTCTGGCATGGATTTTGACCGACATGTGGCCCTTTGTGAACTTAAAAAAATCTTGGTCAGTTTTGCCATCAAAAATACTGATGGTTTTCACTTGTAACTTAAATTCAGGTTTTAGGAACTATGATTTAGGACACTTTTCAATACCCATAACTGGTATGGATTTTTAATGAAATCTGGGCCATTGTGAACTTTATTTGGTCAGTATCCAAAAATCAAATACTCATAATTATCTTATGTATATTTTTGGAATGAAATCTTACTCTTTGTTAATTTCTACATTCTCTAGCCTTTTGTTTTGCTATCAAGCACTGAGAATAGTGGATGGTGCTATCCAATGGACAGCACTTGTTTTTATCATGATGTCATTTTTGCAGACGCACTATGACCAAAATTATTTTATTTTCTATATGAACGTTTATTTATTTGTTTAGTGAAAAAAATTATTTTCATTTCAGAAAATATGTACATGGTTGAGAACAGGGTACCGTTGACTGGACCACTGGACATAACTCTGACACCAATGCAGATTAGAACATTTGAAGTAAATCTTAAGAATGGTAAACCAGTCAACGCTGCAGACAAGTTCTCTGTATTTTCTTAGAGAAAAAGTGGCTCCAGTTTGTTTAAACTGAAAACCATTCATAAATATTTGACTGGTTTATTGAGCAATAGACTGTGTTTTGTGTGTATAATTTTCGCACAAGGATTTGTACATAGGAGTTTATATGATTGTATTTGTGTTTACTTAGAATAGAAATCCATACTACAGCTGTATTAAATGCATTGTAGAAATGAAACTTCGTTTTTTAAGGAACTCCACTGAGGTAAAATCTTTCAGTTTTTGGTCATTTTTCACAATAAAAGTGATTATTCTGGGAAAAAAAGAGGTAAAGGAAGGGTCTTACCTACATCAAATTGTTCACAAATCTCAGAAAAATATTTCCAGTCCAGGCATATTAAAAAAAACCTCTTGACATCTCTTCTAACTAAAATCCATTAAAGAGAATAGTTAATAGTTGTTATATATATGCCCGACTCAAAAGCGGCATGCTTTACTTTGTTTATAATTATTTTACACATAATGATTAAGTTCAAGTTGTTTATAATTATTTTACACAATTATATTCTTTAGTTTAAGACTGGGATGTACTATAACGTATGTTCCAGGTTTAAGAGAAGAAATTCAAGCAGCTGTTTTAAAATGCACAATAATATGTATACTGTTTAAATGTTAAGGGATATTATAAACAAGTAGTTTTACTGCATTATCACTTTATTCCTTTTACTAAATTTCCGTTTTTCATCAAGAAAATGAAATATACATGTGTATATTGTTGATTATTTGTTAACCTCTGATTATAATCATTTAGAAAATATATTTTTGCATAAATATGTCTTGTGTCTTATTCTTCCCTTCCAACATGATGTCATTTGTATACAAAAAATGTTGGGAAAAAAAAACTTGTTCCCTATTTGTGTTTAAATAATACATGCATCGCAACTCATTCTTGATTTTCAAAATTAAGTCTTAAATACTGTTTTTTAATTTCAGGCCTAAAAGTAGAGGATCAAACTTGAGATAGAAGATAGTGTAGTCCTACAAAGTTGTCATTTGACCAGTACAAACTTTAAATGATAAGAACAAAAATACTTATCATACTGATCCTTGTTATAATAACTTTATAACAATTACTCTTTACAGACAGCTTCTTCTGTATGCTGTTATACTTGTATTCTCTAAATCTGGGACTAAAAATGTAAAGTGTATCTTTCTGTCCCAGTCTAAATATAAAAAATAACATTTTCATTGGTTGTATGGAAACATAAAATATAAAAAATGTCCAAATTGTCCAAGTTAAAATCTTCCTGAAATGTTTGTAACTGTCTGACTTAAATACATGAGCAATCAAAAAGGAAATTAAAACAGAACACTACAACAATTTAAATATTTATTTGTCAATTTTAAAAGTTACATGTATTTGCTGAAGTTCATCAAATATAAAATGGAAAAGAAAGAAAGAAGTTGAGAGAAGGAAAAGAAAGACAAAGCTAAAAATAATATGCTAAGCACTCAGTATGAAAAACAAGTACATGTACATGCAATATTTATACTTAATACACAATACACAATATCATTTCTAAAAAATAGTTTTAAAAACAAGGGGATGAGAAAAAATTCATCAATGCAAAAAATGGTTACTCAATTCAATTGGCATAGCAATAAAGATCATATTTGACAATGATCCTTATATACATAACGTTCATTTCATGAAAAAAGTTCATCTGTTGACTTTTCTCATCAAATTGTACTGATGTACTGACAGGCTTGGCACTGTAATATTGGGCAAATTTTCACTGCTGTTTGCAGCAACACAGCAAGATGTATGAAAATCTTAATAATGTGTGCTTTGAAAAACATAATATAAAGGGTGTCTCAAATACACTGTAACTGGTATTATAAAGTAAGCATAAAAACATAATTTTGATGCTGTTAAGTGTGTGCCTAAACAGTTACTAACAGCTACTGTAACTCTGGCATGTTTTGCCTACAATATACAGCTTATTTAGCCTGTACCGCCATTCAGTATCACTCCAGCCAGGCTCTATCCTGTTGACTCCTCATACACAGCTTACAGGACATAAAATCCTTGAATTCAACAATAGGTACTTGGCAAAGGGAAACTGTTTCAAAATGTCATTTAGTATTTTGAAACATTCACCATTTCCCTTTGATTATAGAGCCAAAGTTGCTAAATAAATAGTGTGTTTTTGGAACAGTTTGTCTTGTCTATAAAATAATCATTGCATATTTATACTACAGTAAACATAACATATAAATTTGCTCATCCCAAATAGCCATAACACAGACATAAACAGATAGTCCTGTGATATTTTTTTAAGATTCTTTAACAAATTCATGCTTTTATTGCTTACAAACAAAATTATGTCATCATGTTTTGTTGATTTGACGTATCTCATTCCAGTGTGTTCCAAACTCCATGTTGTACTTGTCTGTCTGTAATATAATATTAGACAATTTAAAATACATGTTATCAGGTGTATATCCCAACAAGACCCGTTGTGGGAAAATATAACGTTAATCAAATTTAATTTTGCTAGGCATATTAAAGAACAAACATCTATTATAGCTATTCTATTACATTATCAATATAACTTGCAATTCATCACACTACATGCACATAAATAAAAGAGGAACATAAAATATCAAGAGAAATTTGTGTTGTAATTGAAAAGTTTTAGTAAGCAAGAATTATATATATATGTATTTAAATGAAATATCAAAGAGTGTGTAATTTTATAAATATAAGGCACCAGCGTTATGAATCTTGTCATATGTAATTGGATGACAATAGGAAACAAATATTTAAAGTTATTCTTTTTTAAGGGCATTGGAATTAATGCTATTTTCTAATTATCATCCTATCATTTCATTTGCTAACCAAATCAACATTTATAGAAAATTTTCTGTTTAGTAAAATGATAATATCTGTCATATGTTGCAGTTCAGATCGGAACCATTGGATGTGTTCCTGAGGGACAGATATTCTGATCCAAACCACAAACATATGTCAGATATTTTTTCTTGCATTATTCTACCATACTGGTTGGGGAGATAACTTGTACTGGTTGATAAACTCGGCTTTTTATAATTTAATCGACTTATCGGCTTTTTTTATGTAATCAAGCTCACCATCTCGTACGAACGCTGGAATTTGACACTATCTGGAAATTTTGTTAAGTTTGGTAAGATATTTAAAAAATAGCACAGACATTTACCTGTTTGTTTAAAAAACATGCCTATAAATAGTATGGGAAATCCGATTGCTGCAAGCATGCGCAGTAGATGCTCATTTTGAGGCCCGTTTTGAGTGTTATTTTTATATATTGACCGACTACCGGTAAAGCAGACGATGTTCACGGATACATTTTGTAGATGAATTTAGACTCAATTTTGTCTTGCAAACTCAGAAAAAGTCCGATTGCACAAATAATCACAAATGTAATCTTTTAGTGCAATGGATTGAAAAACTGATGTTAAATGCTCCTTTATATGTTATTGTGTAGGTTGAATACCACTAAATTAATTTCTTCTTCACTCTGTTAAATTACGAAGTTACCCAAGCCAAAATACATTTGAATCACTAATTCTAAAACTACATATTTCGTATGTTAATAAATGAAAATGCATGTCTTTTTACAAAAAAAGTATCCGAGTTTTTTTGTTGTTTTTTTTACATAACATTGTATAAAAGTAACAGTCCTTATTGAAAATTTCTGATAAAAAATATTTTTTTATTTGACATATATGAATAGCAAAGGAATAATAAAATGTCTAAACATGTTATTCTACGTTTTAATTTACTCATTAAAAATGATTTAAGAAGAAAAACAAAGAGCCGAAATTATCTACTCGCGCGTGTTAAAAATGTGCTTTTTACGTACCTCTTCCAGGGCCTCTCAAAATTACCCGTCTTGTTTCTAAATATAACTTTTATGGTGATACCGGAATATCGAAGAGCTGAAGTTTATTATGGTGCAAGATTCATCAGAATACGTAAACAAATAAATGAAATATGCCCCAAAAACACCGATTTTCGGCCGAGTTTATCTCCCAAACCAGTATTCTATTATATTTTAAATTCTTTACTTTAATAAAAACAATTTTCCATGGAAATTTATGTCATTACACCCAAAACTATTTTCTTATATCAGCATATGAAATTACAACTTCATTCATAACAGTAAAATGATGTCATCCTAAGCATGCCATTGTATAGCACACGACTTATCTGGCATCCCCCATGCCAGATGAAAATTCCGACATGGGTAAAACTAACGGAAACACCAGTCTGCTATGCAAGAAAAGAACAGGCATCCTCTCCAGACTCCACCATATTCATATTTAAATATAAAACAAAAGATGCTAACCTTTTGTATCAGATTTCCATACATTTCCCTGATGTTTTTCACCTGTTTTTCTACTGCTTTCTGTAACATAGCAACTTCCTGCTCTTTCTTCTTTTTATATTCCAATAACTCTAGTTTTCTTTCTGAATCACTATTCTGTTTCTGTAACTGTTCTTCTTTTGAGCTACAAATGATGAATTTATGGATTTATTTTTCAATTTTGTGATATTTTCACAAGTAAAAATGTCTTAACTTTAATAATTCCATCTTCAGATTTTCTGAAAAAGGATTTTTGAGATGGCAGACAAAAATTTATTAGTCCAGTTAAACAAAAGACTTTAGTGTAAAATAACTCTGGGACTGAAATTTCACTTCACGATACTGAACCAAAATCCAGATTAAATTTCAAATCTAAAGAAAAGTATAGATATATAGAAGGAAGAAAATCAGGACTTTCAAAATTTATAAAGATAATGAAAAATCAATGTCGAGATAACGTAAGTAGATTTAACTTAATACCACATTGTGTATCACCAAATCTGTTACCAAATTTCAACAAAACTTCTACGTAAACTTAATAATTTGGCTTAAAGCTGACTAAGTGAAATTTTTCACAATAAAAATACATTCACTCTTACTTTTTCAGACTCTCATATTGTTCTTGTAGGACACGTAACCTACTCTGATGTTGTACGGACATCTTGGAGAGTTTTTCCTGTCGTGTTGACAACATCTGTTGTATCTGTTCCTTCCGTGTTGCCAGTTCACGTTCCTGTTCCCTGTGCTCCAATATCTTATCATGTAACTGATTCTTCTCACCTTCTATCTCACTGCAAATCAAACAAACACTCTGTTTATATCACACAATAGACTTTATGAAACATGTTGAGGAATGGACAAAACCCAACATCTGAACCTTAACAATGTAAAAATTCTGTCACACAGACATACTCGAGAATATTTAGCAACATTATAGCTGTTACTGCTGGTGAAAAATTTAAGGTGCCACAGTGTGTAGTATCCTGCAATCGGGTGCATCCACAAACCATTTTATTTTCAATCAATTGCATGATGTTATGTCACAGATTTTTTTTCAATTTTAGTATTATCTCTTTCATTGCATGTAATTATAATATTTATCTAGAAATGTGTCCGTAGGATACAGATACTCCGACATTCTACTGTGGTGTCAGTCTATATAAAGACAGTGTAACAACAGGACAGAAGGTTGGAATAACAAGGGCAAATCTATAGCTCCCACCCTTCCTCCAAGTAGAGGTATAAAAATGGATTTGAATTTTGTGTATATTGTTTGTTTTATTTATTGACATGACATTACATCTAATTCAGATGGCCTTCATACATAATATTAATCTACATCTGAATTTTAAACTGTACAGTATCTAATGAAAGTGCTTTAAAAATAGACTGCATTTTCTAATTAAAACATTAGAATCATACTTTTCCTTGTTGATGCTAGCCTGCATGGCCTCAAGAATTTGTAATCCCCTCTCAGCGTCCGCTCCTAGTTGTTTCTCCCTCTGTCTTTGTTTCTGTACCTCCCTGTAAAGAGTAATGTCAATAGATGTCATAGTATTACTAACAAACACTGTCACACCTGACTTCATATATCTTGGTTGATGATTACTGGGCTTATGGACACTTGAAAAATGTACATATGAATTAATTTTGTTCTCAGATCAATAGTACACCTTTAATAAGTGTCTTTTGTAGTACATTCTACATGATATCTAAAGATAAGGAAGATGTTATGAAAATGTTTGACTCATGTTATCAAATTTTTTTTCAGATTATTTTCTTTATAAAATATGGTCATGAGATTTTAATAATAGTGTGATAAATCTTCAAAATTACAACAAAATATTATATTGTACTAGTATAAAGAGATCATCCTTAATTTTTAGATAAATGGCATCAAAAGGAGATCTTGTAAATAATATTTAAAAGGCATAAAAGGATTGTTTGGTATGTAATATGTATTGTATCACAGCATGATAACACTTTGCATGATTTTCTGGATAATGATACGCCTGAATAGCCCTATTTAATACCTTTCCAACGGTTTGAACACAGTTTAAAACTAATCGCAATATTACTAGAGCTAGTCATTTACCATTGTTGTAAATATGGTTGGCAAACAGATTGAGAATATTAAAGAAATAGAATTATTTAAAAGTTTGAACAAAACTCAGTCATAATTCTAGGTGTATTATTATCAGAATAAGTACTATTTCCTAAATTTAGGTACTTTTAGGTGTCCCAAATTCCAGGTGTATTAAATAATATAATCAAAAATATAAGGAATATACCCCAATCTATGCCGCTTTCGTTCAAACTCATCCTGGAGATATTTCAGTTGCTCCTTTAAACGTTCTTGCTGGGCTCGTACTTTCTCTGGTGACTGAACTATTTTCTGTGAGAGTTTATCTTCATCCTCCTTACTCTTCAATATCCCAACCTTCAACTGATCCTGTATAAATATATGTCAAACTAAATGAAAAATCTTTGATCATGGGAGAATCAATGTATTTTTTAATCAAAATTATTCCAGTCTAATACGAAATTGATGTTCTAGTACTTTGGTTTATAACAACATGTCTCCTACAAATTATCAATTCAAATTGTCAAAATAAAATGAAGATAGTATGTTATTTAAACAAATAAACAATTATCCAGGGCTTCCATTAAGTTTCAAAATTTGGGAGTCAGAAACTTCAAAACCTCTGATATTGGAAGTCGCATTATACAAGTAATGAAGGAAAAGCATTATAAATTGGGAGTCAGAAGCCAAAATCAAGGAGTAAATGACACCCAAACTTCCATTAAATGAAGCTACAGGCTCTTTGACTTAAGGAAGATAAGAAAGTGACTTATCAAGCATAATTGCGAGTTTAAATGCAGTGATTAAAAAAAAAACCTTTTTCTTCTTATTTATTTCATGTCTTACATTTAAAGTGAAAAATATTATCAGCATCTACACGAATAAGAGTTTATTTAAAGTAAATTGCCATTCAATGGTTGTAAAAAGCAATTACAAAGCTTTTTTAGTTGTGTTTGCATTACCAAAAGCTTTAAAATGTCATTGAATTTATAAACTATTATGAATGGTCTTTCAGATAACAAGGGCTTTTTCTACATGTGCAAAAAATGTGTTTGCTTTAATGAAAGTCATAACAGGTTTCAAAATAACAGACATGCACGAAAACAAGATGCTATCAATTTTGAACCAGTCTAAAAAATGTATCAAATAAATAATTTCATATGGCAATTTTTGCTGATAAATCTGCACTTAAAACAAATTAACTTACTCCCTTAGCTTTCTTGTCGGCTATTCTTGTTTTAATGTCCATGATACTGGACTGTATTGTCTGTTTGTTTCTATGGTGCTCCTGTATTGTCAATGTGATCTTTTCAACCTCATCTTGTACCTGGTAAATCAATCTCATAGTAAATATCAACAGTATTACATAACATTATGAAAAGCAACTGATACCTATAGGATATGACACAAGTTGCCAATTTCAAGTGACATTATTCCCACCCAAGAGTATATAGTGAGTGAACAGGTGAAAGTCAAAATAAGTTTATGTTTTACCATAATTGTTTTCAATTTTATAATGAACTCAAGTGGCATAAGGAAATTTCATCGGAATTTACCTGTAATGTTTAAGTTATAAAAACGTGGGGCACTCTTTTTATATTTGAGGCAGATTTACATTTTATCCTAGGCATTTTCCAGTATCAACTGTTGGTCAATCACCATTATAACAGTCAGTCTTTTGAAATATATAATCAGTTAAACTCAACTTGACAATGAAAAAACAAGCATTACTAAAATTTATTTTCATTTATAAACAGATGCCTAACATACAAATATAACATATGTACTTTATCATTGTATTACATATGTATAATATAAAGAAAATACATAATAGTTATAGAACATGGAAAACAAGGTAAGTCATGTGATAAAAAAATCTAAAAAGTTATTTTTATGCATTTTCATGAATGCATAATTTCTGGCTTGTAAAGGCAGATTGATAAAAAATCCTACATTTCTGTTGACCTAATTCCAACATACAAAATAAATATTTAGTACATCTTTGAAGCCATACTTCTGTAAGAACACTGCAAATGCCCTGTCATGTATATAAAAAGATTTACAATCCAACAGATTTTATCAATACATGTTTCACTTTAATGTAATTTGGCACATATAGGTGCCTTGTTGGTCCACATTACTTTTGTAAGCCAGACTGTGATTTCCTGTACATGAGAATGTGTTAGTATATTGTAATGAAATAGGTCAACAAAATAGGTTAATTGTAAGTCTAAAAACTGATGATTATTTTCATGTATTTACCCGTTTCTTCTCTGGTTCTTGCTGTGCACTTTCTGCTCGGATCTGATTTATTCTTTGTTTTTGCTCCTCATTTCTCTTCAATAAAGTGTCATGGTGTTCACGATCTCTTTCCTTTAATTGAACGAACAAAAAAATAATCTTTTATAAATATAATGCGGATGAGTAGGATGTTATAGGGAAGAATAGCTTCATTATAGGGCCTATAATGAAGCTTGCAAGGTAAAAGGGATAACCATATTAATACAGACAAAGCCAGCATCAACAGAGTAGGTCCATTAATCTATTGACTGTTTGCAGAATAGCTTGTAAAGTAATATGAAAAGTTCAACTTCCTTACTGAATTAATTTTAACATACAGTGGTAAAAACAAGTGATTTCATAGTCATTCAGACCAATTAAATTGTCTGTATCATTTAAGGAAACGACTGTGACTATTTGTTGAAGTTAATAAAGCAAATTTTATTCCAATAAATCATTTACTATATAGATCACTATTAAATCAGTTAAAACAACAACAAATAAGTCTCTATTTCTTAAATAATTGTCACATGATTGTTTTAATCAATATTTATTATTACAGTCAGAAACAACGAAACAAGAATAAGAGAACTATATGGTAATACTTACAATATCTATTTTAATATCTTCATATGTCTCTATCCGTGTATGTTTAAACCTCAGAAAGTTGATAATTGCACTGAAAATCTTTTTCAGTTTCACAGTAGCTGAAGTAAGTAAAACATATAATTCTTGAACATGTGAACAAGTTAAAGTTTGGTTTCCTGACTTTCGCTTATTTCCATAGTTTAATATAGTCTATTAGTCTTAGGATGGCTATCATGAGTCTGAAATCCTGTAATTCAGAAATATTAAATCCTGAAATCTTTGGCTAATGTGTACCATTAGAGATAAAAAAACTGAACAACTTTCATTCAATTTTTCCAAAACAGTAAATTGCAGTATTACTGGTATAGTGTCCCTGACAAATTTAAATTAAACAAAGCATCTGTCATTTTCTTTTCATTTTACTGCTTTTTAATTAAGATATACTATCTATTCAACACCTAATATACAACAATGGCCAACTTCGTAAACTATTATTTAGAAATTGATGAAAATACATGTATGTTATATTTTAAACTTACAACATTGATGAATATTAGTGAAATTCAATATTTAAGGTATAAGTGATGAATGAATTTAAGCCAATCTTTTACATCAGATTCAAAGCCTGATGATTTGGTGAATATAAGAACATTTGAGACAATTTTCATATTTACATAATGAAAACTGTTTTATAAGATTTATTCAAACTTTGCAAGGCTAAGAATATGATAACCTTGCTTTACTTGATTATGAATTACTTGTCCTTGAAATTAAAAAAAAAAATAAACCAAAAAAATCAAATTAAATGGCATATAACTCAAAAATAATATTGACATCCCCCAATTTTATTCCAGTTGTTATCAAATTCTTAATCCATGCACAGTTTAAAAAAAGTTTTATTCTCTCTAAATGAAAACAAGCAACGCCAATAAGTTAAACGTTAATCTTAAAACATTAATGAATGGTTGTTCACAGTATCATAATAAACTTACTTGGAGCTAATATACTGCCACCATTAAAGTCTGTTACATACAAAGAAGGCATAATTTTCTTCCTGTAAATAAACAATCAGATTAGTATCTTGCACTATACTTGTAACATACTAAAATAGTTATACACTCTGCAGAAGGTTACGAGTTACATTTTATTACATTTGATATATAACAGTTGTTTTTTTTAAATTATCTGATTCTGTATGTTGAAATTAATGTTGTTTCCACACATAACTGAAATTTTACTTAATAGAAAATAAATTTCTAATTACCTCCCTTTACTAATATGAAAATGTAAATTCGGTAATATCTTTACAAATAATGCTTTTTGGAACTTACAATAATAAATCTTCATTTGAGCATTACAGTTTTGATATAAAACAATAAATAAAAAAATGTGTTACAGGATCTTTAATAATTGAAATAGAATGCAGAGTCTTCCCTATTTCCTTTTCCATCACTTAAATACCAAATAGTACGAAAATAGTCTTGGATTATTGGGTATATATTTCAGACATAATTTTTGATATCATTACTTAACCTTTTAATTTATAATGAAGTAGAAAACATTGCAACAAAAATAATACTTCATCTTCAAATACATGACTTGCAACAGACTTACATAGCTTCAATCAGATGCATGACTGGAACAGACTCTGAATGTATCTCTGGAAAGTCAAACTCAGTGGAGAGTAGATGTTGCTGAAATATACAAATACCAATTAGATATACATGTAACAGGTACTGTCTATTTCAATATAAACCAAATATATAAGAAGCTAAAATCTTTCATAGCAGAAAAACTCAATAAGGAAAATATTATCAACTCAGAGCCAGAGGGGTCCTCTATGGCTGTGAGATAATAGTTGCTGAGCAGTATTATGTACATTTCTAACATATCAAAAAGCATTAGAACCTAAACTACGCCAGGAAAATTTGTTCATCATCCAACAGTGTTTAAAATTGTTGACATAATCGAGCCATAATAATAACATAATTTTAGTAATACAGAATTGTTTTCGTATTTCACACTGTCATCATCAGAATTTTTATGAATGGTTGTCATTGTCAGAAATAAAAAAGAAATCTCATTATTATATCTTAGTAAGAAAGGACCAAGCTGAAAAAGGAAACTAATTGTAAACTCAATTTAACGGCAATAAACCACAATTACTTAAACATATTTCAACACTGTGACTTTATGTATTATTTTATTTTGTAATCAATTGGAAGAAACATAATCAAATGTACCTGAAAGTAAACTGATTTCTACACTGTTATTTCTATTCATTTATTGCTGTTGTAAACAATTGAGAGAAACATCATAATTAATTCTAACACAACGTACATTTTTTCCTATTGAACATAGAAGAACCAAAAGTGTGTGTTATTATGCAATAAAGTCACTACTGACGTTCTATATTTAGACATATTACATAATCATTTAACATACGAGGTAACCACTAAAAACGTGATGCGCTGAAGATAAGTACGGAAACAAATCAGGCGCAATTTAGTGTAATATCAGGTACGGCAGCATTTATTTGTTGATGTCGTGTTAGAATCCAAATAATATATCTTTACGGTGTTTGGGATATATTATATGAGCCGTGTCATGACTAAACCAACATAATGTGTTTGCGACCAGCATGGATCCAGACCAGCCTGCGCATCCGCGCAGTCTGATCAGGATCCATGCTGTTCACTATCAGTTTCTCTACTTGTAATAGGGTTGGTAAGCGAACAGCATGGATCCTGATCAGACTGCGCGGATGCGCAGGCTGGTCTGGATTCATGCTGGTCGCAAACCCATTATGTTGGTTTTGTTGTGGCGCGGCTTATTTCTTAAATATACCTGAAGTAAAGTGTCCTCTGGAGAGCCTGTAATTTCACACAGACATTTCCGTAAAATATCTTGACACTGTAAAGGCTGAAAAAAATCAATAAAATCAAATCATCTAAAACAACATACATTTAATATTTTATAAAATTTTGCTATGCTCTGGGGCAAGTTTTATGAAATTCTATATGAGCTTACATTATTATTACGATGAAATAACAAAATCTCTATTTGATGCTAAATTTCTAAATTAACATGACACAATTGTCTCTACATAGGTTTTGAGATCATATTGTTTCCTATCAAACATGTGTAATTAAAAGAAATATAATGTAATGGTTTTTAGAAACAAACGTTGTGTAATAAATATAAATGATGTATAAAGTTAAAGTCCGAAAGTGCATAATTATTCAAAGAAACCTTAACTGGTATAAAGCTTAATGTATAATAGTTTAATACACTGCATGAGTAGGCTGTCTGTTAAGTTTGATAAAATATTTATATTTTTATTTCAAATCTGGACAAGGGCATTAATAATTTTTTGTGCAATTTTCAAAATATGTTATTCATGACTGAATAGGGATCAGTGCAGACCATGATTAGATGGATGGCACTACTGTGCCAGCTAATTTTGGTCTGCACCGGTTTTATGGGAGAAGCCGTTGCTATAATAATATGTTAAGGATCCAAATTAAAAAAATTATGACAATTTCTTTGAAATTAGACAATGTTTTCATGAAAATATCTTACATCTGGTTTTTTGAACCATGACTCCTGCAGATCAATGTTGCACAGCTCACTCAAACTAGCACAAATCTGTGCCGGAGTCATCTCCGGAAAAGCAAATGACATCCTGCAAAAAAAGATTATAAATCTATTCCATACATCATAATATTTCATAAATAATGAGGAAATAAATAAATAACAAAATTGTGTGGATACTAATTTTACCAAGGGTGAAAAATCCTAAGCGATGAAAAATTGTCAAACATTTCTATCCCTTAACAATCTAGAACATTTAATCTTCAAATTTTGTTATGAAATGTATGTATGATATGAGTATATAAAACATCAACAAAATATCTTCGTATGATGGTTTTGAAAACTTTTGCCGGAAGTACAGCAAAATTATGGCTGATAAGTTTGCCTGCTTTTCAATGGAGGTTATTTTGGTTCCCTGTCCTATTATATTTAGAGCACACCAGAAATCAGACCCAGTAGGATACCGGCACTATCATTTATTGAAGCCAAGAAACAGTGTTTCTGATTTCCTGTCTTATTATGGTTCCCACTCAAATCGACAATCGAAAATTTTTGCTGATTAACTGTTAACAACAATCCTTATTAACATCAAGTTTTGCAAAAGTAAATTTTCTTAATTTGGGACTTCTAGCGTGTTCAAAATTGGTTTAGGCCATCCTTAAAACAAGAGCTGTCCGTAAGACAGCGCGCTCGACTTTTTTATTGCTTGCCAATAAAAAAAGTTTTTGCAGTAAAAGGCAATACAAGAATCTCTGTATTTTTAAAGTGAACAATGGCCATGAGCATTAAGATATTTAGTGAAGAATTATTTTACTGAATTGTGTGATACCCTTGAACACTGCAGCAAAGTTTGAAATGTTTAAGTCAAAACATTGACAGTTAAGGGCCATAATTCAAATAAAATCTTTGACAGAATTACCTTCTCCTGGACATGTTTGGGAATCATGATTGTAAACAAGTATTCCAACTTTCAAATTAATATCTCAAACAGTTCAGTCAAAAAGTGGACTGGTACTAAAAACTTAACCAAGATTCTAAGTCGATAAAAGGCCTTAATTTTTAAAAACAAATCCTTGACAGAGTTACCTTCTCTTGCGTACAGATGGGGGTAATGATGTGAAATAGCATTAAAAGTTTCAAAGCAATATCTCAAAGGGTTAAGGCAATAAGTGGATTTTACCCATATTCAATGTATTTTCTAAGTCAAAAAGGGGCATAATTCTGTCAAAAACCTTGACAGAGTTATGTCCTCTTGTCTGTTGATGAAGGTCGTGATGGTAAACAAGTATGGTCAGTTTCAAAGCAATACCTCCAATGGTTTTGAAATAAAGTGAGGTGGTACAAAAAACTTAACCAAGCTCAATACACTTTCTAAGTCAAAAAAGGGCCATAATTCTGTCAAAAACCTTGACAGAGTTATGTACTCTTGTCTGTAGATGGAGGTTATGATGGTGAACAAGTATGGTAAGTTTCAAAGCCATACTTGTAATACTTCTGAAATAAAGTGGGGTGGTACGAAAAACTTAACCAAGGTGTGACGCCGACGCCGACGCCGGGGCGAGTAGGATAGCTCCCCTTTTCATAGAAAAGTCGAGCTAAAAATGTTTGTTTGCAGTAACCCGACCCAGAATGTTCAAGGTGGGTAGGTAGGTCGATTTTTTTTTTTTTTTTTTTTTTATTGAACTGTACTCCCAAATAAACATGGAATTTCAAAATGCTGGACAATATATGCTTTAATAATCTGGTAACAATTAATAAATTGATAACTGAATTCTAATTTAATAAGAACTACATTTTATTTCTTCTATTAACCTTTAAAAGAATGAAAACAAAGCACAGGGCATAATTTTCTGATTAAAAAAAAATAAACTTTTTTATCCAGACCATGAAAAAACATTTGAGTAGGGGCAAATTTTGTGAGTCGGTCGCGTTACTGCAAACAAACATTTTTTTAAGGATGGCCTTATAAATACAAAATTTTGTAAAATATATAAAATTTGACTGATTCAATTAAATAGAACAATTTATGATAAATTACAGGCAATTTAATCAATAGATGTAGAATAAAAGGAGATAGACGCCAAGTCAATATCAAAATTTCCAGGAGGTGTAAAGACTAAGACACCTTTCACAACATACCTTGAATCCCAAAATGTAATTATTAATACAGATATTTGACTTTAAGCATATTGAATTAATATTATCCAACGAGTGGATTCAATTAAGATACAGTACTGTATCATATAGAACATGAAACGGCCATATTTAAAAACGAAATAATAATCTGCAGAAGTATTGAGTGAATTATTTTGCCAAAAGTGTGCAGGCTTAATGCAACATTTTTTCAGCTGATGGGTTTAATAAATACATAATAGCATTATATCTTCGCCTTATTCATATCATTTGCAAGTAAAGATAAGCTGAGTGAAGACAAGAAAACATTTCTGTCTAACTATCTAGAGTCTAGTGACTAAGTCTGTGGGCCTAAATTCAGCAATGTTTTGTTTTTCGTCATTCACGCGAGATTTCAGAGGTGAAGGTCAATCATGTTTATGTCCTACGGTGTATTTTTACAACTTTAGTGATTTTCTGCGCTTAAAATGGAGATACGGCTGGTAAACATTAAAAATTGTATATGACAGACATGGAGAAAATTGTGTGTTTTACCTGATCAATGCAATTTCAAGTTTATCTATAATTTCCTCTAATTGATTGATATTGTTGCTTAAAATAATTTGACAGTTATTTGACTGTTATCTTACTATTTTTACTGACGATCTAGGTCAACATACTATGTCACAATCCCGCCAAAATTAAAAATTTACTACAAGTACAACCAATCAGAATCGCCAATTTCAGGTGACGTTTTCAGATCGTAGTAAGATTTTTATTTTTACATCAGCGATATATGTTTATATTTGCAACCGCTGAACGATTACATTGTTAGCAATCAACTTAAAGTAACTTAAATAGTTATAGTAAAATTATATCAAGTATAATTATAAATTACTGTAGTTTATTGAAAATGCCATTGACATTTGTTCTTATATCGCCGAATAATTTTTAGGTTACACCGGCATTAGGTACCACAGCCAAAATTTGAAATAAATTAGAGTAATAAGTGTTATATATCATTGGAAAGCGACTAATATATTTACGAGGAAAAGAGTCAACTCGGCCCTGTTCCAACTCGGCACGGGTCAACTCGGCACTGGTAAACTCGGCCCACTTTACAAAAATATATATAAGGTATTTTAATTAACTTTGCTGGGCATGTTGTTAAAGGGATATTCAGGCAAAATAATGACAAAAATATCAAAATGATCTTATGTACTCAAATCATGCTAAAAAGACTTTTTCTTGAAGTTTCAGCATTAATTACTGATCAAATTCTATACATTTTGGGTATGAAGCGTAAATATATCTATATAATTATGTTGAACAAAATTTAGACGCCAATAGAATCACCAAATAGTTTTAAAACAAGTCAGGTGACTTTAACAAACCTTTGAAGTTACAATAATAGACATTGTGGATATTGTATGATTGAAACAAGCCTAAGTCATTCATTTGACATGTTCTTTAACGTTTCCAGTGTTCACTTTGACAACTATTGTAAAATGCTAGCGCTCTAACCTGACCAACGCGGGTCAAGTTAGGAAACCACCATTTTATTCTTTATATGGAGAAAAGTTTTGTTCCTTTGAATGTCTTATATATTCATTTACAGGGCATTTACAGAATAATGAATGAAAAATTCCAAACTAAGAAATGAAAATTTTGCATGTGTCTTCCTTTAAGGTAAATGAATAATAAGACATATTTTATTACTATATTATTATACATTGTACTTCTGCCGAAATAAAGTATGTTTAGAAAAAAAAGTTATTTATTTGTCTTGCAGATTCGATAAAATTAATATAGATCTAATAAAAATGTGTTTCCTTAGATGCATTTTGTTTGTAAAGTAATATTTAAAAAAATATGAAACAAAAACGTGTTTACTTAATATCATAAGCTTCTAATTAATTGCAGGTGGTCACTAATCAAATTTGAATGAATGAGTCAATCATAATTATCACCTAATTAATCGGTATCCTTAACATACACATTGATTGATAATAATAGCCCGTGACAATAGGAGTCCCTTTAATGTCTGTTTTCAATTATCTTTTATTTCAATATATATAATTTTTATACAGATCTTATTTTCGTAAAATTTTCAACATTATACAGACATTACCTTTTCCATACAAATCTTATTCATATACAGATGCTAAAGTTTTTTAACACAATAATGTATGAACTAATGTTTTTTTTTAAACAACCTAAATGCGTTATTGAACAAAGATACGGCTCAGAGTGGATTATAAATAAAATATTGTTTAAACTAGAACAAAGATGCAGCATGTAAATATCATTTATAGCTCTGTTAACGTGTCTTTTTTATATAGCGGACCAACAAGACGTCAGTTTTTTGGAGATGCACAAATCGATTATATATGATTACAATAATTACAATAAATAGTGATAACACAAACCTAAATTTTAATAATTGAAAAGTGGGCCGAGTTGACCCGTGCCGAGTTGGAATAGGGCCGAGCTGACTCGGGGGGCGAGTACGTTTTAGGGCCAAGCTGACCCGAATTCTATTTACGAATACCGGTTGTGGTCGTTACCAGGATACTTAAAATAGTCTAAAGATTTCCACACACCCTCTTTTACAGTTTATTAAACATCTCCTGTGTTTAGAGATTCCCAGTTTAGTGTGTTCAAAGTATATACTTTGATATAGAATACTACATTTATTCAAATTGGACTAACAACTACAAACTTTTATCAGTGATCTTGTATCCGAATCCCCGCAAGTAGGGTAAACAAAGAAATTAGTGTAAAATAAGGAATACTTCATTTCCTCTGATAAATTGTATGATTACTATTGATTATATTTTACTATATTACCTGCTTAAATATATTTAATCTTGTATGCAACAGCAAAATCTGCAAATTTATACAAAATATATATTTTAAAAAAAATCTCATTCAAATTAGGCGCTTGATTTCTATCTATGTAAAACCCGTACAACGCCCGTACCAATTTCCGTTCCGGTCTCCTCTCGGTATATTCCGGCCTCTCTCGGTCTATTTTTTCCATTTGTTGTACGCGTTATGTAAACAGATCCTGAACATTTTGTATTATGTTATAAATTAAAATTTATGCTACATTAATTTGAAATATGTGTTTAACTACATATTGTCACAAGTGCCGAATACCCCCAACACGTACGCCCTTGTCAGAAAACATGCTATTATAAGTTGATTATTATGCACATAGGGAGATGCAGTAGTTTACTGATTTTATAAAAATGTTTTTAAAGTATTTGTTCTACATCGATCAATAAGATGAATTAAAGTTTTGAAAGTTTTCATGACTTCTTTTAAAGCTACATGCCTCCAGATGAGTAAAAATATTTCAATAAAATCAAACTTGAGAAAAATGTACTAAGATGTAAGGAAAGGTAAAAGTTTCAAGATTCAGGAAATCTTTAACATATTATGTGCGATTAATGACTGATTTTTCAGTATTAACAACTATGTTTCTATCGCGTTACTAACGCAGTAAAGGCTATTTATGCAATATTTTGACCACTTTATTGGTAATTTACGTGGTTTGTAAAAGTCATTGATAAAGTGTAAATAGCTTCCTTTTGGTTACTTCATAATATTACACATTCAAGAACATTTTCAATCTTTTCATGAAAATAAGCATGAATCTGGAGGCGTGCTGCTTTAAGGGCAATACGTTCTTTCTTCCCTAGATTTCAACACTTCTACTCAGTGAGATCTATCTACCTACATAGTTTCATGGTGAAACCTTTTATAGTTCTCAAGTTATGTCTCGGACAAAGTTCAAAGAGAGAAAATGAACAAAGGGCAAGAACTACATAATTAGGGTAGGCAGAGTTACGGTTCCTCTGCACTGCACTTCTACTCAGTAAGATCTATCTACTTACAAAGTTTCAGGTTGATACCTTTTATAGTTTTCAAGTTACGTCCCGGACAAAGTTCAAAGTATAAAAATGAACAAAGAGCAATAACTTCAAAATTAGGGATGGCAGAGTTACGGTTCTTTTGCACTACCCTTCTACTCAATGAGATCTATTTACCAACAAAGTTTCTCGATAAAAACCCCTTGTCGTTTTAGAGTTATGTCAAGGACAAGTTCAAAGTTTAAAATAAACAAAGGGCAATAATTCCAAAATAAGGCAAGGCATAGTTACGGTTCTTTTGCAGTTCACTCCTACTCAATGAGATCTATCTACCTACAAAATTTGAAGTGGATATCTCTTATACTTTCAGAGTTATGTCCCGGACAAGAAATCTGCAACGGACGGACGGACGGACCGACCGACCTACCAACCACCAGCTGACTCCAGTATACCCCCTAAAACTTTGTTTGTCGGGGGTATAATTACAAAACTTTAAGTTTAAGTTTCTCCCGATAACACTTTTATGCAATTTTTTTCTTTCTATTTGTTAAGACATTGTATGCATGCAACGTAATTTTTTCATGGCTTATCACATAATGTATGAACTTGAAGATATAATGTGTTTATCATATACAGGCTGTTTATTGATATTGCACATTGCACTCATGGGTTTGTAACCTAATGTGAATAAAGTTATTATTATTATCATTATGATATTACAAGCTGGAATTGCTAAATTAGAACTAAAGCCGATTGATAAACAGCATTAAAGTATAACACATATATGTATCACATGTAAATGGAATATATCATACGCTTCTCTATTGAATTGAGGTATGATTTAGATATGTTATATGTGAAAAAAAACCCAAGAAACCTTTCGGAATAAGTAACACTGTCATAGTTTGAAAAGGGACAGGCATGTGGTAGTCCAGAGTGTACAATTTTGTAAATTGGTACCAACTGGTGTCATCAGCTGCATATTCCAATGCATTTTCTATGCCATTATAAAAAAACAAGATGACGTATTTATATTGTTCATTCACGACAGCATAGTATCTCTGAACAGGTTGTCGTGGGATGAGTGTCCCCTCACATAAACTGAGAACATTTTGAAGTCTAAGGTTGTAAATAGTGTAACTTCTATAATGCTTTTATCGTATTATTTTTTTTTTCAAAGTGTACACTTTGTTCATTTATAATTTACCTCATCGGTTGACAATAAGTTTTTTTTCCATTAATTAATCTATTTTCAATATTTATGAGAATATTTCGATTTAAATTCAATTAAGGCAAATAAAGACAACATCAATATATAAAATATTTGATCATTTCAACTTACAGTCAATCCATCACAGCCTTCGTATAAAAAGAGTATGGCTAAAATCTGTCATGATCATAATTATGTACATTAAAAGGTACATAAATAATTATGTAATGCAATTTCTACATGTAGTTTCAAACCAGCTATTTCTACAGAATTCCTTCCATATTGTCTTTACAAAATTCCTAGCCTTTTTGAATTGCTTCCATTCATCAGATGCAGTCCGGGACTGGATCCACGGTTGCCGTCGTAATTCATAAATGATTTGATTTATAAGGCATTCTATTTTACTTTTTACGTATTTTTTCTGTTGTTTTTAATGGTATTTTCTACTGTTTCTACTTTATTTCTTAGGATTTATTAGACGATAAGACGACCGTATACAATAGCTATTTTAAAACATATATACATTGTACAAAATGTATCATTCTTAATCAAAACGTTCTGCTACTTTGCATCCAAAGACCAAGCCTTTTTCTCTTACATTGAACAAGAGGAAGACTGTGGTGTTTAGCGGGTCTTAAATTCAATTGAAAATGAATTGTGATATAATTTCTTTTTTTTTTCCGTTAGGCTTTTGTAGGTGATTCTCCTGTGAGCCTCATTAAACCATCTTTACTGTGTTTGTTTTACTGCTTGTCTTGTAACCATGATATTTGTAATGTTTGATGTGGGATTTTTTATACACACACTGCTTTGCACGAGTAATTACGGGACAAAATGAGGACATCTTCAATCGGATTTTACATTCTCAGCAGTAGTGTTTTAAAATTCCTAATGTACATCCCTTAAGCGTGCACATTTACACTCTTCTTCTGTACGCATTGCATGGCCACATGATATGTGAGTGTGTGCTATCTCGTCAGGGTTTATATATACATGATATGTGTGATTTCACTTTAGATTAAATCCTTTCCATTAATTTAACCTTTCAATATGCTACTATGTTTATACATTGCATGTTTTGTTGATGTCAGTAAGGCTGGTCCTAATTGTATTGAGGATTGTTGTTTTGCTCTATTTTCTTCCACCGGGTATTTGTATGCTGTCAAAATGACCCGTACATCATTTCAATGTTGTTATATTTTGAAGGTCTTTCGATCGGGACCATTGATTTCAATATTATAAGTGTTGAAAAGTGAAAACAACTTGAGCCGGTGCGGGGGGGGGGGGTGAGAGGTGTTTCACTTTTTATTATTTCTCATAAACAGACCATATAAAACCGAGCTTGTGATTTTCAATTGCTATAGTTGTCATTACTTTCGAGAAAGTTCCGCTTTCCAAACTTTTGATATTGTATTGACTTGCGTACTTTTAACTGAGGCTTTAAAATTCGATTTTACATGTATACCCATATGAGCCGCGTCACGACAAAACCAACATAGTGCGTTTGCGACCAGCATGGATCCAGACCAGCCTGCACATCCGCGCAGTCTGATCAGGATCCATGCTGTTCGCTGTTAGTTTCTCCACTTGTAATAGAGTTGTTAAGCGAACAGCATGGATTCTGATCAGACTGCGCGGATGCGCAGGCTGGTGTGGATCCATGCTGGTCGCAAACGCATTACGTTGGTTTTGTCGTGACGCGGCTCATATGTTTTTTATGTTCAGTTTCAACCTTTCACATTTCTAACTTCGACTAAACAATCCTCGGAGGCATGGTGCAGTTGCCAGTTTCATTTAAGTCTCATATATTTATTGATTTAATTGACAGATGTTTAAACATACAATGTCTTGTTGAATACTTGTAACTTTACGCTACGTAAATACTTTTTTTATTGGAAAAATATCATTTGTATAGGATTATCTCACAAAGCTCACAATTGCATCAGATATCTCTTTCAAATTCTTTCAAGATCATAAAGAGTTGTAACACATATTTCAGAACCGGAAGCATTTCGAAAAAATTCAAGTTATATTTGTTTAAATCTGGTAATAAAAAGGAAATAACCATAATCTCTTAAGAACACCCAAAACGGCAAAATTGAACATGTGGCAGGCTCTGTTTGATTGAGTCTGTTCATAGGCGGTACTACTGCAAATTACTGTCCACGCCCCTAGCACCGGTTTAATCAGTATTCAACATTTTAAAGTACACGAAAATGGTGAAATATGCTGAATTAAGAATTATCCACATATGTTTTTTTTTCACATATGAACATTGGAAAACTTAACAGTTTATTTAGAATTTAAAACTTTAGTTCTTGTATAGTCTTAATACTATGTATGTCATGAATGTGACATGTATTGTAATAAAATTGCAAAATTGCTTTGCAATATATTTTGACAGACTTTTCATGAAGTAATTTCATCAACTATGAACATTTTAATACGATCCATTTTCCAATTTGACTGCTATCGGAACTCATCGGCTTTTAAGTCACCAATAATTTGTGATTGAATTTGGCTGTTCAAGCGAATGACTCGTTTCCAGTACTTTTAGTGTTTTGATTTGTTCCAGTGATCGGTTGTTTTATGAAGGAAGAAATACAAAAAGCAACAAAACCATTCAATTCTAATGCAATTTATTTTGAAGAAAGTTATCTTTACTTAACAATTACTGTTAGTAAATGTTCGACAGTGATAATAAATAAGTAACGCCACACGTTTTAGACTAAAGTAGTTACAGAAGTTGCTATTTGATAGTCCAATGAGGGATCATACATGATCCTGTTGAGAGCTCCGGGGATAGCGCTCATCAGAGATCAAACAATGTGATGTGTGAATTCCTACAGCGTCTCCCACTGTTGCAAAACAAACTAATAGTTTATATATATATGTGTATATAAATACATAATAGATAGCGCGTAAACATACAAAAAACAGCATCAACTCGTCACACCTGATTTCATCGTCCATGTGTATGACGTCAGGTAAAAATCAAGAAACAGAGACGTCTATATCACCTTCCGAGGTTGTCTTGATCGCCTTGGCATAATTTTAATGTAATGTCTAGTTTGAAGATTGAAAGAGCTCTATAAACGTCTTACTTAAAGATTCTAACCTAAACAGTCACACGATATAAAAATGCATTAAGTGTATGAGCGGGAAATACACACAGCGTTTCCAATATGGCAGTTAGAACAGAAACAGGATGAAGTATAATTTGTTTACTTAAAAGTCTTCATCATCACCCCCATTGGACGATGCAACAGAACGATAAGATGTATTAAGTCCTAAATGTGAGCTCCTAGTTGGTGTAGATTTATAGTATGGTGACAAATTTCCAGCCTGAAAACAAATTAAAGAAAATTATCATTTATACAAACATTATTTACGTAGATCTAGTGTATCTAAAATAAATATAATATTCGGTAAGAAGCAAGTCCTTAGAATTGTATCAGAGTTATGTTTTACGCTTTGTCTCCAAATAAAGGACTCTTCAAGTTATTGTCAAATACTTGTATATTAAAGTACATTACCTTTTATATTAAATGCAGAACAGTTTTGATATACATGTATATCGAAAATGTGTGTCATCTTGAAAACTGAACAATGTCTCTTGGTTTTATAACTTGAAAATAAAATCTGACTACATAATTCATAATTTTCAAAACATAATTTTAATTCATTTCGTTTAATTGTATAACTAGTACTCCTTTTTAAAACTGCAACTCTAGCCTATTTGAATTTGTCACAAAACTTCATGCCGGAGAAAAAACATGCATAAACTCTTAATAAAACTTTTGGTATGATAAACTGTTCAAAAGGTAAAACAAAAATGAATAGTTGATGTTGTGTTAGACATTCACAATGTAGTTATTTCTTTCACAATATCCTTCATGAAAAAATGAAACAGGTAGAATGAAAGTCAAAGGTAGGACAAAAGCCATTCAACGAAAAGGGCTGAAGGAGACATAACTTCAAAAAGTTTTAAGTTATTTATCTTCCAAAGTTTGCACAAAGAAAGCTTTTGATTGCAATTTACCAATGTTCAATTTTATGGTTCCCGTTAAATGACCCCACATGCTTTGTAAACTAACATTTTAGCCACACTACACTTTTTCAACATGTGTTAATTAACTCGTTTGCCCTAAAGTAGGGATGAACTTCAACGAAAGGGACATCACTCCAAACAAACTGTGACAAAAGTTGACACCATTCCATTCAAACTGTGTGCAACAGCGTTGATGCACGACTTACAGTTTATTCGGCATGAGAGGTATGTGTACTGCTTGAGAATTGGTGACTCTCCCGGATGGAAATAGAGGAAGTTCCCTGACAGAGGCATACATATTACGATAAATACAGTATAAAGATAGAAAAGATAAGAATAACTATGAATCTACCGAACGATCTAACTAAAATACATTGTCAAAATAAAAGAAATAAATGTAACAGAAACTTTGTAACATATCACATATTTCAGCATATGACCTGATGCTTATATATACTTCCAATATATATATATATACAATAAAGTCACACTTCTATAACTATTGATACAATTTATCAGTATTTTCTCGGGCCTACACATTCCAAAATAACAGGAACGAAACACATCTACGTTTACTGATTTCGAGTGCAATTGTTTTTGATACCTATGAATTTCTTATAAAGTCCAATAGTTAATACATAGAGTTTTCCCTATCCTTTCTCATTCTTTCTGCCTTAGCCATGGCCGCAGATAACGGAGTCATTGAAGCACCGCCCTAAATATATTTTCATATTGAAAACATGTTTTTGTATGTATAACTTTTACGCATTCAGGAAACTACTGAAATAGACTACTAAACTATTTCTAGTGTGGTCCATAACATGAACAACAAGTATTATTTCAACTTTGGTTTAGTAAATATATTTCCAACAGTGTAAGTCTGTTCAGTGTCAAAAGGGTTGACAACATTTTCCTGCTATTACCTGCTACATTCAAGTCTAAGCAGATGAAAATGGCTTTTATTTCTTAATCTGAAATTGTGGAATACGTTTGTCAAATGTGTAAAAAATTGCTTAATTTAAACAGTTGCATAATTGATTTAAATAAACTTATCAATATTCTAAACAAGTGAAGGATTGGTTATAACCTAACTGACTTTATAATGGGTATAATACTTACACCAGCAGGGCTAGCACTTGTGCGTGATGCGGATACAGAGCTGCGGTTCTTCACGCGCAGTTTCTGCAGGGAGTTCTCGGCGGAATCAGCGCGTTCCTCAGCGTCCTCCAATTCATTCTGAACCTTGCGGTATTTAGCGAGGTTAATGGCAGCAACTTCCTCCTGTAGGCAAATATGTAAAACCATGTCCAAACAATAAATGGAACAAATATCATTACACGATTTATAATTTCTTATCATCCATTGGTTTCATGAAAATGTATTCTGACTTTTATTTAAGACCTTGCATATAAAAAAGTGACTCTTAATTTAGCATGTGGCAATTTTTTTAACATTTCTGGGACGGATTTATTGCAGGTTATTAATAATAATTTATAGTAAGAAAACAGGTATCGCCGAACAACGTTATAAATCAAAGCTTGGTGGGTTACTTTTATATATGAAAAGTATGTAATATTAAGAAATACGTAATGCTTATACATGTTCAACATTGAAAACAAGAGCGACGTCATGTGATAAAATGATATTTAAAATATCAACTACAAAACATCTCCAAAGTCAATTTACATTTTATAGTTACAATTAAAAAAACCGTAAGCTTTGCGTCAATTTGCACGATAGTAACAGTGCAATAAAATATTACAATGAAATAAATTGAATTATTTAAACAGTTTAAATAACCGATCATAGAATACTTACAGCCTCTTCGACCTGTCGTTTGTATGTTTTGATCTTATTCTGAAGTTTGTCAATAAGTTCCTGTAAGCGCTCCTGGTTCTTCCTATCTTCATCAGCTTGGAAGGCCAGTTCTTTGAGGCGGCGGTCAGCCTTGCGCATGTTTTTCTGCGTCTCAGCATGGCGCCTCTGCTCATTGTCATACTCAGTTTCGAGTTCACGTACCTAAAGGGGAATGTTATTGGTGTTAAATTAAAAAATAAATGAAAACCCTCTTCACATTGACATACTTTATTTATGGATTAAAACATTATTAATTTTTATCTAGGAGTTTTATATTGATCGTATACATTTTTGTTCAAATCGATTAAGCACGGCATCTATCTTATGCCTTATCCGATATGATGAATTTATGATGGTTAAAAACATGTTTGTAATATTTACTTACTCTTGTTTCCAACTTGGCAATCAACTTCTTTCCACCCTTGAGAGCCTGTGCTTCAGCTTCATCAAGACGAACTGTCAGCTCTTTGATTTGTTGTTCAAGGGCTTTGCGCATCTTCTCAACCTGTGATCCATGCTCTTGTTCAGCGCGGAGCTCATCAGCAAGACGGGCTGCATCAGCAATAGACTTCTTTGCTCTCTCATCAGCACCTCTTACTTCGTTGTTCATCTCCTCAAGATCACCTTGCATGGCAGCAATGTCTCCTTCCAGTTTTCTCTTCTGGCCTCCAAGAGATTGCACTTGAGCGGACAGTTCGTTGACGCGATCATTAGTGTCTATGAGTTCATTTTCGGCCGCCTTTCGCCCTCTTTCGGCAGATTCAAGAGCTGATCGGATTTCCTCGCATTCACCTTGGACAACAGCTACACGACGTTCAGCCATATTGTAAGCTTCGCGAGCCTCTTGTGTGTTACGCTGCTCTTCTTCAATGGTGCTCTGGAGTTCTCTGGCCTGTTCTTGTAATCTCTTACAGTTCTTTTCCATGTCAACTCTACCACGATTTGCTCCATCAAGGGCAACTTCAAGTTCATTTATGTCTTGCTCAAGCTTCTTACGAATTCTAAGAGCTTCAGCCTTACCCTTTGCTTCAGCTTCAAGACTAGCATTCATAGAATCCATAGACCTTTGATGGTTACGTCTTGTGTTTTCAAATTCTTCTTCTTTCTCAGCAATTCTTCTGTCAATCTCCTGTCGAATTGCAGCGATTTCAAGTTGAGCACGCGACACTTTAGCCTCTTCTTGCTCAAGGGCGGACTCTGCTTCTTCAAGTGCTGCTTGTAATTCCTCCTTTTCCATTTCAAGGCGTCGACGTGCCTTTTCTACTTCATGGACGCTTCTACCTCCTTCTGACAACTGGTCGGTGAGTTCGTGGATTTCATCTGAAAGCATGCATTAATTTAAATTAGTTAATGTGTTATTTTTGATATCAGTATAGTGTACTGTCATGAAAATTAAGATGGATGGTGTGAATTTTGTATTGAATTTTTCCTACTACAGAAAACCGCAAATTAAAAAGGTAAACAAATGATAGAAATTGACTTTAACTGTACTTATGTCGTTATTTTCATCTCCCCTAAAACATCGTATGACATGAATAATAAGCTTTCTTTCTTGATGGACAAATGCCAATTAAGTTTGTACAAATTACGTTATATCTAGAACTATGGCTTTTTCCTAAACAAATATTTTAAACAATTGTATACAGATATTGGAAGGGATATTGTAAAGTATGAGCGCAACAAAAATTGAACATACCGGCTAAGTTCTTATTTTCTCTCTTCAGAGAATCAATGGTATCATTTGCTTCCTCCGCCTGAGCCTTTGTTCGGTACAACTCAGCTGAATAGCTTCGGGCTTCCTTCTGTGCATTCTCAAGCTCGGTCTGGAGGTCACGGACACGTGCTTCCCATTCAGCAATTGTTTTGTCGAAGCCTCGCTGTTTCTTTTCTAGATTGTTGGCATTAGCATTAGCCCTGTCTACATCGATCATAAGGTCCTCGAGTTCTCCAGAAAGTCTGCTCTTTGTCTTCTCAAGCTGACTGACCTTGGCGTTTGCTGATTCAGCAACTTGTTCAGCCTCTTGAAGTTTGGCCTGAAGCTTACGTTTAGCTTCTTCGAGTTCCTCAGCGCGGGACATACCCTCGCTTTCATATTTAACACGCCATTGTTGAGCTTCAGCGTTGGCTCTTGACAACTGCCTCTGCATGTCACCCTTAGATTCAATTTCTTCCTCAAGTTGTTCTCTGGCGGAGTCGAGGTCTGAAGTGAGATTTCGGATATCGCTCTGCATCTTTTGGCGAGCCTGAAAGAAAGGTGTTATTGTGAAACCAATTGAGTTTACCGCAGAACAAATTTAACAGAAGAAATTTAACTTAATTCTCATTCTTTGACTTTGTAGTTTAAATGCTTTGAAATGAATATAAACACAAATAAATATATATGCACTTGCAAAGAATCTATTATAGTTTTCTTGTACCAGCAGTGAGAATAGTCAAATAATAATAAGAACAATACTATATTGAAAAATTTAACGAAGTCATGTCACTTGTCATGCCATTATTTCTTAGTGCTTTGGTCACAATGTCGAATGAAAGTTCAAAAGATTGACATGTATTCATTATATTACAAAACCTACCCTTGTTTCTTCCTCAAGGCTGCGTTTGGCTTCCTCGAGTTGTTGAAGAAGGGCTTGGCGTTCTTTGTTGAGCTGGTTCACACGGCTTTCAGAGTCCTCAAGCTGTCTGGTAAGGTCAACATTCTCATTTTGTACTCTTGCTTTCTGGCCCTGGAGGTCCTGAATGGTACGCGCACTTTCCTCAAGACGAGCATTCAGCTCGTCTATCTGTGCTTGGACTTGCTTGGACATCTTTTCTGACATACCCTGTAAAAGATATATGTATGAAAGAACGTATTTATGAATTAAAAAGAGAGTGAATAATTAGTGATGTCTTCGTTCAAGTTAAAAACTAACTGTTTCATCATCATCACCAAATCGCTAATCATAGTTATTATCATTTTATTGTTATTATAAAATTTCAATATCAATTACGTTAATGATCAATTTATTTTTATACATGCTTTAATAAAGTTGAAATATAACTACCTATAATATTATAGAGAAATATGGCATAAGAAAAACTATGTACATTAGTATGTATACCCTGAATTTCTCAGCTTGTTCAAGACCTAGCAGTAAGTCTTCGCATTCTAAATGTAAATCGAGTCGATCCTTTTCTAATCTGTCAATCATGCAAATTGTGAAATGATTAACATGCAAAGCATACGAGTTATTTTATGATAATAAAACAGGCTTATGTTAAAATATATCATCTTTTGCTCTTCTCGCACTCTGGACCTGAAAACTTTATCATGCATGTTATGGTGTTGTAAAACGTAATGGTCATGTTGATGAAAAGGGTCATTGGAAAAAAAGAGCTTTTATATAAGTGTTTGTTGACTTCAGCATCATTTGAAAATGTGAATCTGAAATAAATTAGACAATATTTTAACATGCACGTGCAGATGCCAACACGTGAAGAAATTTACCCTGTTCTTTGAAATGTGTTCAATTTGTGCGTGCAAATCTTCAATTTCTCCCTTGAATTGTTGTTTTTCTTTATCAACTCTGAAATAAGGTGACATTACGTGTATTTCAATCTAAAAGCAAAACAGTATTTTGTAACCCACAAATCTATAACAAATCATCATTTTGATTTAATAGCAGGCATCTATCAAAATTTATTTATGTAATATTATTTCCATGATTTCAAAACTTCAAAGTTTATGCTATGCAATTTTCTTCTTTTAGTTATTCTTTTACTTAGCAAAATGTATGGCAAAACATCGACAAAGATATATTATATATGGTAAATTTCACTGTGCATCTATAGATATTATATGTAACAAGTTGACGTGATTTATTAAACTAACTTTTGTTTCATTTTCTGTAGCTGGTCAATTTGGTCAGCCATTTCATTACTAGCATCCTGGGCCTTCTTGCGGAGTGCACTGATTTGACCTTCATGCTGAAGACTCTGCTCCTCGAGGTCACGTCTGAGCTTGAGAAGTTCCTGTTCACGTTTCTTATTAAGCTCAACCTGAGCTGAGGTTGCACCACCAGCTTCATCAAGACGTTCACTCAGCTCTTCAAGTTCACGGTTTAGTTCAGCTCTCTGTTTCTCAACCTTAAAATTACGAAGGAGGTATAATGTAGACTAATTCATTTTTAAAAATAGAGCATCATAATATTTATTGAAATATTTATTACATTATAAATCATATGTCAGTTTTATTCTAAAAGGAATGCACAGAGTGTTTTGACAAGACCGGACTGGAATATGTTTATAACACTTTTATGTAAGTTTGGAGCATTTAATAACATGCGTGCAAAATATTACGTCATTGGCTCAATTCAATTTTGCAGAACAATCATTTTAACTGTGCAAAAATGAGTTTTTTTAAAGCTTTTAAATCAAATAAGCAACAAAAAAAATGTTTTTCATTTAAATTATGAGTATATTTTTTTATCATATTTCGTATATTTTTCCGTATATATAGTGCCCCTGTTGATTTATGTCAGAATTCCAATTTTTTAATTTAAGCCTTCGGACCTCAGTAAAGTTCCTTTAACAACATATATCATTAATAATTTTGTATTTATTTTAACGATTAAGCTGTCTATATGGCATGACTTTAAAGAATACCTTAGTTTCATTGTAAAATTTCTTACTTAAGTTTTCATGATAAGAACGATCTCATTTTTTTTTTACTTTCTCTTAGTAAACAATATTTTGAAATTCGATATTTTTTCATACATTCACAAGTGGAATAAAAACAAATGACAGGCACCCAGAAACTTTTATTAGATTTATCACAATTCTAAAAGTTAATAAAACTTATGTATACCTATATAAGATTTAACTTACAATTAAGAAATTAATAAAAAGTGCCGTTTTTAAATGGAATTTTATTAACGATATGGGTACGATTAAGGTATGTTATAATCAATGTTATAATGAAATTGTAAAACATGTAATATGTAGTTTAGAATGTCTTAAACATAATGCCGTCTAAATGTATATACCGTTTCACCTAGCTTCATATAATATGAAAATAAATTCATGAACAGGTTTCATTTCAAGATAATCTTGTTCTGGGAAAACAACTTCAAACAAAACCGCTAATCTTTTATTTATCTTATCTCAATCTGACAGTTAATGACTTATTAAGACTAGAAGGTGCAGGTAGTGTTGATGTTTGTACAGTACTGAAATCAAGAACGCTTCATAACCATGGTAACGTATCTATAAAATGTTGAATCTAAGAACTTTTTTTTATACAGCAGAAATTCCTTCCCGACAGATGTTATCTGCATTATAAATTGCATCTGCATTAAATGGATGACTACACATACTCAGATTAAATAAAGTATACTAATGATTAAACAAGGATAAAAATGTCAAAATTAATTGCAATATCCCAAGTAATATTTCAACTTACTAAAACAAACATGATAAGAATCGAGTAATAAAGGTGCCCGGTTGTAAATCGTTAGAAAATTCGTATAAGAACTTGTTTATGTTATAAATTTCGTTTAGTTATGTTTAAATATTAAATGATGCACAATAATGATTATATTAATTTTGTTTATAAAGTTCTTAACGCTCGTAAGATGTTAATGCAAATAAAAGATTCTTCATATAACAATGAATAAATGCAATATTATTTTCCTATCATCAACCCGTTGATGACATACTGAGTTTTAAACCTATGATGTTTACTTGAATTTTAATTTGACTTATATCCAAATTAAAAAAAAATGTTTGAATATACTAGGTTACAGCTATTTATGGCAAAAGTGCTTTTATTTCCCTTAGCCATTCAATCAATCAAATAATTAGAATAAAGTCGACAAACTTCGCCACTTTCCGTATCTTATATTTATTCAGAATGTCTCATCATTCTTGTTTCATTCGACACTTACTAGTACTTAATTGCGTAATTTGCTAAAATAGGCGAAATATACCGAACTAATATGAAATTATGATGAATTTTATCATACTTGGGCAAAAAAATATTAAATATTAATATTAGTATAACAACTATGCTTACCTTTGCTCTGGCAGCTCTTTCGGCCTCGAGTTCCTCTTCCAGTTCCTCAATGCGGGCCTGTAATACCATGTCAGAGGGCATTGTAGCAGTTTATATAAAATATATCAAGACAATATGGAATGATTTATTTGTTCCCAAGTGAATTCTTACAGTTAATCAAAATGTGACTAACTCACAATGTAAACCTCTCTTTTTCACCAAATGATTTGTTTAAAACCAAACAAGTCCGTATATAAAGACAATAATACAACAGCAAAGTTCAATATCACATGAATTTAGTATCACAGAATGTAAAAATCGGAATTGATATTTTTAATTTAACATAAATCCCAGTTTTTATCGAAATATTTTAAAGTCGAAAATTTAAGATGAGGAAGCCTTCGTGCCTAAGTCTGTTCAAGCCCTTCGAAATATTTACTTCAGAAGTAATAAACTTCTTGAAACTCTTAGGAATATCTGAGTTGTGAGTCACGCTCTCATGTAAAATCTCTAGCAGTCAGAAACATGAACCAATCAAATTCTAGAAAGTGCTGAAATTTTATCTCTACTGGAATTTCATGCCTACCTCAAAATCTATCGGTTGGAATGCTAATTGGAATTCATAATCACTTTCAAATACTATAATAAATGTTAATTAGTCTACCTGAGCTTCACAAAACCCATCAAAACACAGTTGAAAGCCGATACATAATTAATTACACATGCAAAGAAACAAATAGTCGACACAAAATTAATTATCCCACATGTATTAAACTTATATCTAGCCGAAAACAGCTTAAATTTTGGACAAGGAAACATATTCTTCTATACATTCTTCACTGTACATACATCGTGCAACGATAAAATGACAATTACCTGCAATTATACAGTATTTCCTATCTAACAAGATCAAAGAACTAGCATCACGGAAAAGTCAATTATAACATGTCCACAAATGTCATGCCGAACTATCTTTAAGCAACATTTACTCAGTCAAGCTATAGACGCTGGAATCCGTTTCTCGCAGCAGCTTCAATTTGCAGCTTGTTAGACTATAACTTTGTTTATTTGCTTAGCAGAATAGTTCAGAAAGTTAGCTATCCCATAGAGCTTTTGAAATAAAGCATTGAACATTATCATTTATATTATTCTGCATGAACGTTCGAGCATTAAGCGTTTAACAAATTAAATTGCACGAGCAGTTAGAAGAGCACAAATCACATCGAAGCGAAGCAAACAGACAGAAAAAAACACAGCCATATATGATACTGTACTTCTAGCATATGTTTCAGTCCAGGAGTAACTAGAGCCAAATCTTCAGCATCACGAATAACCTTCCTACTTCTTGCGCTCAAAGTTGGACGGTATCTGTCAGGCATATATTGTTTGCTATATAATGCTGGATGAGTTGCGATATTTTCTAATACCGCTGGACTCGTACCTCTATAATCCCTACTCAAATCGCTCAACAGTCTATTGGTGTCTACATATTCTCGAAACGTTTGCCGCTTAGAACTACCGCTTTTGTAGCTTGAATAGTCTGATGAGGATTTTTTCACGGATTTTGTATACGTTTCAGTACCGGAAGGTTTAGGTGCAGGGGCTGGCGCATTGGCAACAGTTGTAGCAGGAGATGGTTTCGGCGATTTCTTAACAGTTATCTTCTCTGTTACGGCAGTGACCGTTTCTTCTTTGGGTGGTGCCGAACTTATTTCTGTTTTAATTGTTGTTGTCTCAGATGTTTCCTGCGTAACGACTTCAGTATCCGCCATTTCGAATTATAACTTAGTACTATCCGAAATAAAACTATAAAACTAAAATCAAAAATTAAATTCCTATGATTTTTGACGAGGTAGAATCCAAATAAAAATCCGCCTGATTTCCGAAACAAAAGGTCACGTGACTGTATTCTAACTAAAGTGCAACATCGAAGGCCAAGACGAATGTGCAGCTATCCTTTATCTAAGAAACAACTGGCAACAACAACCACTTCACATGTGACTATCGACAGAACCAGGAAGGAAGGAGGCGGAAGTAACGTGTGCTTTATACTATACGTATAGGAAATACCTCACTAGCACCTATCAGGTAGAACTTATTTATAGATTAACAAAACCTCTCGGTGAACTACACACAGGTATCAGCTTAATAATGTGAGTAATGCCAAAAAGATTCTTTAAAAGGAACGAGGCAACAATAACCTTTATTTTCTGGATCAGTGCCAGAAAAGATAGGCTTATTTCCAAGCAATGATAAAATATTTGATAAACAACATTGTCTGAAAATTAGTTTGACATTAGTTGTTGCAGATGTCTAGTACTTTCGAATTGCAAAGCTTTAGGGGGCTTGCAGCATCAGCATTATTCTAAAAACTTGGTTGTACCTTTTGATGTTTACTGACATTTTAAAGCTTTCAGACGGCCTTGGAAACGTGCTATAGAAACGTGTTGTTGTTGAGCAAAAGTTATATGTTATCATACCTTTGAATATTTATCAAGAATGTTGATTTACTTGAGAAAAAGATTTAAGGCGTGTAACAGCTATGATTACAAGCATACAGAAATAAGTAATTAGCATTTCAAACAGAATGCAGGTTGGCAATAAACGTGAGTAATTATTGTATTTAAGATGATTGTTACAGAAAATATTTGAAAACAGGAAGGCTTCCCTTTAATAGATGGCTGGGATTATTTTACAAAATAATAACAATAAAAACTACATGTATATGAAAAATACCGTTTTGCTTTTTATGATGAAACTTAGAAAACAATAAAAAAAATTTCACTTAAGAGTTTCTGCGATACAAATTTCATTTTCTCCAGAACAAATGTGTTGTCATGTATTTTACTAATATAAAACGTAAGTTTGAATATAAATGTAAAAGTTATAAGAGATGTCAATGTTTTTGTCACATTAATATCAAAAGTGCTGAATAAAAAGTTTATAGAATAATGGATACATATAGATACATATTGCAATAAAATAGTATTATGAAAAAATAATAGAGCTTTATTTATCAACAAGGCAGTGTTACCTGAAGTTCCTTAATCTTTCTTTGGAGTGCTGCTACAAGGCTCTGTTCGTCCTCAAGTTTAGAGCTCAGGTTCTTGACCTCCATGTCCTTCCTGTAAAATTCATTAAATCATAAAACTAATTAAACAAGATATTTTAAAGATGTTTCAATGTTTGCATGCATGCCCATAATATAAACGGCATTTCAGCGGGACGTACTAGCCGTGTTTAAAAATACCGAGTAGAAATCTATATAGATACATTAAAAATAGATTAAGAAACTAAAAATAACAACTACTGCAAGGAATGGAGAAGTTTAACTTTTTCGGAAAACATTTCATGAAAACATTCACATAATTCACAAAAAAGTGATATTTTACAAAGTCATGATAGATTTATGGACATAGCATTGTAATTATACAAACAACAGTAAGCAAAGTAGATGTTTATTTGAATTACCTCCTGACATTTTCTTCAAGATCTCTCTTTACACGTTCAAGATCTTCAACAGTTTCCTGTGTGGATTTAAGGTCTTGCTCTACCTTTCTCTTTGCCTTTTCAACATCAGCACGGACCTTCTTCTCACGCTCAAGGTTGTCTTCAAGCTAAAATGAATACCATTAATTGTTATGAAACAAATTCTCCTATTTGTTTTGATATTTTTGTCTGAAAATGTCATTTTACGTTTGTACAAAGATAAAAACTGTTAATAGCAATAAATCATCAATTATGATTACATCTCATTATTATAGAAATAATAATTGAGTTAATATCTAGACATGTAGTCAGGTAGTTATTTTTGTAAATTCAAATTACCTCGTCAAGGGTTGCCTCTAGTTTTCCCTTGATTCTTGTGAGGTTGTTAACCTTGTCTTCTTCAGCACGGAGAGCTTCCTCGGTTCTCTTTTGTTGTTCATCCATGTTTTTCTTTTCTTTTGATAACTTAGCAATTTGTTCATCTTGCTGTGCCATTTCATCTTGTAAAGTTTTGATTTGATTGTCCTTTGTGGTCTTTTCAGTTTCAGCCTTTGCAAGAGCTGTTTCGAGATCTTCAATGTCCTTCTTTAGTTCTACAGCCTCTTGTTCCATTTTCCTCTTAACAGATTCAAGTTCAGCAGCGGCATCTTCCTCATCAAGGAGCCTTTCTTCCAGGTCTTTCAGCTGCTGTTCAAAGTCAGCTTTCTGTTGGATAAGTCGCTCGATCTTTTCCTCAGCATCAATCAATGTATCTTGTTCAGCTTGTAACTGAAGATACATGTCATTCTTCTGCTGGAGAAGTGTTACATTCTGTTCTTCCAATTCCTTCTTGATTTTCTCGACCTTTGCCAATTCAGCCTTGGTTTTCTCGAGCTCTTCTTCCTTCTTTCTCATCTCATCCTCGGCACGAGCCACGTTGAGAAGGGGCTTGACCTTGGTGTAAAGTTTCCACCATTGCCAGTTTCTGAGAACCATCCACTTTCTGATGTTTCTTTGGATAACGGATAAACCAATTCTGCAAACACGAACAATCATATCATGAATAAGTTTTCATTTCGAATTTCTATTCGTTTTGATTTCAATTAAGAATGAAAGTTTGTGTGAAAAGAACTACATTGTACTGTGAAAAGAATTACATTGTACTTAATAGTTTACTTAAGGTTAAAATAAGTTTTTTCTTAACATATGAAATTACCTCTGGTCTTGAAGTTTCTTGTATTGTCTTCGCATGAGGTAACCTCTAATATGAGCCTGGAAGAGGGAGATAATCTTTGAGAGACGTTCATCACGCATGTCTTCAAGCATACCAAGCACACCAGCTTTAAAGAAGACTTTTGTGGATCCAAGACGGTATTCATTAGGGTCCATCTGAAGTGCTGTCAATATTTTGTCAGTGACCTGCTTTCCATCAACAAAACCTTGGGGAATAGCGTTAGGGGCCAGGATTGAGTATCTGAAATAATTAAAAGTCAACATCACTTTTGATAAAAATTTAGATCAATTTCAGTAGGCTCAAAAAGTGTTGGATCAATTTATAGGACTTAAGTTTTATTGCATCATGATACTGACCTCTGCTTGAATTCTGAGTAGATAATCCTGTTGGGGAAGCCTTTTCTGCAGATACGGATACCTTCAAGTACACCGTTACATTTCAGCTGGTTGAGTACAAGTGGAGCATCAATCACACCTATAAAATGGAACGGAATTGTTGATTTATGATTGAGTTATACACATTTTTAAGGCATCTTATATGTCAATCCGAAATCCGAACACATTTTTTAAATAATTTTGATGTCTTATTTTCAAATATAAGCTTTACATCAATAAAAGAGATGTCAAATATGATTTTATAAAATAACTGTGTGTCTCTAATTGGACTTTTGTGTGGAAATGGGTATCGATAATTGAAACTATCACCTTAGCAACCTTAATGAGGTTGAGATAACTCAACAAATGAAGTTGTCGACCCATCACAACATTTGAGACTTACCCGGAGCCTTTTGTTCATTTGGAATAATGCAACGAACGAAATGTGCTGATGTATTACCAAGATGTTTCATCAATCTATTGAGAGACTCCTAAGAAAAACAAACGAGGAATTCAAACATGCATGGAGTAAATTAAATATTAAAACCCTGACAGCCAAATGATTGGATTTTAAGGCCAAATGTAAGTTTTCAAAAGCACAGTTTTATTAAAATTAAAGAAATATACACAAATCATCTAAATGCAATCGGGTTAAATGTTTCTTTTCGTCTTATTCTTCATACTTTTCTAACATCTAAAGTTATTAATTTACGAGTAAATATAACATGAGGCCATGAATTGTATCAAAACCCTTATATAAAATCCAACCACATGTTAAACTGTCATATTCGCTAGGTGCAGCTAATATAAAAAAGAAAACTCAGTTGGGGTAAGGTAGGGTGCGTAACATGTGAAACGTTTTCTAAATAAGAGGGGTGATTAATTCTAAGTAAAAGTGTGATTAATTTGGTGTTAGTAACAAGTGCCGTTGGCTGAGTGTTTGGTGTAGGCTTAATTCTCTCGATGTAGGACCATGCTCGCCGAACTGCTTGAGACCTGTAATTTCATGCAAGAGTGTGTTATTGATGTTTGTAGGTTGAGGTTAGGGTAATCACTGCACGCATAGCTTGAGATGTTGTCATCCGCAAACTACGTCACATATTCATGACGTCATAATTACCTGGCGTCTTTGTCTCGTTGGGAATAATACAACGCACGAAGTGAGGGTGAGTTGTATACAAGTTCTTCATGAGCTTGTTCAGAGATTCCTACAATGAATCATTTGAAATACAGCAAGCATTATATGTTGACATTAATATAACAAGCACATGTTTCGTAAGCTTCGACAACATTAAATATACATGTAGAATCCATAAATTATATACAGTACTCTTTTTACAATAATTAACATCAAAACATATAGATCTACTATAATGAATAAATGTAGATCTAAACTTTATACTTTATGAATGAAAATATAAAAAATAATGACTCTTACACTGTTTTTGAAATTTCAGCAAATATTTGAGATAATTAAATACATTTACAATTCCACTCATTTATCATATAATTATTATCTTTTTTAATTATCGATAAGGAATCGACTGTTCATGTGAACTCAATTTTCTTTACATTAAATATTTAGAATTTTTATATTAATCGTTAAAGCTCTGAAACATAAATTAATATCGTAAAAATTTAACCTGCTGAAACAAAAAAACACAAATTGGTAGTTTATGTTATAACATATATGTTACACATGTTAGCGGTGTTTTTGTACATTAACATGCAAACAATTTACTTTAGGCTTTAGTTAAATGTCGAAAATACTGAAGGGTATCAAGCATAAAAAATAATGTGTTTTAAGTTTAAATCAAATCTTTAAGCGTAAGATTTTTTTTTCTGAAATATTACTTACTTAAAAAGTGGGAGAACTGCAAAAAAGCGTAATTTCGTGTTTAAAGCATATGCATAGTTAAAATGGATGGGGAAAAGGGTAATAGTAGGGATATTTCAAAAATATGGAGTAAAATAAATTGATATAAAAGGGGTTTTCTAACAACATTTATATCTAACATTCCCTACGCCTTTACCTTATGCGTTGCGGAAATTGTTTGAAAGGAAGATGACTTCTTTTTCTTTGTAGAAGCGGCCGCATCAGCTTATGAAACAAAGTTTTAGTAAAATATATCATGTACCATATATTTAATATAGATATAATGGTAGCAACAAACTAGTCAATATACATTATATTCTGTCAATAGCAGCATACATCCATCAGCACAGAGGCAATATTTTACCTGCAATGACTAAGAACCTGTGACAAAAAGCATAATACTGTTAAGCGTTTCACAACAAATAAACGTTGTTGTTACATCAGGACAGCACGGCACTCTATCGTTGTTGAAGTACACAAAGCATGTTGCAAGTTATCAAGCTAATTATTAAAGCCAAGTTTGTTTTATTATGTAAAGCAGAATTCAGCCGTGCAATCAGTCGTTACCTTGTGGATTGCAGAAAGGGTTTGGAAAGCAGCAGATTTGTGCTTTTTCGTCGCAGCCATAGACGAGGCTAAAGAGTAAAGGGGAAAAATTACAAAAGAAACAAAACAAAAATTAGAGGTAAGGTAAAGAAATTGGCGAGGGGGAATGAGGTGATAAAATACCTAATAAAATGACATTTATTCAGGTTTTTTCTCAAGTAAGGTAATTTTTATAAAGAGCAAAACAGAAACAAAACTAAAACAAGAAATACAACAAAACAAACATTTCACACGAAAAGGAGCAAAATAGTATAGTGCACAAACAGTTTATGAACCTGAAAATGTAAAACACACAGACATGAAATATAAATCTGAAGGAAAAGTTTCTGAAGGAAGTAAATTATACGAGATGGCTTCTTAAAAGAATTGCTGTTAGCTTAGTACTATACATATGTGATTTATTGCCGAACTTTACTTATGCTACGTTACCGATGCTTGGCTTTCTACGGGTTTGAACTTTTTAAATTTGCTACACATTTCATGTTTTGTTCTCACGATACAAAAGTGGAAGTATATATGGGTGTGATACAGTATTATAGAAAGGGATTTGCTTTTTTGTCTATGTTTTTACTTCACCTAGCACTAAGCTTTGGAAAACAGGTAAAAGAAATTGTCATCATTTACCCTATATGACCTTGACAGAGTCAAAAAGTTCGAGCCACGTTTACGCTGTGCTGATTCTTCTTCTAAATACGACATGTGACGAATTATATTCAAAATTCACTAAAATCAATTCTTTTTGCATTGCATTTATAAAATTAATTTAAAACATAATTTATTTAAATCAATGTAATATTTGGAAAACTAAAGTTATTTATAAAACCATCAGAGCTTTAATTTAAAACAACAAAATTTAAATTTCAAACAATGATGCATGAATGCTGCAATTATTCAAACGGAATTTCTGGTTTTGATAACATTTGAAATGAAAGAAATTCAAAAAGAAAATAATGTAAATGTAAGTTATGTTATCAAACTGAATTTACCTGCAGGAGGGGCAAACAGAGTTGACACAAGCGCTTCCTTAGACTGTTCTAGAAGAGCCACCACGGTCTCATTCAGTGGATCCTTGTTCTTGTCCAACCAACCATTGATGTTGTATGGTACCTATATATGACAAAAAGTTTTGAATACGAAACTAACACAGAATATTTTATTTCAGTTATATTTTAATATTTATTAAATTTGAAACATTCGATACAGTTAAATATATTGTCTTTTATATTAAAAATTGTATTTCGTTACAATCTGAAACTCTTAGATATGTACATCATAGGGTTACTTACAGCTCCAGCGTAATGGCCAAGTTCAAAGTGGGCATCAGCACCACCCTTCCTGCTTTTGACGGGTTTGTTGAAGATGGCAGTCTTGCCAAGATGGTTAGTGTACAACTTCTCCATAAATGTCTTGTCCGAAGCCTTAGGGAACATGCACTCTTCCTCAAGAATGGACAAGATACCCATAGGCTGAAACAGGAAATGAATCATCAGAAATATCAAGGCATACTGGTATCAAATGCTTACGACAAAATCAAGACCATTAACACATTCCAAAACGAATGACATTAATTGTTCAACATAATTGTTAATTGATTTGGATTATTGTATAAACAAGGTACATTTTGTATTACATACAGCACTATGCGCGACTACATTCTTTGCTCGAAAAATATTTAAAATTAAATCTTACAATGACAATTAATTGTAAACCTAGTAAATATAATAATTGACGCAACTGCAGAGAAATGGAATAATCATAACATATTGCATTGAATTTGGATATGTTTATTCAAAATCAACGATTTTTTTTATCCAACACTAATTTGAATCTTGTAAAACATTTTTATAGTTTATAATGTTTATAATGACGTCCTAAATGTTTCAGACATAATTTGAGCATGTTCATGGACGTTACCGTTAGATGTCAGCTACTGTTTATGACTCCCTCCTTGGCACCGGTTTAAACCTGAATTCAACATTAAAACATAACACTGGTGAAATTGTTAACTTAGAAACATCTTCAGAACACACAAAACATACCTTCTCAATGAGATCGATACAGGCTTGTAAGTCCATACCAAAATCAATGAATTCCCACTGAATTCCTTCCTTCTTGTATTCTTCTTGTTCAAGAATGAACATGTGATGGTTGAAGAATTGCTGTAATCTTTCATTGGTGTAGTTGATGCACAATTGCTCAAAACTGTTGAACTGTTGAAAATATAAAATAATATGCATATAATTATATTACCATTGGAAAAATTATATGCATGTATATGAAACTGAAGTTTTGTCTTTTGTCTTGTCAAGTCAACACTTTCGATTGTTTGTCATGATTTAAGCCCGTTTTCCCTTATTTCACTAACTCAAATTTTACCATAAACAAATATAGGAATATATTGTAAGGCGAATAACAGTATATTTAGAAAGATATCCGGAAATAATAGATTTCTTAATAAAACTCTGAAATGAATGAACGATATAAAAAGCTCCCATGTGAACTTACGTCAAAAATCTCGAAACCAGCAATATCCAACACACCAATAAAGTAGTTTCTCTTTGCCTTGGTGTCAAGGGTCTTGTTTACTCTCTTGACCAACCATGCAAACATACGGTCGTAGAGAGACTTGGCCAGAGCGCTTACAGAGTACACAACTTGATCCTTGTTACGACCCTGGGTTACAAACTCGTTTCCGACCTTTATCTTGGGTTTCAGGAGACCCTTCAACAAGTCACCGGCGTTGACTCCAAGCAAGAATGCAACCTTCTCAGCCTCTGAAAATAGATAGATTTTTGAAATATAATTTTCAATTTAAGGGTCACATATCTTAAACCTCAAACACGACAAATATTTCAATATTGAGATGAAATTCTTTGAAATTAATAATGGGATACAAATGTTTCAAAATTTTTAAACCGAATAAACTTTATTCTGCTAACGGAAGAATGTTCATATAAAAAAATAGTAACAGAATGCTGTTTTGTCACTCCGACTACGGTCAGAGTAAGACTACACATTAAAGTATAGCTTTCCCGTCATACCTGCTGTTCCATCGGGTTCGGCTTGTTCTTCTCTCGGTCTCTGCTTGAATTTCATCTCACCAAAGTGGATGATAGCTGAAGTACATTTAAACATGCTTGTCTTCTCTTCGTTTGTGAATCCAAGAATATCAAAGGCTTCCTATAACATAAGATTCATGAATCATTAAACAAGATATTGGTTACAATATTACAATATTTTAAATTCGATAAAACTTGAAAAAATTATTGCAAAGAGTTGCAGTTATTAAATACAGAAGTATACATAATGTCAAGATGAATTTGTTTTAGGAGTACATGTACTGGATACTGCTTTGTTTACAGATAAAAATGACAACATACATCAGTGATGTGCATTTCTTCGTTATCATCGATACCGTCGACAGTCAGCACACCCTGGTTAATGAAGGAATACAAGCCTGGATCTGATGACACCAAGCAAATCTCTGCAATGTAAAAAACATAGTATAAGACATTAGGCGTATCAAATCTTAATGCTCAATGATGCCAGTTAATCATTAATGCAACAGGTATAAATTCATTTAGTGCTAATTAAATTATTAGCATATGACAAAATGCTGTTAATTCTGTTTAACCTCTTCAAATACTAAAACGTTTTGTAGAAAGGCCAAAACATATTGCAATCAGAACTAACGGTTTGTCAGATAAATTATTGGCGTCAACTAGCTGTGTTGTAGAGACCTATTATACGTTAGTTTTGTGTCAGAACTAATAATTGGTTCAGAATAATTTATTGATAAAACTAAATGCTTTGTTGTATCAAATAAATTTGGTGTTTAATAAATTTTGTTTTCAACTAACTAATGTTGAACAACTAAGAACTATTATTCTGTCAGAACTAAACGTATTGTAGTCAGAACTAAACTTGATGTTTTCACTAAATTGTAGTCAGACCTAAACGTGTTGTTGTCAAACCTTAACGTGACGTTGTCAAACCTTAATGAGTTCTAGTCAGATCTAATCAAAGTGTTAAAGTAAGAACTAAAGTTATTGCAATCAGAACTAAGCTTTTTGCAGTCAAACTTACAGACATAATTAGTTTTTGTTGTTGTCAGAACTAGACATATTGTAGAAATACTTAAGCGTTTCGTTATTATTAAATTCAAAAAAGACAAACATATATGACAAAGCAATTGCTGTTACAGGTTTAAGAAATATAGAACAACTGTTATACCATGGTATTTTGGGAAGGCAGGTGAGAGCAACTGGTAGAAGATGTGGTAGTTTCTCTCAGCAGATTGCTGGAAGGTCACACGGGACTTCTCCAACAAGTCTGTAAAACAGGATAAATGTTACATGTCAAAACTTGCGATATATATTGACAGAAACAGCAACCGAGGAATGAAAATATAATTAAAGTATGTATAATATGCCATTTACATATTCTAACATATATTTCAGAGTAATGTCGACCAATATAACAGTAAAAAGGGAGAAGAAAAATCTTCCAATACGGCAATTATAATAATAATTTTGATCGAGGTAGTTTCTTTTTTTCATAGCTACACAGGAAAATGAAAAGGAAATAAGTCTAAATTTTAATTGCCCAATATACTTGTATTAAGTAAGGATCAGAATTTATTTGATAAAGAAGGAACCATAACTTACAAGTCTCAATATCAGCTCCGGCTATTTTTCCAGTAGGTCCAAAGTGGATACGGATGAATTTACCCTACATAAAAAATGGGAAAAGGGTTCTGCAGTTTCGTGTTAAAAACAATGTTTATATCAAATTCACATTTTAAAATTATCAAAATTTCATATTAATCTGAATGTCTGAAACTTCTGATGTACATGTACACTTTATATCTGCAAAGTTCCCTAAATACTTTTATCGAATATGTTCTTCTCTAAACGTCAGTATAATAATTATCTATACAAAATGGGTGAGAGTCTATTAATCAAAATAAAGTACATGTATTGTATATTATATATATTTTCATGTAAGACTAACCTGTATACCTGAAAGGTATAAAAATAGTCCATATATATGTACATGTATATGTATAGAATAATAAGTCCATGCAGGATTGGAATAACAATTATCAGGTGAATTGTGGGTTCGTGCATTAAGGTGGGTATCACACCAAAGAAATAAGAAAATGACTGCAAGTCGAGAAAATAGATTTTTACATTTATACTTTTCTAATGTTATCTGAACGATTATAATTGGATGACAATTGTTTGTAAATGAAGTGATAATTACATTCATTGAGGTTCGTTTTTTATCTCCCAAAGTCGTCGTACAGAGTTTGAGACCTAATGCAAGTGTTGTAGTTGTCGTGTTGTTGATTTTCATATCCTCATATTTAAGTGACGCGATGCAAAATCTGATCAGATGGCAGACAGAAGACACTAGTACGGCCTATTTAACGTCAGTACACTTTTACATTATAACTAGCAATTGGAAAATAAAGTCATAATTAACTTCCAGAGAAAGGAAATCTAAAATATGTCAATCGATCTGTAATATGTATACTTACAAATCTTGAGGAGTTGTTATTTCTGATAGTCTTGGCGTTGCCAAAAGCTTCCAACACTGGGTTGGCTTGAATAATTTGATCTTCAAGATTTCCCTACAGGGCGCAAACACACACGAAAGAGAAAGAAAACATAACATAAAATGCAAGTGTTAATAAAAGTAGGATAAATGTGTTAAGGGATTAACTTATCTAATACTGTGTAACTATATGAGGTAATCTAAAGCATTCATTACCCCTTTTGTACTTACAAAACGGGAGGAGTTGTTATTTCTAACTGTCTTAGCATTACCATAGGCTTCCAGAACTGGATTCGCCTGGATAATTTGATCTTCAAGAGTACGCTACAGTAATGTGACACACAGGAAAATATGGTTAATTTCAGATATACAACAATTCTATCAGCACACTTTTTCAACGGAGGAGAACATTTTCTTATCAACACGATCACAATTATGATTACAGTATCAAATGGTCTTCGTTTTTAAAACAGCAGCTATGCAAAAAGGTTTTTAAATTTTTACAATATTCTGTTCTCCTTCGTTGGTAAGACAATTAAACTTCCAAGGATTGAAGGTTATATAAGTCTAGAGGGAAGGTCGGCAGGGTATGGGGATATATTCTTCAGGGGAAGGGAGGTACACACTGTCACCAAATATAAAAAAATGTAAAAGAAAGGGAAAATTAAATACTCTAATACTCCATGTTAACACTGCAACCATCAGTATCAATCTAGGAAGGGTTTGTAGGTAAAAAAAGGGATGATCCATCACGCTTGATAAAGATCAAGCTCGCTGGCTACTTACGAATCTAGAGGAGTTGTTATTTCTGACAGTTTTAGCATTTCCGTATGCTTCTAAGACAGGGTTCGCCTGTATGATTTGATCTTCTAAAGTGCCCTAAATATGCACAGCAAGCAGAGCGGTTAACATCAAGATAAAGTATAAACACAAATCACACAATAAATAAAAACTATGTAAAAGATCACACAAGAAAGGTGGTGGAGATATTAATGCTGGAAAGTAAGGTAATGACATAATGCTGTAATATAGAAAAAAAAGATAATGTCCGTGGAAACTCAGACCAATCTATTTAACACCCAAACCATATCTAACAATATCTGAAAGGCATTAAAAAAACCTTCAGAAATGTTGGAGCGGAATAAATAGGAAGGGTCGTGCCATGATGCTTTGAAGAGTTTAGAAAATGGGTATACTTCACACAGGAATTATTATTTTTGTATGGTATATTGATTAAATGTTGGAAAACGTGCGTTTTGAGAAGGGGTAAGTAAGCTTGACAAGGAGACTGATGCAGACTAAAGGATTTTTTACTTTAGTTTTTTTAAAAAAAAAGTATTAGTTTCGCCTTAGAATTCAGACAGGATTGTTGAATAAGAGCATTCTTGGATTTGGAAGGTAACACATTACGGGAAATACCGGGTATGGGTACCATTCGAAAATATCAAAATAAAATAAGGGTTTCTATATCTAGAGTGTATGACACGTGGGTTACTGCCATCGCCGTCTTTTCTATTTTGTTTACTTACGAATCGGGAGGAGTTGTTATTTCTTGTAGTTTTAGCATTGCCATATGCTTCGAGACATGGGTTAGCCTGAATAATCTGATCCTCAAGTGTACCCTGTAAGGTTTTAGCTACTCGATTAAAGTAATGTACAAAACAAATCAGATTCCGCTCATTCAGAAACGCCACCCGTGCAATTTGTGACGTTTCTTAGGAAATCATAAATATGCATGATAATAAAAACAGGCAAAAGTATACCTGCTAGCACAATGTTTTTCTTCTTGCGTAAATGTCTTACATTAGCCATAATAAAATAATTATTTTTTCTTTGCCTTAAAAGCAATTAAAAACAAAATGTAAATGATGAAAATATATGATGTCCTCTGTAAAAAGAAGCACGCAGGATTTGCATATACATATAAGTATTAATAGGTTTGTAACAATTGTGAACACGTCTAACTACAGGGAAAACTCGACTCGAAATAGATTAATATCAACTTTAAGCAGTTTAGTATAAAATAACTGTTATGAAAATCGTAAGGTGACAGGGAAAACCCGTGGTTTTTTATGGAGAGTACCATGGCGAAGCCAACCTCTTCCAATCATATTTTTTTTTCAAGCAACATTGTCAGTATAACAATATTGTCAGTGAAAGCGGGTAAAACATTTCATGTTGTTATATTCGAACAAGAAAGTCTCGCGAGAAAAGAGGGAAGGGTGAACATAGGGAATGAATCAACTGTATTAATTTCACATCAAACTGGTATGGGAAGAGTAAAAAAAGTACGTTATTCGTTATCTTTTATATTGAAGGTTTAAAACTAAATATTGGTTCAATAATAATAATAATAATAACAATGATAATAAAAGTTCCCGAGGCAAACAGCAAAAACATAGAACTTCTCGGGCTGTAAAAGGGGTCTCCATTCTATGTTCCAGGGTCAAACTGACTTACTATCGCTCTTTCTTTGAATAGTCACAGTGTAACTCATCCTCTGACAAGCATTGGGCCTTTCAAAACCTGTATTTGGGTAGGTGTAAATGTAAAGGGGTTTGAGGGTATTGTGAGGTAGAAACAGAAAGAGGGTAGTTAATTCGGATTGATAAAATTGATTTGTTAGTTTTTTGTTGTTTTTTTTGTTTTTTAAGGGTTCGGTTGTGAAGAAGGAAAGGAAATAGAAGGTTTTTGAAAAAAGGGGAGTAGGTAAAGGATAATAGGGTAAAGAAAAGAAAAAAAGACATAGATGTTAAACATTTTACAAAAATAGATGAAATGATGTAGCAAAATGTTGGTAACATGAAATATCAATAATAACTAGTTTTACAATTTTACTTAACAACTGATTAGCCTATACATATGACAATAGTGAAAATAAGCAAACTAATATCTATAATTATGATGACAAAATGATCCATGTAAGTTAAATGAAAACAGCTTAAATTGACTCAACAATGTAAATACTTAAAATTCAATTACAGGACGTTCTTTACTAATTTTACCACTCGGTATCACAGCAAGCTTCACTACGTTAACTAAAATACACATGTTAATTTCAAATAGGATCGTTGTGACTGCACCTGTCAGAAATCTGAAATGGGTGTTTTTTTTATAACAAAGTGAAGAGTTAACAGAAAAACAAGGGTTCACTCAGGGTAACTACATCTCTCTAATTCTCTTTCCCTTTTCTATCAATATCTTGCACGAAACAATGAATTGGATTGGACAGAATTTAAACAGTTTGCCATAGAAATAGGAACGAACAAACAAAAAATAACATATCAAAATAAATGTTTATTAGATAGGTATTGGTGATAACGGGTGGCAAGAAAATGGAAAACATTTGCCTTAAATATCCTAATCACTGTAAAAAAGTTATTTTCGAAATAAAATCCAGAACATTTTGTTTTAAATATATGCTCTTTCTACAAATCTAAAAGATAAATGTTTTCCATTTAAACCGAGAAATGGGGAAACAGTGGGGTAAAAGCATGCGAAATGGTGAAGTCAATCTACTTTGTATGTCCACGGCCTTCAATGTTGACCTATAAATAAAGTACGAAAACCCATGCAAGGTATTGAATTGTAAACAATCAACATAACATTTAAGGGTTATATTGGCAAACTGTATTAAATCACTGGGTTTAAAATAAATGTTTTTTGTTGCTTTTTAAAAATGACATAATTAGAGCTTAATGGCTTATTTGTGAACCATTAAGATTACTATTGACCTTTCATGAACGTCATATAGTTTCGTGCAATCTATTACAAGGTTTAGAGTACGTGACAACCTTCTTGATTTCTTTTTCCTTTTCATCCTCTATCGGCTTCTGGAGCTGGGCAGCTACTTTGGCAAAGTACATAATTACCTTCTTCGTGTTTTCAGTCTTACCAGCACCGGACTCTCCACTGTATCAAATTTTTATATAAATAAATAATTCATACATATACGATATCATACAATTTATAAGAAGATATGGTTAAGTAAATATATCCATCTATGCAAAGAGTAATAGAATGCATTAACTAATTACTGATTTAGTTCAACCACTTTACTGAAGCCCGTGTAATTTTGTTAATTTTGTGTTTGTTTGGTGTTGTCATATATTACAATATTATTGTGTCATTTTGATCGATAGTATTTTATAATGTAAATTATCACTAAGTATAATCAGTATGCAATTATTACTCTTTGCATGACCATAGTTCAAAAGAAATATTCCACTGTGCTCCGTTATTTAGAAAAGCTATACGTTCTACATATAGCTTTTTTATGGACACAATACGGACTCAAAATGTTAGGATTGCTTTTTTGGACAAATGCTTGAAGAATAAGATGATAATTTTGCACAGTGAATCATTTCAGAATGTGATAATTATGTACAGTGTCTGGTCACGCTGTACACGCTTTATTGCCAGAAACTTACGGCATAGGGAGAGTCTTGCGCTTTTGAATCTATTTTGGCTGTCTCTCCCTTTTTGTAGATATTGGCAGCAACTATGGCAAAATATTTGATAACTTTCTTCGTACTTTCTGTTTTACCAGCGCCACTTTCACCTCTTTTTGGTGGTAAAAGAATATATAAAACAGATAAAAAAACAGAAACAAGTTAGAAAGGTTGAGGTATTAGTAAAATAGTTTTACATAGTTCCTTATAACTTGATTGTTAGTCACAAGAAATCGTAAGATGTTGGTGAAGGAAAGGAAGGATTTCACAGCAAACGTAATTTTCACAGATGCTACCATTAATAGTTCCTTTATGGAATCGGTCAATACCATAATACTGAATTATTTTGTAATTCAGAAATGATTCAACTATGTGTCGGATTTGTAAAATTTATATTAAGCTAGCATCTGCGAAATATTTGTAATTCAACACTGAGTGTTAACAGTGCTCTAGTGATATGAAAACGAAAATATTTTTTTATCAAATCATTTTATCAAAGAATATAAAATATTCAATGTGTAATAAAATTTCATTTTGTACGTGAGGCATGCGGTTGGAAATCTTGTGGGGATAACACGGGAAAGAGTTTAATTTGAACTCACGTGATCAACATGGACTGGTTCTCACGATCTGAAAGAAATCAATTGTAATGTAAGAACCATTTAGTAAATAGACTTATAGTACTGACTAATTGGATTTTTTTTTTATAAAACTGCATTGTTTACAGTATTTTATGAAATATTTTAAAGCGTTTTTTTTTCTTTATAAAAATGCTCATTCTTCTTAAAAACCCATTAATTATGCCTCTAAAATCCACTCTGTTGTCTAGAAATGCGTATAAAAACAAATTAACGGCTCACTATGCCTTAGAAATGCTATCATATTTATTTTTCAAAATCTGTGTTTGGTCTCGTGTTACAGTTTACACATTTGCTCTATCTTTTGCTGACAATTGGTAAAATTATAGTTAATTAGTATTTTGTATGAAAATCATGTATGGAAGTAAAAATACTACTTTTTTACATTTTGCTACCTTTCAACAAATAGCTGTTTTTTTTTCAGTCGTAAAAACATCTCATAATTATATGCATTGTCTTAATCCACTGTTTAAACTTTATTAAACACATGTTTGTCATTTCTAAAAATTAAAAAAATATGGATTTCTGAGGCATAACGGGCCTTTAAAAACGATCGTTTGACCTCAACGGCTCAGCTCATAGCCCTTAACTGCTAAATTGTGTGATGATTTTCCCAGTTTTAAATTTGGAAGAGACCATTTAAAGTTTAACGAAGCTCATGAAGTATGAAAATAAAATCACTGAGCTGCCAACAGTAAACAGCATAGCCAGACTGTACGAATGCTCTCGATTTCAACAGCTTAAGTGCGTAAAACAAATTAATGTAAAAACAATCAGTGTTCGCGGTAACTTTGTATTTACAAAAACTGCTCTGTTGATCGTACCTTTTTTTGTACTATAGTAATATAAGGATAAATGAAATATAGTTTTTGACTTGAAGATGAAAGAAAAAAATATGTAATTATGTAACATTTGTACAACAATAACACAATTTATGACTAATAAACAAAAACTTTAAACGTCTCATAGGATATTTTTTCTTATAAGTGGTACGTGTATTTCTATGAAAATATTTAACATGATTGTATTTCTAATATTGATGTAACATATCTACCGGGGTATCTTACGTCAAAATGTGTAGATACTTAATGCAATGTACATTGTATAATTATACTACTATAAACTAACCATTATCACACTTATTGCTCTTTTATTCAACTTCATCAAAATTTTATGCATTTGAAAAAACAACACAAGTGCTGCATTTATATTAAGTGTATTATATAGGAGCTGGCACGGTAACACTTCTTTCAATACCAAGATTTTTTTTTACCAGAATTACTCATTACGGATTCAGGAGTATACAAATAGGCTAGTTCTTATTCTGTGAAATAATCCTTCAGACAGTTTAATTTCTGAACTTACTATTTGACGTTAAAATATCATCAGAATAATGAATTATTTTATAAAAACAAAAAAAGATTTTAGCAAAGCTGCTCAGTCAATAAAGCATGACTATTTATCGCTTGCAATATTTGATTATTTAAGTCTACAAAAATATTATTTTTTTTTTTGAAAATATGTTTTAAATGAGTAATTTAACAAACAATTTTTCTGGTTAAAAACAATAAACTTTCTTTGTTCAAAGTAAATTAAAAGGAACCTATTTATGTAAAATATATAAACAACTTTTTCAAAGTAAATCATCTATAGACATTAAACGGCATATTTTTCGTGTCAGTTTTACACTATTTTTATTGAGTATAAATACATGAGGAAATTTATGTTGAAGCTTCCCTCTGAAATTTTATCTCTATCTGTATCAACCATTACCGTTACTCCTTCAAAATCTTCTTGGCAAATGTTTATATATTTACGTCCAGGTAAATTTTATAACCAGACGCCGGTAGCGTTTGTGTGAAAACTGATAAGCACCAGGTGTTCTAATTTTAGAACAAGTCTCCCATATTAGGAGCGAGCGTTTCAGAATTCTGGCAGATATTTCAAACTCTTCCGGCAAGTAATAAGATCTCTTCACTGAGGCTATCGACAGGGGCAATTCATCTTAAAATCTAAATACCGCTTATAAGATAACCTTGAAATATAAGCAATTGTTAAACAGAGCTTGGAAAGTTGTTATAAGATTTTAATGATATTTGTAGAGAGTACTCGTGGGGTAATAGATGTTAACATGGTCTTAATTTGATCTGAGTCTATTTTATTGCCCTTAATCATAGATATATTGCAGAAATCGTATAAGAGTGAAGAAGTGTAATGGGAAAATTATGGTATACACTGTTTATAACAAATACAAGATATTTTAGATATAAAATAAGTTAAAAAACGGCTAACAAATGAAAGAAAACATCAAATCAATGGGAAGACTTACCTTATGATTAAAAGAATGATTTAGCAAAAGAAGAGAAGCTATTTCTCCTCGGATGTAAATGAATAATGATTTGTGATGTTTATCTTATATTAATATAACATTAAGAATATTATCAATGCTGAAAAATGACATTAATGACAGTGTTTATCAAATATTGTCATTTTCTTCATACTACGTGAAAAATACCAGTCAACTTACAGATTCTTTTGTGCAAAACGAATCAGACACACAATTAAAGATGACAAAAATGCATTGGTTATAGAATAAAGAATAAAACAATAAAAATCAACGCTAATATTCACTTACAGAATACTGAAATATAACTTCACCATACTAATTATACGTTTTTAGTTTCATACATTTATATTATGAGTATCTGAGAGCGGACCTTATTACCTTTTCGTTCTATGAATGTACACTTGCAACATTTATGACAAATGGAAAGATAGACGATTTGTACGGACTGGCAGGAAAAAAGGGCTGATTCATCTTAATAATATTTTACACACGAAAATATGTCCAAAAATTGAACCCACGTTTATAATGAACTTATAAGTAACGGTTTCGTTATGTTTAAGACATTACCTTGCAACATGTACTGGTAGGCGTTGTCGGCAATGGAGAACAAATGAGGGGGCATTTCCAGCTTCCTCTTGCCACGGTACTTGGCGATAATTGAGTCAAGGTAAATGGGCAGGCGGCGGTAAGGGTTCACAGCCACGCAGAAGAGGCCGGAGTACGTCTGTAAAAAACATGTTTAATTGATATGGTTATATTTATATATTTTGATAAGGCATAGGCTGTAGAAAAGGACTCATATAAGGTTGTTTAATTTTCGTACAAGTACTACTATTTTTGCAAAATCTCAAAATTTCAGGTTCAAAAACAGGAAAGAATATATACAGAACTACATATCATTTAAAGAATATATGATACACACCACTGTGTTAAACTTAACCATTTTCTTACTCCTCTCCGTGCACACAAATTAATATAGCTAAATCCTCAAAAAAATGATTCAAATGAGAAACTACGTATTAAGAATAAGAAACTTTTGTTTTTAATTACTTAATGTAAATACACTCATTAGCAAAGAAATATTATCATTAACAAACCGTTAAACATATAAATGAATTCTCAAATACTATTTTTAGAATCATTGAATTCCAAGTAGTCACGAGCGATGAAAGTAAGAGGGACATATACTGATTTATTGTAATCAATTTTCAAAATCGCTACAAAGACGAACTTTGTATGGTAAAGAGCCATATATGTGATCTGTACGAGTGAATATCATATTTAGATAAATTGTTTTATTGTATGTTTACATTACTGAACATCGAGGACTAACAAGCGGTCAGAATCTATTTTTAGAGTGATCAGAATCATAAAATGCTTACATAGATGAATCCCGAGAAGTAACGAGCTCTGAGATTGTGCAAGACGGAAGCCTCGTTCAGGTAGGTCATATTGGCCATGTCCTCTGTCATCTCGAACTTGGGTGGATTGACCTGCTGAACATCATCCTTCTTGAATGTCTTCACCTGTATTTAAAATACCTTGATTACACTTAATCCGATTTATCTTCAGCAAAATTCAAATCTTTGCTTGATTGTATGTCATGGAGTATTGCACACATATATATTCATTACTATATGATTTAAAATGAGTTTAATGGCAATTTCAGGTTTCTATATTTTTTTTATAGCTTTGCCCTTGACATTCGAAATCTGAGACATTTAACATGCCGTCTGCATTCTTATTTCGAGTAGTTAAGGTAATCTACGGATAGACTGATGTACAAATATCTATTTTGTGACTTTCTTCAATATTCATACATCTCAAAGTTAGTTTCTTGATAATATTGACAATAAACTTACGTCATTGTTCTTTTCCAGTTTTACGGTGACATCTTCACCTTTCGTAGACTGAATATCGGCTCTAACAAAGCCCTCTTTCTCGTCTGGTACCCAACATGCTTTCTTGCCATCGAATGGTTTGGCCTCTCTCATCACTTTCTTGTGATCTACGGCCAGGTACTGGAAGTCGGGATCTTGAGACCAGTCAGTAGACATGGTTACGGTTTTGATATGTTACTTAGGTGAAAAAATACGAAAATTCCAAGACAACCTCCTCACGTTTATGCCAAGACTCGAACAGCCCTTTACACTGAAAACAGAAACAGGCTCTTTTATTTTACATCTTATACGATTTACAAAAAAAAATATAGTATTATCAAAATAACAATAACCGCAGTTACTAAATGGAAAAATCAACTAATTGATTTCACGAAACTCATTTTGTTCGGGAGGGGGGATAATGTATTTAGGGGATACTGTATTTACAGAACAATCATTTATTCACAAAAATCCTACCCAGGAACCAATCCCGATAAAATATAAAGAACTCAATTGTCTGTATCAGCTGTATCAGAATATCAGAACTGCTCTTTATGAAATTGCTAGAAAGGTGAACAGCGGTTTAGAAGCGGTTGAACTCCGACAGGCGGGAGTGGCCTTGATACGCCTACGTTCCACAGATAACCTACCATTCCATGCATCTTGATAAATTTAATTATTTCATATACTATAGGAACCGTTTACCGCTTTTCTAAACTAGAGAACTATGATTCAAACGAAATGTTATATTGTTATATATGTATAATCAAAATTGCAAAAAAAAAACAAACAAAAAATTAAAAAAAAAACACCGAAAAACCTGAAAGTGTCCTGTTTAAAGGGTGAGAAACTGCAAGATGTATCGTAACTTCAACTTATAAATGCATTTTAAGATATGTACGGATAAGCGGTGTTATTTGAAACATCCACAACTTTTAACAAACCTGTACCGTTTAGAAACTAAGATATAATTAAAATACATTTATACAAACGATATCATTCCAGTTAAAAGTCCAATACTAGTAGGTTTTTTCAAAATTCCATGTTAAACCTTACTTCCTTCACAGTTCTTACTGACATATATACCTGTCACACTTCAAAAAGTTAATCCAGAATAGTGTATTAAAAAGTTACAAATTACTGTCAAAGGTACGCCAATTTAAATATGATAGATATATCTTAATCACAAATCTAAATCCTTAAATCCGCTCCGTTAGCTAATAAAACCATTCTCCCATAAATAGTAATAAATGTAGAATTACTATTACATTACAATTACGGATAATTACGTAGCGCGTGCTCCAAATATCCGCTCTTTTAATTTGGGTGGGGTAAATTTACAAAGTAAATAAGTAAAATGTAAAAAGATACACTGTACTTACAGAGTGGTAGAGCTAGTTCTTGTGAAGCTGCCGTCTGCAAAATTCTTTTATATCACGTGCTGAATCGTTTACCTGGTAATATAACAAGTTATTTCATTGGATGAAATGTTTTGCTGAACGAATGAAACAGATCGTCTTATCTGATCAGGCATGTATGGAATAAGAAACAAGTTGCTTTTTGGCATTGAATATCTGCATAATCCTTATGGCCAAATAATTACTGGTGAAACCTTTTATTTCATAAAAGACAAAAATATATAATTTCTTAAATAAGAAGAAGAACAACAAAAATCATTGGAAAGAAATGGTGTAAATATCCATAAGTAAATAAGAAAAGTTTTTTTTTTCAAAATGAATTATTTCAAAGTAATTCTTATTGAACTACTTTGTAGCAATTCTGAACCAATACTTGATTATAATATTATAACAATAAAATGGTATAAAAACCGTTATAATTGCGACCGAGCGTCAAACTCATTATACAGTAATAAAAGGATGATTAATGAATTTTCCAGGAATGTTCACTATGCGCGCATATTGTATTTAGAGAAACATTTGGCACGGGCGTTCAAGGGTAGTGGCACTTGAACAAGCAGACGACTATTAAATGTCTGAACGATTTATCAGTATCTATATTTTGATAGCAGCTGATGGTCTTTGTGATACAATGCAAGCGATGAAATATGTGAGTAGAATAGGACCTTAGATCTATGCGCGAACCCTAAATGTACCTATGTTTGTATGTAAAAGTACATAACACTAGTTATGATAGCATATACACGTCTTGCTAAAAGTGAAATTTTAGTTAATGAAAGATTTTTTTCCGGTAGAAAAAAAAACGAATATAAATTTCAATTGTTGAAACAAAATTAATATGTAACAGTATTTTCATGTAAATTGTACATTTACTATTGAAAATCATGCATGTAAGTGTGTATAACGCTGTACACAACAAACAATATATTTTCCTTTAATTGGAACCTTTCAGACATGATTTTGCCCATAATGAGTCTATAGTTAGCTTTGAACTAGCACAAAAAAATCACTTATTGTAAGTAATGAGTTTACATATTTTGACAACCATGCTTATCTAATTTCTTAGGTATATGAATATCTACATTTGTAATTACTCCAAAACGTTCTCCCCCGCATCTTATCTCTTTGATTTAATGGTGGGAGTGTGCAGTTAATCAAAAGAAAGTTTTACTAACGTTTATAATAAAGCAATTCATCATCTCTGTACTCTGTGATATCCAGGTGGAGTGGAACTGATTGAAAAATGATCCGTTGCTATGGATACAAAACATACAAAATTCTCTAATACCTGCGTTGTTTATAAAGAAACATGGTGCGATAAAATAGTTTATGCCTGTAAAGAATGCTAGACTTTGATCCATAACATTTCATTCTGATATATAACGTAACACATCATGATCTTTTAGAAGCTCGAAGACTCCCCTGCAAGCGTCTGAAGTATTCTAATGTACTTCACATTTAAAATGCCAAGAAATTTTAGATAACTGTGCGTTTCTGTCTATGTATATACGTTAAAACTTCAATCAAGTTTTTTGTGGATATAGTTACAAGGAACACATCTATGGATGTTTCTAAATTCAAAATTTCACCTTTTTTATGTTTAAATGTTGAATTCTGCTAAGGCCGGTGCTACGGGGCGTGGACGGTAGGTTGCACTTGATAGTACCGTCCATGAACGGGCTCAATCAAACTGAGTCTGCAATATTTTCAATTTTGGCGTTTTGGTCTTTCTAGAGGGATTCTTATCTTAATTGGTTCAAACCTGGACGATACTATAAAATAATATACAGGTTTATATTTGCTGTTAATATCTAATCTAATTGTGATGAATGCACTTGTATTGCTGTTGATTTGAACTGTCTAACTCTTAGTTTAAGGAATTAAAATTGTAAATCTTAAAGTGATCGAGCATCCAAAACTTTTCTTTATATAAGATTGTCTCTTACGTTGGCACAGAACTATTGTTGCAACGCTGAAAATTCATGTTTATTTTCATGATAAATTACGTTTGAAACTCCCTAATTATGTTTCTAACACCTGCTAGTTTAATAACGTACGTAACGGTTTTGTGTAAACAAACAGGTTTACACACCGTGTTGTATACAGTCCAGATAAACATGCACTTACATACCATCAAATGAGGTGTTTTCAAATTTACTTTATCTTACATCTTACACAAACCCACTTAACCTACTTCCGTCACTGCTGCGAGCTTCTTCTCAGAATTTAAAAAAAATAGACATACAATGTTGTTTTAAGGTATCAATAACCAAAGGACATAGGTTAATCAGTGTTTCAGTGCTTTTGAATAGAAAACAATAGGTAAACAATATAGTGATACAATGTATTACAACAGTGTAGACCAATTTATACGCACCTATAATCATCACATTTGACCACAATTGAAACATTTTTCATTACACCATTCTATTTTAGATTTTTTTTATTGTTACCACTTTTTATTCGTATGAGATTTTCACCAGCCCATTGAAATACAGTTAAATTATACTCAAAGGACTCTTAAGTATTTCATCTCTCTAAAAGGAAACATGTTGCATGGAATGAAAAACAAATATTACATTTACCATTAATTGCATTTGTTTTATACAAATGTTTATCTATATGTACGAGTATGTTGTAATTTCTGTTTAAAATTGCAATAGTCTACTTTTCTTACAAATCCTTGTTCAAAAATCATTGTCACCCGATAAGCTCACATTGTCTTGGTGATGATGCCGGATCATGATTACCGTTATAATAGGAAATCGGAATGATGATTCTGAATCATTTTGTTGTTTGGCTCGCATCAGAGATAAATATGCTAACCATATCCCATACGATCTCTCTGACAACAATACACAAAGCATAAAAACGGCCAAATAATTCTATTTATTCATGTAAGACAGGTGAACTATGTGAGGTTAAGTCTTAGTTTATGGTTTTACATCATCTTAACCTTCTATCAAATAATTTGTTTGCGATGCTACATAGTCTGGGACTTCTTAATGTCATTACTGATATGTCATAAATGTCATTCTGAGACAATCACTGACATTTCTCTGTCATGTTTTATTAGCATCATGGAAACAAAAAAGGAAACTCCTATCTGGTCTTTGGTCTTTCTTATGATTTGATATAAACGACTATTACTTATATCTGTTTTGACAATAAAGTATACTTTCAAGTCATATATCGGTCAGTACGTGGAAATTATTTGTAATTATTCACGTTTTTTGTGAAAATTGCCAGCTTAATAAAATAGAGAATGAATATCATTTTTTACTTATTTGCCGGAAATTCTCCTATTTGAGAAAAAATATATTAAAAAAACGGAATTACTACATATGGTCGACTAAGCAAAAGTTTATCAATTTAATGGCGGAATAATTAACTGTAATTAATGGTTTAAGCAAATTTATATATCATGCTCCTATCAAATGTGATCTGTATTTTATTTATATGATCGTAAAGTTCTTCTGATAAAAATCCATGTACTTGTGTTGTTTGTGTTTATATATTTTGTACTTGCTTTACACATGTATTTGTTTAATGCAATAAAGTTTTGCAAACCTGAATATGCCTTTATATATATTAGTCACCTACGTAAGGGATTTGTAAAATAACATAAAGGTATAAAGTCATTTCTTATGAACTATTTTTCATAAAACAGTAAAATTATATTGGTTCCACAATCAAATGGTCGATCCTAGAAATAGTCTCTGTTATTCAACACACATGAATATTGTACGCAAACAGGAAAAAATATCGGAACACAATATTTTTCTGCTATTTTAGTTAGGGTTTTAGCGCCATTAATTTGCTTTGTGGGGAATTACTGCTGTATTTACTTTAAACAAACATTTTGGAAGTACTAGTATTCGTTCTTAAAATTCAAACTAGTGAATTTTGTAGCAGGAATATAGCTTTATACACTTTAATATATTATTTAAATGATAACTTTTGAAAATAAGACATTTTGCTTATTCATAATGTTCTAAGTTAGTAAAATGAGCCGCGTCACGACAAAACCAACATAACGGGTTTGCGACCAGCATCCGCGCAGTCTGATCAGGATCCATGCTGTTCGCTTACAAACCTTATAACAAGTAGAGAAACTGATAGCGAACTGCAATGATACATAGAAATACATGTATGTAATAACATTTGATGAATTAGGCTGATTATACTTAGAATCCTCGCAGTCTCTCGCAGACGTGGAGTGTTTTCTCTGTTCTTGAACCAGACACGCGTTTATACACTCAAAAGTAAACACTATGAAATTTAAGATCCAAACATTGTATTTATTATGCAATGTACTTCTAGTATATTTCACTACCTGTACTATGGGTTTGTTTAGTAAGATTCGATTAGCATACCCATGGCAATAGCATACATTTCTATCAAGCATTTCCCTGCCACTTTGCTGAACTAACAAGATGGTTTAGATAAGGCTGCACATGCGCGTATCTTCTATCAGAGATTCATCAATGATAGCACTTGTTAGTTAGACCAAATCTGATACATGAAACATTCAGCTAAATGTAACGGTAACAGTTAATGACTAGACCTATGAAAGTAACTTTCTTTCTTTCTTTTTCTTTCTTTCTTTCTTTCTTTCTTTCTTTCTTTCTTTCTTTCTTTCTTTCTTTCTTTCTTTCTTATGATGGACAGTATGAAATGTAATCCAACCCATGGCAACCCCCTCCATGTCCGCATCAGTTTTCTTATTAATAAAATCTATTCTGTCATTGCGTTTGGTGTTTCTAACATTTATATACTGAGGTTTTAAACAATAAATCTCTAATTGGGCTGCTATATTTTGGTGTGAACTTGGCTCGGATAGACCTCTAGGAATTTATTATATGCTGCGTTGATGTATAAGATAACTGATTGATCAAAATGAATATAGATAATAATTCCCTGGGCCGATGCCACGCGTGTGTGTTGAGATTACCAAACTGTTCATATTTAATAACTCTTGCTGCTTCAACTACAATTTTTATTCATATCATTTTCGTGACCATTCACTTATCTGATTTATGTTTTTTAACCGAATTTCAGCCAACACAGACAAACAACGTTTGATAATATACTGTCCGTCTGTATTAAGAAGCGGAACTTTTGCACATTTAATCAAATCCTTTTTTTTCCTCAGCATTTTCATTTAAAAACGAAATGCACAATTATTGAATTTCAAGATTTTAGCCCCATATACAGCTTTCCGAATATTGTACGCTATATTCTAAAAAAGTGCACATAAAGTCATCTAATTTCAATATCAAATGCATTTCTACTTTATGAATATAAAAGATGAATTAAAGTTATCTTCAATGTTATAAGGGTACATCTTTCAATAAGATCACCTAAAATGCTTTCAAAAATATTCTTTATTAGTCTCTTCATTTTCTAGATAAAGATACAATAAAAACATTTATCAAACACATGTAATGAAAAATCTTCTTGAAATAAAAAAGGTTTTACCAGAAGCACATTGTTTGCTTTCGCTGGCATTGGGATTTGTTTTGACGGATATTACCTATACTGATTTCAGTTTGAATGAATTAATTTGCAGTGAAACTTTGTTTGAGCTTTCAAATGTTACTGAAAAACGCAAATGGGACACGTACTCCGTCTTTGCAAGCGCGCGTGCATGATGGCTTTAATTGTTGCTGTTTTTTTTTTTTATGAATTTACGATTGTAAACGTTGACGTTATTAATTGATATTCATGACGTTAGACTTCCAAATTTAGCGTAGTCCCGTTACCATAGTGATGATTTACCTGCAGTTTATTTTCTATCAAGAAGTTTCACATGAGTTGTGGATAGCTGTTGTTTCTCATTATTATATCGTAAAATATCATAACGTCAGTTATATCCATACGTACTCCGAATTGTGGTTTACGGTCCTGGCCAGTATTTATCAAACCTGTGTATTTTATATGACAGGTGGTTACTGAAATATAAATACAAAAGAACTAAATGATAAAATGGTGCCTCTTTCAATCAGTATCGAGAATTCATCTACAGCAGTACTTTACCGATCTATTACAGAAAGAAAGAAAATCGAAAGGTTGCAATTGTCGTTTCTTTCACTTGAAGACAAATTAATATAGATCCTAAGTTAAAACAAGCAGTATTATTATATGCTTGTAAAATATATTTGTGTAATTCGTTTATGCCATTACACATGATCTTACACAAAAACATTTTTCAAATGGCACTGCCTTAAAGTTCGATACGTGTGGTTTAGAAAAAGAAGGAGAAGAAAAAAAAAGAACGTCAAACATGTTCTGATATTGGACTAGATGACAGATGGTGTTAATCTGTCTTATAAGCAAATCGTCTGCATCATGCTATTATACTGTTCCTCATGGACATAAAATTTTTAATCAAATACGCAAAGGCATGAAAATCATAATTTTCAACATTTAGTACCACCAACAACGTCTTTTGGAGTTATTTGATGACTAATTGATGCACACCGCTTACTTGTCAGACGTAAAGGGTGATTGAAATAACGATAATGATTATACTGGTATGTATGCCGTATCATAGATTATGATATTATGCATTGCTTATGTTAATAAAGATGTAAATAAAGATGAACCACGCGCAGCTATGAATATGGAACCAGCCCGCATTCAATCCTCAAAATCCTCATTCAAAAATAGTCCAGAATAAAGCAACAAGTTTCTGCTAAATTCAGTTGGGATTTTAATACACTTTTCCAAGTAAAGCAAGTTAAAATGTCGTGAATGTTTACCGGGTATATTGGTGTATTTTTAGTTTCTACTTATTAATTTATTTTAGTTCGACTGTGTTGGAAGCTATAAGCTTATTGGAGCACACTCGAATCCGTTCCTCGAACCAACCAAATACTAAGCAATGAGTGTAAACTTTCTTGCTCAAGGAAACAACAGCTTGCCCCCCGTCGGCCAGCAATCCATAAATTACTAGTCCGACGTGTACACTATTCGGACACATTTTCATATCCTTTCAGTTTTTTTTTTTTGTTTTTTTTTTCGTAACAAGAATTTCATGTATTTACTAATGTTTAAATTCACAAACTATGCCGTTTGAAAGTAGTAGATTTTTTTAAGAACTTGTGTTTTTTTATTATTATTATTAATCGTATACAATGAACAAAGCCATTCCACAGATTGATGAATTAATGAAAAGAAAGGAAGACACACATAAAAAGCAAACAATTCTTTGATGCATATTTGCTTTTCATTAGTTTTGAATAAAAATTTATGTAGAAAAATATCATATGACTTATAATTTTGACAATGCAATAGGAATATTACTTAAATATAATTAATTGAAGTGTAGAACTGTTTGTTTGACATACATGAATGCATTTGGAAAGAAATTAATTAGATGTCATACCAACTTCTGAAGGACAGCCAGATATTGGAATGTTCCTTATCTGGCACAAAATTCTCTGTTGTTTCCAGATGGCAGTCTTAGATATAAACAAAAACTGCATTCATTAAACAACACTCAAGCCGATATACTTAAATCATCGTTCTTGCTTGATTTATGAAATGCGGGTCGATTTTTTTATTTATGTAATATGCCAGTTTATTGATTTTTTTGATCAATTGAGATGTTCCAGAGAAATACACGTGATATGATAACCTGGCTAATTTATCGGTGCATCTATAAAACACACGTGTCTGTTTAAAATAAGATCATGTGACGTGTAGATTACTTAATGTAAATACTTCTTGCTTAGAATGCACCCTTAATCACCACCATTTAGCAAAGAGTGACTTAGTGATTTAATGTCAGTCGCGTTTTTTTCTATGTGAAAGAAAACAAGAATGTGGCGGTTGCATTAATTTTATACCGGTTGCATTGAAACATATACATATAGATGTATAAAACTCGATTAAAAAATGCATTTCCTAAAAAATAAAAAAAATAGAAGAGATATATCCTAACATCGATATGCAGATCAATAAGATAAATTAATAACATAATTATATTCAAACTACATATAGATCTGAATTGGACCAATACGTTCTAATTTCTTTCAAATAGAAAGACCCTGGGTTGCGGAAAAGAGACATATGAAATATCCGATTACCGTCCGTGGTTACGTAAATTACGTGACCCCGAGAAAGCTTTTGAAAAGCGCACGTGTTTTAGAAGACTTAATTAATCCAGCAAGCTTACGGAAGGTCAGTATCTTCTAGTTGTAAAAATATAACATAAATCTGTGATTGTAAGGTCTATCGATCCGGTTAATCACCTTGTGTGTTCCGTAATATGCAATGAAAGCCACCTTAAATCGATGATGAATTACGGGTTAGTGCGCTTCATTCAAGCGTGACAGACGATTTGTCAAGTACTCTTCTTCCACGGAGTTACGCGGGAAATTAGATTGCAGATGACGGGATACTTTTTTGACCAAATTTTTGCAAAAAATACATTTTATTTGGTAACGACTGCATTATATTTTGATATAATAGAATAAAATTGGTTATATGAAATTCTTCCAATAAAAGTGGTTACGTCTTAATTGGTAGGTAATAGAAAAGACTGGTTTTTACGCAGTTTAGATTGTGTAATAGGTCTCGGATAAATTTGATTCGGCAACTTGCATGAATAGACCGACCCAGGGGTCACGGACACCCCTATGTTGCTTTTAAATTCTCTTCAATTATTGTCGCCTATTTTGTTCTGAATGCCTTAGATTGGGATCGGTAACACACATTGTAATTAGCCAAATTTTGATATTAATGTGTCTGATTGTCTTGCATTAAGCTGCACACCTCCAGATACATGATATTTATGAAACTTTAAAAATCATACTAATTAAAAAAAAATGTTGTTGAGTGTCCAAAGTAAGTGATTTAAACTAGCCTATGGCACTTGCTATCCACAAAAATTACCTCATTATAATATTATTTTATGCAAAGCTCTGTAAGAGGGCAGAAATTTAGTGATAAACATATGTTTTGTAATATTTTACATATCATATATCTAGTATATCTATGAAAGAGTTGCACATGATGCATTTCTTTGGAAAGTTTTATTGATGTAGATGATAAATCAAATTAAGGCATTCTTCTTTCATTGACAACTTGGCCATAAGATCAAATACACAGAAGATAAATCATTGAAGTATATATTCTAATCAATAATAATTATAATATTATTTTCCAGATTTGTAAGTTATGGACTTTGTGGTACATGAAAACCATGATGAGCATGATATCAGCTGGACATTGTACAGTTCCCTTCATCACACTCGGGTGTGTCTTGGCTGTATTGTAGAAACCATAGAAAATACAGAGTTACTGCCCCTGCAGAGAAAACCAGCTTTGACAGAGTTTCTAAGAATGCTGACTCAGCAGTCTTCAGAGTTGATGCAGCTCTTCATGAAGGAAGAGAGAATTGTTTGGCATGTTGTAACAATATTATTAGGTATGATAAGAAATTGTAATTGGTATATTATTGTAGTATTAAAGTACTTCTAAGATTGAGAAAATAACAGCATTTGATGTTATTATAAATTTATAATAAATTTCAACTGAAACATTTTTGCCAATTAATGGAAAATGAGAAGTTATTACAGTACACTGAGTCAATATAATGTATCTGATATGATGATTATATTGGTGAATCAACTTCCAGTAAAAAAATCATGTTAATTGACTTCCTTTTAAAATAACAAAATAAGTTTAATTAAAATGAAAATTAAGTGTTTCATACAATTTAAAGATTTTATTGATTAATTTGATTACTGTGAATATACCACAAAAGAACCATGTAATGTATGAACTTGTAAAGAGTTTTTGCAATATTAATATATTCACCAATGCATTCCATGATTGAATTCTCAGACATTCATCAGACTCAATATTTATTTGATCAACAAAATTGCATTTCTATTTTAGAAAGTTTCAGTCTTGAGGATGAATCTTACATGGCTCTCTCAGTAAATGGTAAGATTTTTATTTAATTTGATTAATTATAGTTTAGACAAATTATCAGATGTAAGGAATTCTAATGTCCTAAAATATGTTACTAGAAATAGTCTGAGATAATAGGTTAGTTTTTTTCTGTCTAACTGAAAAGCAAGGCACTGATCTTGACCAATGTTACTAAGTTAAGTTATTCACATTACAATATAGCAGTAAATTTATAGCAGATTGCCTATTTCAGTTCTTCTGAAGATGTTGCAGATGATTGGCTCAGAAGATCTTGTTACAGAAATACTTGATGCCATTGTTAAGAAGGTCAGTTTCTCCATAAAATTCATAAAATGTTTCATTATTGTAATGTTGACATTGACTTCTTATGTTTTTCATTGTATCGTTCATTTAATTTTTGTATGCATGTAATAGGACACAAATAAAAAATGTTTGACAATGTTGCTTAAGTCATTTTAAACTACTTAAAAAAATGACCTAAAACCCTGATATTGACAAATAAAATATAAATGAAAATGCTTTTTCCACAAAATTCTTTCTCTTTGATATATCAATGTGCAACTTTTGCATGGATTTGAACAGACAAACCAAGTCTGAAATTTTCATTTATTTATTTTCTTTGTTATCAAAGGATCTCCGTTGTTCAAGAATTTGGTATTTGTTTTCATTTCCATTCTGGATCTTTCATTGGGCAGACTACAATTTTTAAAATGCCTCAAATTGTTAATAAAAAGCTTCATACTTTTGATAAGGAAGATGTTTTTTTAATTACTTTCATTTAATGAGCAGGTATCTCACATTAGGTCATAAAATTTTGATGGTCTTACTATATAAAACCTTACTATAAAAAAGATTTTGTATAACAAACACATTTTCCTATGTTGTATACTTTCTTAAAAATAACACAAGATATCTTGCAAGTGAAATATCTAAATTCTGTGTTTTATATGGAACTTTTACAAATTCAGCAAAATGGAGTTTTTTTCTTCTTCTCAGTTACAAGGTTAAAGATGAGTTAACATTTGAAAATCATGATCCAGTATCTGAAATATTTCTCTGTAAAACATGTTCATGGTACCAAGGCCAGAAAGATAAGGTGATGTAACATGTTTATAGATAAGGATCATTGTGTAGGATTAAACAAAATACATCTTGTCTTTCAACAATGTTTTCATTGTATAACATTTGGTTACATACTGAATATAAGAGGAAGTGTTTTTAAAGTCTTTGATATTAAAATATGCTTGTTTTAACATATATTCCTAGAATTTATATCTGATTGAGTCAGACCCTGTCTTTTGATTTAGGATGTTGTCTATAGTGAAATGTTGGTGTCACTGCAAAACACTTAAAAAATATACTTCTGTTGAATTGAGACTAAAATAAAGACTTGATAAAGTTTGACCTACTGTCTTTGACAGAAGTATAGAGCCAGGCTAGCCTGCACATCTGGGCAGTCTGACCAGACCCATTACTTTTTAATTTCCATCATGATATTTCCAAAAATGTATTGGACAGTCTTGACGTAAACTCTTAATACATTTAGCAGATTCAAGATTCATTAAAGATTTTCTGTATATAGTCTTAATTTGGGATGACTGTAAAGTTGTTGTCTGTAAAATGTATTTGTAATTCAGATAATTTTCAATAATTAGTAAAATTTATATATGTTTTTTAACTTTTGAAAGCTGTCTTGCAGTTTATTTTGACACCTTCTCATTTTTCTTTGTAACTGAAAGCCTTTTTACAGCTAATGAACTGTTCCAGATTCAGAGTAGGAAAAGTCCATTTTTACAATTTAGGTAAGGGATTGTTGTATACAAGGAAATTGAAAACTTTCTTGCCTAAGTTTAATAACAAATAATGAACTAGAATACCACATATCATGATGTATGCTAATCTCAAATATTCATATTTTTATTATAAAGGCCAATGATATATAAGATTATACATATACAGAGACTATTAAAATACTGGACCAATTCCTGCTAGTGAACTACTTAATTAGACTAAACCTTGTATCCTTACACTCTTGAATAGGGTTTTAATTTTTAATAAGAAATGAGCTTTTATCAAGATTATAATATTGAATTGAAATTTTTAAGGTCTTTAAAACACTATCATTGACTTATTATTTTGGAAACTAATTTTGTATGCCTTCTGGGATAGACATAATAAAAAGCTTGAAATACCTGGCTGAAATTTCACATATCTTACCTTTGTGCCAACAATGATATTAATTCCAGAAGATATGAGTATTTTAAGATTCACTGTTACATTTTAGGATACGGAAATGCCAAACAACTGTTGGTTTTTATTACTAACCAGTCACTTCATTAACTTAGAGAGATTCAGCGGAAATTGATTCTGTCTAACTACTAATTGTAACACTTACGTGCTGCTTTTAACAAATATTAAAATGAAATCCTACTGTTCTTATGAAAATTAAGTAGGATTGATATTGCATTTATTATTGATGCATCTTCGAGGTTGATTGCTAGCGGCACCTGCTTCTAATTGATCGTTTTGCCCAAAATGAAAAAGATTGATAAGTCTGCAGAGTCAGGGTGAATTTCCTTTCTAAATTCATCTTCGGTATCTCTCCACTCTTAAATCCCTATAGTTCAATATAGAAAATATGTGTTTATTACTATATTACTACATATGAAAATCAAATGATTATTTTGCCCAATGGACTCATGGTCGCATCAAAATGAAAAAGATATTTAATGAAATATGGGTTATTGCCCTTTATGAAAGTTTCAATTTCCTCATATATTATTCAAATTTCCAGATCGAGATGACAGCTGATCATAAGAAGTTAGAGCCACACTATATATTGTTAGGAAAGATGTTATATCAATTGCCAGCTCTTACAGAAACCCTCCTTACACATTATGGTATGTTACAACACTTTGTATTACTTGACTAAGAACTGATCACTTACTTGGATGTAAGACTTTATATTGTGTTCTTTGTAGTCAATTTGCCTTGGTTGTGTTAATATCACATTGGCACTGAAGTGGTCAGTTTTTGACATACTGGAGATTAACCAGTATTGTCCTTTTATTAAACATTTCAGGTTTATGTACTAGCCACCAACTTTTGCTTGCTACTTTATCCACAGACAACCCAAGTGGGATTTGAACCCGCAGTGGTAAATACAGGGCCGCCAAAATCTGTTTCTTATTTGCTTGTCCATAAAATTTGAAGTGGTTTATTTTAGACTTGTCCATATGATTTTTGTAAAATAGATTGAGGTATAAATTTCACATGTTTGTACAGGCTGTGGGGCAACCTTAACAATTCGGATAATTGTTTAAAAGCACCCCCAGAAATGGCAAGTATTTGGACATCAGCATTTTTGCTGATAACTCTGCTTAGTAAGGTATTAATTAGAATTAATTTGCAGCCAATAAAACATATTTCCTTACATTTAAGTTTAATTATTTCTTATCAAATCAATAAATTAATGATAAATCTTGCTTGTTCTATCAGTTTTATTAATTCCTATACACTTGAGAGCCTTTTTATTGTTAATTGGCTCCTTGATGAAAAATTTCCTTTAGGTTTGAAGCACCTCTTTCTTATTTTAGAGTGATCATAACCAAGATGTGAAGTTTTATAATAGGAAGTTGCTATTATTGAAATGCAAAAATACTGTATTTTTTTCTTAAAGGAATACACAGGCAAAATTTTCATCTCTTAGTTTTGAATTTTTCATTCATTATTCTATAAATGCCCTCAAAATGAATATATTATTAGACAGTCCATGGAACAAAACTTATTTCCATATAAAGAATAAAATGGTGGTTTCCTAACTTGACCCGCGTGGGTCAGGTTAGAGCGCTATGATTTCGCAATATTTGTCAAAGTGAACTCTGGAAACGTTAAAGAACATTTCAAATGAATGACATAGACTTGTTTCAATCATACAATATCCAAAATATCTGTTATTGTAACTTAAAGGGTTGGCTAAAGTCACCTGACTTGTTTTAAAACTATTTGGTAATTCCATTGGTGTCTAAATCTTGTTCAACATATATAGATATATTTACGTTTCAAACCCAAAATGTATAAAATTCAAACAGACATTCATGCTGAAACTTCAAGAAATGTCATTTTAGCCTGTTTTCAGTACATAAGATCATTTTATTATTTTTCTCATTATTTTGCCTGAATATCCCTTTAAAGCTATTCAGGTACTTTAAGAGCATCTTTGAGTAGAAGGTCATGTGCTGGTGCTTATGTAAAGTGTTTTTCTCTTTGCTTCCACATAAATGTCAAGATCCTTAAAAACTTCATTTTTCCCCTTCATTTCTTGTATTTTGAAGACTTCAACTTTCTCCTAGATTTACATTTAATAAACACACCGACCTTGATCAAAAGTTTGTAAAGATATTGTAGATCTTTTCATTTGTGTAACGTCTTCTTATGTATCTTACAGATATTTTAAAATGATATACTATATACATCTAACAGCAACTCTGGATTATTCTTAAATAGTTTGTCAGATAAGATGGTTAAATTATTGGCACTTATTGTATGAAGGTATCTGTTGCTATCTTCATGGAATGCTATATACTATCTTGTAATTGCTGCATTGCTTCAGGATTTAAAATCATTCCCGTTATGTAATAAATTTGAACTGCTTTAAGAATGTAGGTAAATTCAATATTAAAGCTGCTTGCCTCCAAATGAGCAAAATATGTTTCTAAAGAAAATCAACATTGAGAAAAAAAAAGTATTCATAATTCAAGAAAGAATTAACATGTTGTATGCAACTTAAGACTGACTTTGTAGTATTTATCACCATATTTCTACTTTGTAACAAATGCAATAAGGACTACATGTCTTTTTATATTCTGATCTATTTTTGGTAGATTTCATAGATTTTAAGTGCCCATTGCAATGTTTAAATGACTTCCATATATTCACCTGACAATATTTTACTTTTTAATTCTTTTTAATTTTTTTTTATGAAAATAAGCATGAATCTGAAGGCATACAATTATTGATCTAATAGTTTGAGCCAGGCCAGATTGCACAGACTGTACTGTTTCAATTATATTGTAATCATCACTATAAAAAAAGTGCCAAAAGAGAAAACACAGTAATTGTTACATGTATCTTTGTAATGTTCTTTACTTTGTCATGCAATGAAATTGCAACATAACATGTAATTGTTAAAAGTTACATGTCTTGAAAATAAAATTAATAATAAATTTTGCAATCACCACCACATTTTTGTTCAATCTTTCCCAAACTTTCTGAAAGACATTGCCTATTGTTCTGTACATTGATTATTACATTTTGTTCATTTATACATGAGGCACCTGCCATGTCAAATTAATCAATTAATCTCTTTCATATATACATACCAAAACAAAAGTTGTCTACATCTAAGCAATTGATATAACCACCCAGGCATAATATCTTGTCAGATACTTTCAGTTGTTTCAATTGAAAATCATTGTTACAACTTAGAATTTGGCTGGACTAATGCTCACGTTTTCCTCCAACCAGCTGGCTTGGCTGCATATTACAGCCTTGATGCAATGCGATTGGAAAGTTATCAATCAGTTTTCAAGAGAAAAAAAAAGAAGAAGAAATTTGATGTTGTTGATTGAGTTTCCTAAATGTTGTTTCTTTTTGAGATGCATTATTGTTTCTGAAAACATTCATCTAGTTTGGCAATTTATTTTCTCCTGAAAGTTGTTTTCCAAAATTGTGAAATATTTCTGGCATATGTAATGGAAGTGCAGTCTCTTGGGGAAAGTTTTTGAGGAAATTTTACTTGGCAGTTACCTTCTTGAAATTATCTAAACACCTGGAGGCTTTGCATGCTGCACAAGTTAGATTGTGCAGAAAACTTCTAATGTATACATTTATGTGTTGCTTATGTGTTGCAGATGATGTTCAGGTTTTTTTATGCAAACATTTGTTCTCGATATTGATTTTTAAAGCCTAGGCAGGAGTCTGGTTATCATTTAATGATTTCATGGCTCAGTGTTTTTTAACAACAGAAAGCACTTGCATTGAGTATACCTGTATTTTTAGCATACATAACGGGTATCAGTGGTATAGGGGAGGAAACTCAATCGAGTCATCCTTCACTGTACTATATGTTCTGTTTATTATATGTACATGTATAGTAAATTTGATGAAAATTGGACCCCATTTGTACTTGTCCATATATATACAGTTTCATGGCTAAGGCAGCAAAATCAATTGTTCATATTGCCCAGGTTGTCCCACAGCTAGCCTGTATGGACCAGTGGAAATTTTAAATAATTTTCTATATTTATACATATGCAAGTTAAGAAATGCTTCAGATAAAAAAAATCTGATTTGCCATCATTTGTTATCATAAATTTTTCGTAATGGCTTGACTATTGGCATAACTGTACAATACTGATTCAGTCAAGTTGAGTGATTGTCAAAATCTGCTTATATATAGATATGATAAAGGCATTCCTAAAAAATAAGGCAAAGAAAGTAAGAAACACATAAAGGTTGAAAAAAGAATCTAGTAAAAGATTGAAAAAGAATAAAATAAAACATACTGAAAACATTAGCTATGGGAGGAACATGATTTAAAGTATGATGTTTCCATAAGGTAAGTACATGTAACACACAGTCTTGGCTGTATTATATTTACAACTATTCATGATGGAAGGGAGGTAATTTTAAATACTGTGCTGAATTGCATTTCATTTAATGCCTACATGTTTATCTCCCTTTATATTATTCAGACTGGTTATTGAATGCATTGAGTCTGGACCTATGTAAAGTTGGGGAGACAGTCCAGTCATCTATAGCCTATATTTTTATCTTTCTGTGTGATGAAAGTCAAATTGTAAAGCTCCATGCAAGAACTCTACAGCAAGTGCATTCTGGGATTTTGACCATGCTGTCGTCTGCTGGTTCACTTCCTGTTCTAATTAATGGATTAGGTAAGTATTTTGTTTTTGTGACAAAATGTGTACAAGTTGGTTAACATGCTTATTAGTAAAAAATAATTTGATAAGGCATGAAGATAATAAAAAAAATAATTTATCAGTTTTTTTAAAGCTTAGTTCTTTTTATAAGTTTCTGACCTGACCCAGCTTTATATATATTTTATTTTGTTTTGCTACAGTTGCATAGTTATACTCTTTTATACAATGTACATAAAAGTCTTCACTGTTCAGCCTTGTTTGTTATTAAATTTACTCTTTCTGGCAAACATAAAACTGTAATAGTGTACACTCCGTCATTGTAGTTTACATATTCTTCGACTAAAGAAGCTGAAATTTATTGTATGATCCTTGTATTGTTGTATGAAATTCAAAAGACATACATGCCATAATGTTCTGGACGTACGGAAACTGTCCTGGAAATCAAATGACTGTCCTGGAAGCGTCCAAAAAAAATGATGTTACTGTAAAAATAAAAATTTGAAATAATCTCCTTTGTAGCATGAAAGTAGCCTAGAAATTATGGCATGTATTCCAAAGACAAACTTTTGTTTATTAAAGTACCATTCATTTTTTGTATAGGACTATTAAAGAAACTTTTATCGGACAGTACTGGTTGTAACAATCTGATGACCTTGAACAAAGATGGTGTGACCTTGCTGACATGTATGAAGAAACTGTTGCTAAGCAAGAAGGATGTGCTGCAGTCAGCAGTCTCCCAGATACTCTCAATTATACTGAACAAAGACAATTATTTATCATATGCTACCACAATACTAGACTCTGATATTGTAGGTAAGGTCTTTGAATATTATTTAAATAATCTTCACTATGTCTTAGCGAAACTTTTTTTGGCTACATCAATCTTATAAATATTGGGCATGGTTTTTCACTCTGTGATCTTAAACTGAAACTCACATATAATTATAAAAGTTAAACCTTTAACACTTTTCCCATGTTCATATTTTCCATGAAGAAAACATTCAGGTGCTACGTTTTGATAGCAACATAAAACTATTTGTTGTTTTTTGCAGAATTTCTCTTTGAGTCTTTACATACAGAAAATACAGTTCAGATTGAGTAATTCCTGTTCCTGTTGATAATTTTACTTTTAAGTTTATTTTGTTAAGTTTAATTTTGTTGAAATGTGAATATTTAGTGTTATGTATAGTTTTGATTCTATTTTTTTGTTTCAACAGTTTGGATTTAATATTTTCCCAGCAAACACAAGACGTCATACTGACGTCAGATTTAAGTCAGGTTCTGACGTCGGATGACCGTTATCTTACCAGTTTCTGACCATTTTCCGACCTCAATCTGACCATTTTCCGACCTAAATCTAACCAGTTTCTGATCAATTTCCGACCTCAATCTGACCATTTTCCGATCTAAATCTTAACCTTTTTCTGCCCTAAACCTGACCATTTTCTGACCTTAATCTGATCATTTCCCTAATCCTCCTTGTTTACAATGTTATAAATATTTTCTGGCCAATCCTGATTTGATCTAATGTAATGTAACTCATTCTTTTAAGTAACTTTCACTCCAATGAAATGTATAACAAAAAACTAAAAGCAAAAATATGTTTTTATGTGTTTTTTTTTATTTAAAATAAAAGTTGCAATTTAAAGCTGATACATACAGTTTTAGTTAATTCTGCAAGGCTAAATACTTTTCATAAACTAAACCAAATAAAACATAAAATAAGTTAATAACAATACAAAAAGTATTTCAAAAACAATGACATAAATGAAACTAAGAAATCATATACAAATATTAATGAACAAAACAATGTATGTATATTTCTATCAAAGTTTGCCTTATCAAACAAAATAGTGAAAATATTATAATTTTAAGAAAAGTTAAAAGATTTGGATAATAATGTTTCAAGCAATTAATGACAGATATTCAGTATTTTAACTATATTTATACAGCATTACTAAAACATTTAGTGGTATCTTTCATATTTTGACCTCCTTTTGATAATTGTCACTAACGTATAAATAACTCCCTTTTACAGTTACTTCACAAAGTTATACACAAATGTACTTTTAAATATCCACGAGAATTAGCACGAATTTGGAGGTGTGATGCCTTTAGATATATGACCTTCTCTCACCACCCCACGTCTGTCCGGAGGATGTAACATGTTAATGTCCAATGGCGTTTGTGATATCATTTTCACTGAAAAAAAAAAGAAATCTATAAAAATTGGAAAAATTACAAGCAAAAATTTTTTCATGGTTATCTGCCCTTATGAAATTTTAAAAGTTATCTTAAATTAATGAACAACTTTGCTAGCTTTTCAGAAGTGAGCTTTAACAAAAATTAAAAGTAAACATAAATACTGAAAATTTAAAAAACGCTTTAAAACTCCAGTTTTGTATGGATTATAGTATGTAATAGAATTTACAAAATCTTACTTTCCCATGATTCATGTTTCTTTTTTACATTATCACGTATTTCTGCCCCTCCGACCTTTGAGAGCATGTCAAACGCTTGAACTACCTGAAAAGAAAATTATATTCTAACTTATGTATATTCTACTTTTGAAATAGAACAGTTACGCAAGTCTTAAATTTTTCATAGTTTCAAATTAAAGAGTGTGAAGAAATTGTTGATAATAAATGTATGTTTATGTACTACGTTTTGTTAAAAAGTTTATGTTGTTTTGATTACATTTTTCCTACTGATAGTAAAATCTGGTGTAAAACACATTAAAGTAAGATTTATTCTGATCAAAAATTGGACCGTTTGGGAAAATGCCGAAATGTCTGAAACCGAAACGTCTTGGGTTATTTAGGACCGAAACGTCTTGGTCCGAAATGCTCGAAATCGTATCAATTCATTCTCAATTCTCAGATTTTAAGTGACAAAAACATCATAGTTTAACAAGAATATGAAAACTAAAGCATTCTCTTTGGTTATACTGAAAGGCACATTATAAACTCTTCACGAGCAGAGTTAAAACATGCCAAATTTGAAATGATTTATTATCAAACATTATCGCGAATATGTCTGACATTTTGCTTCAACTGTTCAAATAATGATAATCAAATCTAAGAATGCATGCAATTATTTTTCAAATACAAAGTAGAAATAAATTTACATAAATTGAACTGACCTTTTTGTTCAAGAAAATCTGGAATATTCACTTTATCAAAGCATCCCGATTCCTGACATACGAAACGCCTACGAATTTGAAATTTCCATCCACGTGGCTGTAGATTTGAATTATAATTATGTTTTCTTTCCTTTTCCTGTCACTATGATTAAATATTAACTATTAAAAACTCGTGATTTTGATACATATAATGTACCACAAATGATAATACTGTAACGTTAAATGATTGGACCTTGTTAACAGATCAGTGGCTATAAATAGGTTTCATAACAATAACACATGTAAGTAATTAACCTATATACAGCCCCACCTATATGTTTTATTAGGTTGCAGCGCCGCGCACGTGGTCTTCGAAAGGCACTTGTATATATACACTTAATTTGTAAGCCAAATAACATTAAAAAAAAAAGTTTAAATGTTTACAACAGCGAATAAGGATTACCTTTCGTTAATTTTTTACCTACTGTCAGGAAACCGACCAGAACCTGATGTTAGTACGACGTCAAAAAGAAACGTCTAATAGACATCGGTTTTTGGATGTCAGATTTACGTCGTATTTTGGTCGCCGACGTCGTGACCAAAACCTAACGGTAATCTGACGTTATTTTAACGTCATGTGTTTGCTTGGTTGTCAGTTGATGTGTATTGCTTTTAACTCTTAACCTATAATATTAAACATTTGCACTCGTGTCCGGCTAACATTTTTGGAAATGTGGATTATCAATTATGTGGATATTAAGATGAAAATCTAAAGCTGATCAGCATAACATTATAGATCATGGTCGAGGTGGGGGGGGGGGGGGCTGGCCTGGCTTTTTAATACACATGATACCCGTGACAAAGGCAAATGCCTTTTGTTTCTAGCAGGGTAAGGTTAAACATAATGCTAGTTTTAGTCTATGAAAATCTCATAACATTAAAAAGTATTTATAGGCATAGTTTGCATTATTTCTTTATTAACAAAGACAAATTCAGCTTTCAAGTTCATTTCAGAATATATTGATGATATTATAAAAGGAAGTTTGACACTCCATTAAATGTCATAAAATGCCATTAATTGAAGTTAATTAACCAACATTATGTTGAGTAAACAACTTTTCAGCATAATACCTTTTGTTATCATTTTCCAGATGTATTTTGAAAGTATTACAGAAGTTGGCACGAGTTGAACAGTTCTACAAGAGATGTCATTCTGTATATGGTAAGAACACTGCCAATATTTGTAATATATGTATATAATAGTCTATCAAGCCTAAACATTCTTTTCTCAACTTCAATGCCTTTTACTACTGTATTTCACTTACCTTGAATATGAAATTGCCCTTGCTATATAAGAGATTGGTGGGATTAAAATTATAAAAATTGATTGGGCAACAGTTTAAAGTTGGGTAAAGATAATATGGAAGGACTTGCAGCATAAGCCAATCATATTACAACTGGCACAGAGAGATGTTAAAATGTGTTGAAACTTAATGTAAACTTGTTCATACTTTCTTTAATTAATCTTGTTTAGTCATTAAATGTATGTTTTGTTCAATAATTGGTTTGTAAATTATGGGCAATTTTCTATGCACATTGATGCTATTTGCACTGTTGACCTTTAGATTATCTTTTAATTTATTTATTCATTTAAGGTTACTGGTTGTTGCTTGTTTAACTTTTACAGAAGGGATTAATTTTGTTTTGGTCTGATGGCACGGCCCTCATGCTGGTGTTTCTGAGCTCTGATTATGTTGAAATGAACATATTTATTAAGTCAAAAGATGTTGAAAAAAGTAAAACTAGATTATTGAAATGAGATTATTGAACAACAATTGTTCATTTCAATTTTTTTGTTAAACAGGTGTGGAGTCAGTTTTGAGAGCTGTCAGCACATCGATTGAACTAAAGAATCCATCTCTTCTCAACCATGGATACATTCTACTGGCTGAAATTTTAAACAGGTAACCCCATACATTAATATTTATATTTAACCAACTTTCCATTTCTTAGAAAAATGTTTAGTTGAAATCAGGAACAAAAAGAAAACAGCAACCCCCCCCCCCAAAAAAAAAACAATCAAATATTTTTGGCAGGATTCTAATAACATTCTTTTTTCATTGTCTATAAGCAGGCCACTGAAAGCTAATAATCTGTGGTGTTTTTCAAATAATTTTGTTTCTCATTGAATAAAAATTGACTTTGTTTTGAAACAAATACAAAATGAGGTGAATTAAAAGAGCAATTTCTCATAATTTAACAAATAGGCCTTTGATAATTATATTGTCAAGGAAACTGGCATAATTTATAGTAATATATATAAATATATATATAAAAAAAGAAGTTCGATTCCTTGTGTGGATCTCATGTATAAAAAAAGTATGTTTTGGGAAATGCAGAGTACAAAGTTCTTTAATTTTTTTATACGTTTATTTCTGTTAGCGCTTTCAATATATATATATATATATAATGATAATTATAAGTTTTAAAGAACAGAACAGATTGTTCAGACTAATTTTGTCTGTATATGGAAATAACTGCAGGCATCCTGAAGATGTACCACTATTCTTGAGTAGTAGTGTGGTACAGAAATGTCTGTCTCAAGTCAAACATGGCCTCAGTCATTACCAGAATGCTGTAAATCACACTGCTCAAGATGCTTTCCTGGCAATGTTAAGGTATGTCATTATATCTTGTTACCTGTACTTTATATGGTTGGTATGATATACTTTTTTATTATATACTTATAAATGAAATATTGAGAAATATTGATAAAATAAAATGCGTATTTTCATTTTCCGTATTTTCACTGTAAAAATTTATTTTTCACTGCAGTGAAACATATTTTCCGTATTTTCACTGGTGTCTTGCCGGACGACTTTCTTTTAAATTCTGCCAGTACACAAAATTTAAGGGAAAGTCTTTCCAATTTTATCGCAAAAAAGAGAAAAATGTATATAATAAACAGAAAATTCAAGTTTTTTCTATAAATACATGATTTATTTTCATCTTGTGGCATGAAAATTACCATATTTCACTCGTGGCTACTGCCACTCATGAAATATTTATTTTCATACCACTCGATTAAAATAAATCGTGTATTTATAGAAAAAACTTGAATATCCTCTATATATTTCTGAACCATCTGAATGTTTACATTGATAATATCTTTCTCTTTTATTGCCACTTGCAAAGAGTTAGGCCAGCCTGCACAACCATACAGTCGGTACAGTCCTTGTATTGTTTGTTTGTTTTCCAAGTTTTTGGATTGTCATATTTTGATAACATTGATAACATTACAAAATCCCTATAATGAAAGCTAAAGAAATCTATAAAATGAATGTAATGGGAAGTGTCAAAGGCTATATACATGTACATGCCTGCTCTTGTACCTTCATCTAGGACATTCCTTTGATATTAAAAATGGTTTGAATAAGAGTATGGCTAGTTTTGCTTTTATTAATCCCCTACCGGTTTACCGGAGGGGACTTTAGGTTTACCCTCCGTCTGTCTGTCCGTCTGTCTGTCTGTCCGTCCGTCCGTCTGTCCGTCCGTCAGTCCGTCCGTCCACAAAACTGGATCCCGCGATAACGCAAAAAGTACTGAAAATATTTTAATGAAACTTGATATATGGATAGATGGCAGTATGGAGATTATGCATGTCTTTTTTTTTTCTTCCTATGTTGAAAATTCTGGCACGTCTTTTTTTTTTTCTTCCTATGTTGAAAATTCTGGTTGCTATGGCAACAAATAGACTGAAAATATGGCAAATTTTACACATAACCTGGATCCTGTGATAATGCAAAAAGTACTGAAAATATTTTTATGAAACTTGATAAATGGATAGATGGCAGTATGGAGATTATGCACGTTTTTTTCTTTTTTTCCTATGCTGAAAATTCTGGTTGCTATGGCAACAAATAGACTGAAAATATGGCAAATTTTACACATAACCTGGATCCAGTGATAACGCAAAAAGTACTGAAAATATTTTTATGAAACTTGACATATGGGTAGATGGCAGTATGGAAATTATGCACATCCTTTTCTTATCTTCCTGTGTTGAAAATTCTGGTTGCTATGGCAACAAATAGACTGAATTTCAAGATTTCTGATTCTAGTTTTTAAGTTTTTTCACTATAAGTTCTTTATTTCTTAAGGTATTTTCTTCAAACTTTAAATGTAAGTTGCTAGTCATCAACCACATCATATGTGACAAAGTTTACAACTCTAGCACAAAATTTATCAGAATTACCTCCCTTGAACTTAAAATTTTCATGAAAAAAAAACATTGTTGTTTTTTTAATAACTTCTTTTTTTCTGAACGTATCTACTTCAAACTTCATATAAATGTTTCTTATTATCACTCAACATTTGTGAGTGTTCAATACTCTAGCAAGACTATTTCCAGAATTATGCCCCTTTTGAACTTAGACTTTTTTTTGAGAAATTAGTAATTTTTACTCCAACTTCTTCAATCATGATAGGATTTTCTTCAAACTCCCACATCATAATAATATGACAAGGTTTATAAATCTAGCATCCATATTTCCAGAATTATCTCCTCCTTAAACTTTTAATTTTTCCTATTCGTTCTTTTAACTTTCATTTTACTTCAAATTCAAAATAAACATTCAATATTCATACCTTCATTACTAATTGTTCTTTGTTACACTCACATCATGTATGACATTGTTATCTCCTTTTTTTTTAAATTTTGCTTTTAAAAATGTTATATTTTATAACAGGGATGTTTAAAAAATAACTTTAGAGTGTCCTTCAGTCCGTCTGTCTGTCTGTACATAAAAACTGTTCACTGTGATCACTTTTAAAGAACTTTTTCAACAAATTTACTTAAAATAGAAACATAAGTGAATGGCCAATGGCCCTTCAGAATGTTGCTTGGGCTCTTACCGGTAGGGGACTTATGGATTGCTTGCAATACTATGATAATTGCTTGTTTGGTATAATATGTAAATGATTTGTAAAGATTGGGTATTTCATATAGCTAGCATAACATAAGCTGAAATATTCCTCACAGTCAAACTAAAACAAAATACAATAGGGGCAAAGCACACATATATTCTATCAGTTTTGCAAATTACTTTGAACCAATTTATTTCTCATATGGTGAATGTAGACATAAAGTCAAGCCTTGTACTCTGTAAATAGGAAAACCTGATGTCAGGAAAATATATTTCTCTCATTTTTCATTCTTTAAGGAAGAAGTACTTGTTGTTGCCAGTACCATTCCAGGAATTGACAGAAATGTTTACCATGGTAACAAAGAGGAAGTTGGACCAGCTCAAGTTATTCTGGGATATGTCAGAAACCAGACAGATGAAAAATATTGAAATGCTTAGTTGTAGCCTGGTGAGATATCTGGACCTGACGATCAAGTGTTGCTATCTTGTTAAAGAGGTATGTAAGTAAATGTGTTGCCAAGGTTTTATGTTGTTATTATACAAGCTAACATTTGCTTAATGATGTAACTTACTCTATCAAATAAGTAAGCAAGTATGTAAGTTTTTTTTTATTTCAGTGACATGCTATTTTACCAATGTGCATGCAAGTTTCATCAACACATACCAGCACCTGTCCCATCAAAATAGTGAAATAAGTCTTTGCAATGCATTCACATTAAGGCAGGTTAAGAATAATAAATACTTTTACTCTTAGCATTCAGCCAGCAACTGAATATACCCTTGCGATTACTGCAGACCACAAAGAGCCAGCTCATCTGTTCCATTTGATCTTGATCATGGTCTGCTTTGTTCCCAATTCAATCAGTAATTATTTAGAAACTATTCCTAAAAAAAAATAAGTGATTATGTCTATTTTGAAAGATGGCCAAATCTATTTATGATATTCAGGGTGGAAAGGGTCAATATTTTCATTCTAACATGATTTGCTTCTTGTTACTACACATACAGTGTTTTATAAATTAAGACATGTTGTATTTATGTTGACAGTGTAGAGGTGACCTGGCAACATGTGAGAGCAACTTTGCTGCACCAGGTACTGGAGATCTACTGTCCCCAACAGATACATTTGTTGAGAAGTTGTTTAATGCTGGTCAACATGTTTGTGATGTCCTTTCTCAGGTAGACATGTATTTGAATTTTCTATTATTCGGATTAAATATTAATGTTGTAAAAGATTAATAACCAATGATCTGTTGGCATAATTTTTTAGCAATTTTACGTGTCCCTTGGTCCGTGGCAGGAATTCGATAAAAACAAAATATCAGAATTATTCAGGTGATAAAGGTAGTGTATAAAATTTACAATGTTTAAAATCCTTTTGCACTTTACTCTCTTATTTGTGATTTATAAGATCTATGAAAAATGTTAAAAATACTGATTTTTCCTAAATCTTCAAAATTGAATGACCTCAGAACTAAGGGAAGTAACTTTAGTTTGACACTTTCATTGAAGTTTCATGTTTTATCTCCCCTTCAGAAATCTGCAGACAGAATTCATAGTGTACAACTGTATGAAAAGGTCCTGGAACTTATCTGCTGTTTAAATGACCTTGACACAGGAAAGTCACATGACCTGGTATATCAGCTGATATTGGCAGGGTTCATTATTAGACTGATTGATGTAATGGTGAAATTGAAGTAAGACTGTAGCATGATATGCATCAAAATTCTCTTAATACAGTAAAAGAAATTCTAGAAACAATAGAAACAGAACAGAAAAAATTCATTTGAGCCACGCAGTCTGATCAGGATCCATGCTGTTCGCTATCACTTTCTCTACTTGTTATAGGGTTTGTAAGCGAACAGCATGGATCCTGATCAGACTGCGTGAATGCGCAGGCTGGTCTGGATCCATGCTGGTCGCAAACGCATTACATTGGTTTTGTCGTGACGCGGCTCATTTTAGATTTAAGTGTCATCAGCATTTATTAACATTTATTATATTCAAATCTGATAAACAGTTAAATACGGGTGGCAATTTTATAAGTTAACATTGCTGCTAACATTCTAATAGCTAAGATAGCTAGCATCAATCCAACAGTTACTCTGCCTGCATGAAATTCATTTTATAAAGAAGCAGAATATTTTATTGATGGAAGCTTCTTAGCTAGCTTATAATTTGTTTGATAGGATATTATGTAACCCAAGTTAAAGGAAAGTATAAGAAAATTGCTTGTTTTATTGTGTTTCAATTTTTTCTTAAAAGAAATAACAAAGAACCTTTCCATAAACAAATTAATATTGAAAGTAAAACCATACTTATGTAGGAATTATTATTATTATTTCTTTTTTAAAAGAAAGAAAAATCAATACAAAAGCTGATCTATTACATTTATATCTAGCTCTCAGCAGCTTACAAATTTGATGGACAGATTCCTAAAACTTACTGTAGAATGCTGTCACCAACACTATATGCTCCCTGTAGACAGACCTTTCATAAACGTGCTGGATGTGCACCATTTTAAATGTAAATATTTATAAGTAATACATGTACATTGTATTTAGTAGATTTATATAAGAACATGTTGCACTTATGCACATACAACTTTTTGTCACAATTGCCTTGGTAACAGGTGACACAATCTCCTCAAAAATGGGTGATAATAATCTTCTGTTTTTGTTGATAATTCATTATAACTGCCATTTTATGCCCATAATGAAATATTTTCACTTTAAAGGCTGTTTCTGGCAGAATTATTGCGTAATGATATTGCAGTGGTGGTCACTGCCCCTTGTGGACCAGAATTCTCAGATTTTGAGTGGTCCAACACCATAATCACTGGGCCTTGCCTCACCTTTTAAATTGTGTTAACATTTAATAAAGGGGCGTCCGTGGCCGAGTGGTTAAGGTCGTTGACTTCAAACCACTTGCCCCTCACCGCTGTGGGTTCGAATCCCCACAGGGACTTTGGATTCTTTCATGTGAAGAAGCTATCCAGTTAGCTTACAGAACGTCGGTGGTTCTACTCAGGTGCCCATTTGTGCCTGAAATAATGCATGGAAGGGCACTTAAGGTCTTCCTCCACCAGTAAAGCTGGAACATCGCCAAATGACCTATACTGTGTCGGTGTGGGGTAAAACCCAAACAAACAAACAAACATTCAACAAACAGCTGTTTTGTTTAAATTGTTGGAATAAAGATGAAAAAGGCTTTTAAATGTTGTGTTTTAAAATATGTTAAAATGCACTAACTGATTTTAGGGCCTTTTAACTGTTTAAAACAAGTGTTTCTGGATGGAAATGTTGACACGGTCATGGTGGAAGCCTATCTGGTTATCATATACTTATCCTGCAAGTATTGTAACTGGTAAGATACTTATTTTTTTGGACATCCCATTTTTCATTGTCAAGTTGAGCTGATTTGACTATATATTTGAAAAGTTTGACTGTAATTCTGGTGCTTGACCAGCAATTGATATTGTAAAATGTCTAGGATATAATTTTCAATATGCCTAAAATATAATAATGCCCTTTTTTATATAAATTGAACATGACAGGGAAATTTCCATAGATATTTACAGAAATTTCCTTTGTCCATGTGAGTTATTTATCATTCATGCGAAGTAAATTATAAAATTAAAAGGAATTATGGCAAATTGTTAACTTATTTTAACTTTCACCTGTTCACTCGTATACCCTTGGATGTGCATAATGTCACTTTGGTCTGAATTAATATAAGTTTTGTCTTGCAAAGATTTTGCTCTACATTTTGTAATTAATGGGTTGGTTCAATTTACAGCAGGAAATAAAACACAATATTTTCATTTATTACTATTAATGTTTGCTTACAGTGAGGGAAGACCTGTGTATGGTGAAATCATATGTAGTATTTTAAATGGTCACATGCCACTAGAACAGATGTCATCTCTAGGAAGGAAGCTGTACATTTACTTGCTTTCTGTAAGTTTGTAATAATAGTTATAGTTATATCTTGCCATGGATTTATCACCTTATGTAACAGAGCCAAAATTATGGCCTTCAAGGTAGGCACATACCTTTTAATGATAAGGTTACATATTAAGAGAAGATTTGTGACTTGTGAGATTATTTCACTGGTTTGGATTTTAAAAAAAGCATTTAAAGATATAGGTGAAAGCAAATTGTGTATGATTGTAGTACAGAGTTTATCTATGAAGTTTATATGTTGTTTTATTTCTTTCAGTATGTCAGTACATATGAAGGGGTTTGTGTGCGTGAAACTATTCAGGATGGTAATCACTTTTATGTACTGTTCTATAGTAGTCGGGTGCCTGTCTCCACAATTTTTAAAGTAATTGCCTTATATCATGTGACTGTCACACTATGGTTTAACATTCTGGTAGTGTTATATCTAATTTCTTTGTGAAAGCTTCCTTAGTGAAGCATTATAACATTAATTGTTCCCCAAAACTGTGCACATTTTGCCTGAAATATTATACTTGCCTCCACCAACAAGTAGATAAATTAAAGTTACATATAATATGACCTTTGTATAAAGTCATTGACTGATACATTGATGATTTAAAGATACATAACAATATTCACATCAATGATTACTGAAGGCAATTCCAAAACAAAATTTCAAGCAGCACATTTTGGTAAATACATGTATTATAACAGGTTTAGAATGTCTACCATCAGTGATGGAAAGACCAGCCAGTGAATGGTATACACATGATATCTGCATGCTGATTTGGGTGTTTGATGATCCTGTACTAGCTATAACATCAGCAAAATCTGTTGTAAGTTACTAAAATAAAAAAAGTATAAATTCAATGCCAAGAATAATTATCTCTCTGTATGGGTGTTTGAAAATTAAAAAGAAACTAAAATGGAGTTATGCCACACTTTAACAGACCCGTGCTGCTTTTTGAATTATTGAAAAATAAATAAAACCTTGACTGTATATGAAAATAATTTAAGGCCATACACTTTACAAGATTGAACTTCATATATTAACTAAGGACAGTTGTTTTGTGTTCTTGCTATTGAAGGTGATGTGTCTTGTAACAAGCTGATGATACATTAATTAAATGTCTTGGATTTAAAATTGTTCTCCTTTTTTTAAAAAGACAAATGCAACAGTATGTATGTTGTTTTTTTCTATTGATATTTGAGTAAAGTCAAGTAATTAAACCATTATAAACCTTTAAATACCATCCAAAGAAGATATAAAAAAACACTTGAAAAAAAAACTGAAACTGAAAAAAAACTAAATGTTTTTCATAAAATCTTGTACATTGTCCTTGATGTAAAAGAAAAACAATATTTTTTCCAACGAAGACTTTTATATGTAATATTATTATCCCATTAAAATTGTGTAAAATGTTGTTGTTTCAGATAGATGCCTTCTTGGAAAACACCAGTATAAAAGAGATACAGCATATACTAGAAACAGAGGGTTGTCTGGAAAATGATACTCTATTACGATTTTGTAGTAATAAAAATTCCCTGTCATCTCTTGTGGTAAGTTTAAATGCTAACAGTTTGTCTCAAATGTTAAATCAGCATCAACCATTTTACAATTTTATGGTAATGTAAAATAAATATGAGCCGTGCCATGACAAAACCAACATAGTGGGTTTGCGACCAGCATGGATCCAGACCAGCCTGCGCATCTGAGCAGTCTGATTTGGATCCATGATGTTCGCTATCAGTTTCTCTACTTGTATTAGTGTTTGTAAGCGAACAACATGGATCCTGATCAGACTGCGCGGATGCGCAGGCTGGTCTGGATCCATGCTGGTCGCAAACGCATTACGTTGGTTTTGTCATGACGCGGCTCATATATAATAATCTTGTGTATATGTTTTCTCAGACTGCATATTTCTTGGTTGCTTGGACAACCAAATGTCTGATAAGGAAAAGAGCATTTAGAAATTTGTAATGATGACTTAAGAAATATGTATACTAGTATTTTTAAAAGCTGTCCCTAGAATGGGTGACACTACATGGACATTTCGTCACCTTAGTGCAGTAACAGGTTAACTTTTATTAAATTGTATAAGGATTAAACCCTTTACTGTACTAAGGTGACAATTTGTGTTTTTTTCCAGACCAGTCTGACTAACAAGAGTGCAGAGATTGTGTCAAAGATTTTTCTGCTACTTGAAGAATTCATTTCTAGGTCAGCTGACAGTAGTTTTACTGGTGTTGAATGCAAGGTAAGTATCCTAGAATATGCCAAGTTAAATCTTTAAGCTTAGGTAAAATCTATGAAGATTCAATGCCTATATCTCAAAATATAAACTTAAAGTACAAGTCAGTAATTAAGTAAGTAAATATTTTATTATGGAAACATGTGTATGACAATTTACATATAATGGGAATAATAAATTTAACATTAGTGCTAATTTTGTTTGGAATCAAGTATTTTTTATAATTGTGCAATGTATTTGATGTTATTCGTTATTCTTAAAAACTTATGAGCTGCGTCATGACAAAACCAACATAATGCATTTGCGACCAGCATGGATCCAGACCAGCCTGCGCATCCGTGCAGTCTGATCAGGATCCATGCTGTTCACTTACAACTTACACCAGCATGGATCCTGATCAGACTGCACGGATGGGCAGGCTGGTCTGGATCCATGCTGGTCGCAAACGCATTATGTTGGTTTTGTCATGACTCGGCTCATTTATGGATCATCTCCTATAAAAAAATTCAGCAGGGCAGTTGGTCAACAATTTATGTTTCATTTGTATTTCAATAAAATAATTTCTCATTTAACAGAGAGGTGAGGATGCAGAAGTACAAGAATGTATGTCAAAACAGTTAAACTTCTTATTTGAGAAAACAACAGATGTTCTACTAAATGTGTTCTTGAAAAACTATTCTAATGCACAAGGTAAGGGCTAGAAAGAAATTGAAAAAAATCTTTATATTTAATATAGTGTCTGATTTCTTGGTAGGACATGCTCCTTAACATTGAAAGATATTGTGTTCTTTAGTCAAAGATACTGCCTATCTTTTTGATGAAGCATTAATTGGTGTATAATAATTTTTAAATGATGCTGAAAGTGCTGAGTGCTGAAACAGATTTTATTGACTATCAAACAATTAATGTGTTTTTTTGTTGTTGTTTTTTCAGATCACAATATCTGTGGGTTACTTGAGTTGATGTTAGTGTTAATCAAGTACACAAAATCAGCTTACACCATTAGTGTGAAAATCCTGTATCATGGTAAGGAATTCTCATGATGTTGTTGTTGGCTTGTTCAAGTATTTTAGTATATTTAATAAACCTTGATGCATTTGTGTAATAACTTGTTAATGTATAATAACTTGTTAACTATAATAACTAAGAGCTAATATGTTATTTCGTTACTGTTGTAGTATTGAACGTGTTGTCAAGGAAAGAAAAGCAGAGTCAAGGTCTAGAGAAAGCATGTTTGCTGTCAGTACTGGCTGCAGTTACCTCAAAAAGTGAATCTCAAAGTCAGTCATCAGGTATGTTGGCATTATTTCCCATAGGGATTTTAAATTCTATAATGCTCCTGATTCTTGTTTATTATCTTCAAACAATTGGCTTATATCTTCAGTAAATTCATATTGAATGGAGTTGTTTCATACTGTGCCTTAATTCACTGAATTAAAAAGATTATTTAGATAGAAAGAAAGATCATATTTGTAAAAAAATTAACTGTATGTAAAGATATTATTAATCTATGATGCTTATTATACCCCCAAAAACGAAGTTTGGGGGGGTATATAGGAGTCACCCGGTGGTCGGTTGGTCGGTCGGGCGGTCGGTCGGTCGGTCGGTCGGTCCAGACGTCCGTTGCATTTTCCTTGTCCGGACCATAACTTGAAGACTAATGGTTGGAATTCAATATAACTACATACAATGGTCAAGCACATTGAGAGGAAGTGCAGTGCACAAGAACCATAACTCTAACTTGACTAATTACAGAGTTATTGCCCTTTGTTACTTTTCCTTGTCCGGGGCATAACTTGAAAACTACCGTTGGAATTCAAAACAACTTCATACAATTGTCAAACACAATAAGGGGAAGTGCAGTGCACAAGAACCATAACTCTATCTAAAGTAATTACAGAGTTATTGCCCTTTGTTACTTTTTCCATTGCTTTCTTTTGTCCGGACCATAACTTGAAGACTAATGGTTGGAATTCAATATAACTACATACAATGGTCAAGCACATTGAGAGGAAGTGCAGTGCACAAGAACCATAACTCTATCTTGACTAATTACAGAGTTACTGCCCTTTGTTACTTTTCCTTGTCCGGGGCATAACTTGAACACTACTGGTTGGAATTCAAAACAACTTCATACAATTGTCAAACACAATAAGGGGAAGTGCAGTGCACAAGAATCATAACTCAATCTAAAGTAATTACAGAGTTATTGCCCTTTGTTACTTTTCCATTGCTTTCTTTTGCCGGACCATAACTTGAAGACAATGGTTGGAATTCAATATAACTACATACAATGGTCAAGCACATTGAGAGGAAGTGCAGTGCACAAGAACCATAACTCTATCTTGACTAATTACAGAGTTATTGCCCTTTGTTACTTTTCCTTGTCCGGGGGATAACTTGAAAATTACTGGTTGGAATTCAAAACAACTTCGTACAATTGTCAAACACAATAAGGGAAGTGCAGTGCATAAGAACCATAATTCTATCTAAAGTAATTACAGAGTTATTGCCCTTTGTTACTTTTCCATTGCTTTCTTTTGTCTGAGTATAACTTGAAGACTAATTGTTGGAATTCATTATAACTTCATACAATGGTCAAGCACATTGAGAGGAAGTGCAGTGCACAAGAACCATAACTCCATCTTGACTAATTACAGAGTTACTGCCGTTTGTTACTTTTCCATTGCTTTTTTTGTCCGGAGCATAACTTGAAGACTAATGGTTGGAATTCAATATAACTTCATACAATGGTCAAGCACATTGAGAGGAAGTGCAGTGCACAAGAACCATAACTCCGTCTTGACAAATTACAGAGTTATTGCCCTTTGTTACTTTTCCTTGTCCAGAGCATAACTTGAAAACTACTGTTTTGAATTCAATACAACTTCATACAGTTGTCAAGGACATTAAAAGGAAGTGCAGTGCATAAGAGCCATAGCTCCATTTTGACAAAATACAGAGTTACTGCCTTTTGATACTTTTCCTTGTCTGGAGCATAACTTAAAACGTACTGGTTGAAATTCAAAACAACTTCATACAATGGTCAAGCACAAAAAGAGGAAGTGCAGTGCACAAGAACTATAACTCCATCTTCAGTATTTATAGAGTTATTGCCCTTTGTTCCTTTTCTTTGTCTTTCTGGACTTATTACAGAGTAATTCAATAAAACTTCATTAATGGCCAACCACATTGAAAGGAAATGCAATATACAAAAACCACAACTATCTTTAATTGCCCACAACCATAACTCTATATTTCAATTCTTTTACAAGATATTCTGTTACTAGTAACATCCTCATTTCCGAAGCAGTCTTGTGGGGGTATTAATCACATTTAGTGATAGTTCTAGTTTAAATTATTTCTGAGATTTAGGGAAGCTACAATAGGTATACAAAGCAAGATTAATAACACTTGCAATTAAATTATTTGCAGCATCAGTATTACTTTATGTTATCATACATTAAAGCCATGTTACTTAACTGTGGTATCCATATTTTCTCTTAATGTCATCCCTATATGTTAAGACTAATTTTCATTACAGTTTGTGCAATTGTTGTCCAACATGAAGGATTTATGAGTTATCTTCAGACATGTTTTGACAATTCTGACACTGATATTATCTACTGTATATCTTGTGATTTACTTATGGCCATCATTCAGGAGAAAAAATTGAAGGTAATTGAAAAAGCAATATGAGCCGCGTCACGACAAAACCAACGTAATGGGTTTGCGACCAGCATGGATCCAGACCGGCTGCGCATCCGCACAGTCTGATCAGGATCCATGCTGTTCGCTTACCAACCCTATTACAAGTAGAGAAACTGATAGCGAACAGCATGGATCCTGATCAGACTGCGTGGATGCGCTTGCTGGTTTGGATCCATGCTGGTTGCAAACGCACTATGTTGGTTTTGTCGTGATGTGGCTCAATTAGTTTTTACATGTAAACTCTTTCCATACTTCATTTTCCTGGAATAGGAAGACTGAAAATACCCATCCTTTCATTAATCTCAATACATAAGGTTGCACTTTTGACAAACAGCCCACCTTGACAAGAATTATATGTTCCAAGCAGGATTGGAAGGAACATTACTGAGGTTGGGGTTTGAGATTCACTGTCATATACTGTTTCCAGTAGGCTAGAAGCCAGATAAACACCTTGAAACATTACCAGGCTTTTTGTGAATAAAAATCTTAGTCATGTTTCATATTTATACAAATATTAGTTTAGATTTTTGCATGTTTACAGTGTGACAATACTGTCCAGGTAGATATAGTGAGAGTAGTGAACTCTGTATGTATGGACTCAGGTGATTACCAGGTTGCCAGTATGAATCTGTTATCAGCATTGTTTAGTGTGAACATGACAAGTTCCATTGTGAAGGTGGCTGGCAGAATTTATCCAGCAATGTACAGGACCTTGTATATACAGCTGCAGCAATCTTGTCTTCAGGTATCAGATATTTAACTTATAATATTATCTTTATTATTGATACAGAGTGATTTAACTACTTAAAACTGCATGAGTATGAAATAATTTCATTTTGTTTGGTTTTTAGTAGGACATTCGAGTATTTAACCTGTATACATACATATTTATTCTTCAATGTGAAACAAATACAGTCAGGACTCAATACATCGGAATCCATTATACTGACAAATTCAAATAACGACAGTGAATTGGTGGGAACCAAATTTTTTCAACGTCATTATAATCCTTTATAACGGAAAATTCGTATTCCGACTCCGACACAATAAAATTGGAAACCAAACGTGTTGTTTTCTGTACAATTAGTACCCGTTTTACTGACACTTGGTCAGTCAAGCGCGCGTATCATTGAGCCGCGAACAAAAGCCTCAAGGTGTTAAAACAAGTATTGTAGCTTGGTAGATTGTTACACCTTATTATAATACCAACGTGTTGTTGTCAGCTGAATTTTGTTACACTTCCTAACTTGTGATATGTTATTATAATAATGGCAGAACCTCCAGTTAAACATCAACGGACTAATTTAACTTTTGAACAAAAACAAAAACGCGTTTAGTTTAGTTTAGTTATTTAAATAAAGTTGTTGTATTATGACTGTATGATATGTAATCTGTATAGTAAAGTGAACACATAAACAAACAAAAAATCATTATAGACCTAAATACATATTGTTCAGATACCAGCGAATAAGCATATCATTACATGATGAATGATGAAATTCACTATACTGACAAATTCGATATACTGACATATCCTTTGGGAACCAACAGTGTCGTTGTAATGAGTCCTGACTGTATAAGCAACTTAATTTCATCATGCATGAATGTACTTCCGTGGGCAGAAACTTGATAATACATTTGTAAACCAGATAGGGATTGAATTGGAGATACATACAAAACTGCTTCATAGAATAAAATAGTTCATTTTTATTTTCTAATTTGAATCAGTCTTTGCATAGTAATAAAACCAATGTTTGTTTGCAAACATTATCAGATGTATCAATAATTACAAGATACATAGGAATTTTTATTCATCTAAAACTTTATCCATTCTAGTATAAAATATGTTTCAGGAGGAAAGTGACACTGCTTATGGTGCGGGACTGTGCATGAGAAATCTTATTCTGCATTTATTACAATCAGACAGAGATCTTGGTAAGATATTCCATGTTTACTAGCTTTGGTTGAAACATATTTGAGCCGCGTCATGACAAAACCAACATAATGGGTTTGCGACCAGCATGGATCCAGACCAGCCTGCGCATCAGCGCAGTCTGATCAGGATCCATGCTGTTCCGTTCCCAACCCTTTTACAAGTAGTGAAAATAATAGTAAACAGGATGGATCCTGATCAGACTGCGCAGGCTGGTCTGGATCCATGCTGATCGCAAACCCATTATGTTGGTTTTGTCATGATGCGGCTCATTTATTTAAGCTTGATAGCGAAACAAGTTCTTGCAATTTATATTAATCACATTCAAATCTGCTTCCTGGAACATCATATAAAGAAACATGATCAAGACCTGATTAGGGCTCAAACCCATGATCTCTGGGTTGAGAGGCAGACACCTTATAACCACTAGGTCACCACTCCCCTTAACTAGCTTAAAGGAGACACAAACTCTGCTTATATTATTTGGCAACTTCTCAACTGCACTTACTGAGGAATATGGTAAAGTCACAACTTGATTTTAGTGTTTTTACAAAAGATAAGAAGTCCCTCAGCAGCATACTAGCTGTTCATATTTCTATAGGGTTTTTATATGCTAAATGTATTCTTGATACTACTAGAGCTTACATAAACAAGAGCTGTCACAGGGACAGCGAAGCTCGACTAATAAAATACTGGACGCAGTAAGGAGGACAAAACTATGAAAGAAATATCAATTATGTATAATTATGTATTAAGTTATAGTAAAAAAATGATATTTGTTAACATAAATTCCAAGATCAAGGGGAATAATTCTAGAAATAGTCATGCTAGAGTTATGGACCTTGTCACACAACATTTGTGTAATGATAAGAAATATATATTTGAAGTTTGAAGTAGATACCTTAAAAAGTAAAGAAGTTATTATATTTCTTAAAGAAAATCCTAAGTTCAAAGAGAGATAAATGTGTAAATATTGGTTCATGATTTATGAACATTGTCACATAAAATGTAATTGATGATAAGGAATAAGTATTTGAAGTTTGAGGTAGATACCTTTAAAAATAAAAAAGTTATAGTAAAAAATAACAATTTTCTAGTAAAAAAATCTAAGTTTATGGGGAGATAATTCTTGCAATATTGGTGCTAGAGTTATGAACCTTGTCACATAAGATGTGGATGATGATAACGTAAATATATTTGAAGTATGAAGTTGATCCCTTTAGAAATAAATAAGTAACAGTAAAAAATAATATTTTTTATGGAAAATTCTAAGTTCAAAGGGAGATAAATCTGAAAATATTGGTGCTAGAGTTATGAACCTTGTCACATAAGATGGGGATGATGATAACGTAAATATATTTGAAGTATGAGGTTGATCCCTTAAGAAATAAAGAAGAAACAGTAAGAAATAGTACTTTTTGAGGAAAATTCTAAGTTCAAGGGGAGATAAATCTGAAAATATTGGTGCTAGAGTTATGAACCTTGTCACATAAGATGGGGATGATGATAAGGTACATATATTTGAAGTATGAGGTTCATCCCTTAAGAAATAAAGAAGTAACAGTAAAAAATAGTATTTTTTAAGGAAAATTCTAAGTTCAAGGGGATATAAATCTGAAAATATTGGTGCTAGAGTTATGAACCTTGTCACATAAGATGTGGTTGATGATAAGGAACATATATTTGAAGTTTGAAGTTGATACCTTAAGAAATGACAAAGTTATAGTGAAAAATATTTTACTGCACCAAAACTTTAATCTAAAATCTGGACGCCGACGCCGGGGCGAGTAGGACAGCTCTCCATATACTTCGTATAATCGAGCTAAAAATGACTTCATGTCCTAGAATAACTTTAATAAAGATTTTTTCATTTTCATACATTTGAGTGGTATTGAAAAGCAGTTGTTTGTATGTATCATGTTATTTTTAGGCGAGGAACTTCTTGAACAGCCTTGGAATATAATATTATTAGAGGTGTTACTAGACCTTTCCTCTACTGGACATGTGATGGAGCATCAGTTATGCTTACTGTCTTTAGTAAATATTTTTATGATGAATTATTTTCATTTTGTACACTTGCACAGAGGAAATAAAAATTACACAATGGTTGATAGTTTAGTTAAAGAGAGGTGATTCTAAGCATTCTGAATACAATTTAAAAACAATTTCTTTAATGTTATGTCTAGAATATTAGAATATGCTTCATTTTGTTTTTTTTGAAACTCACTATAACCTATATTTTGCTTTATTTCAATTTTGTCACTTTAACTGATTCGTAAATTAATATAAATATAATAATATAATTCCTTGCCCAAAAGACAAGAAAACTTTTTGAGAAAATTAACTATAACATACAATGCTAAATTTATTTTATGGCTTTATCATGTTCTAAATTCAAAACTGCCTAGGACTGTTGCAATATTTTAATTATGAAATACTTAAATTCAGAATCTTAACAGTTTAGAGGCTGGTCACACTGAAACTCGTAAGCACAGGCTGACCTGGCTCGATGTACTGGTAGGAAGTCAGTGTCATTGTTTGCATTTAAAGTGTACATAGTTTCCATGATTTGAAATGAATTTATTGTGATTCCATGTTGCAGTTTACAGAGTTTAAGACAGGTTGTAGTGTGATAAAGTCCACACCAAATCTTGTAGACAAAATAATGAAGTTTGTTCAGACTATCAGCAAAAATACAGAGGAGCATTTTGGTGTACATTTGAATAATCTGTTAAAGGTATTCTTTTATACAAGATTAAATTGAGCTTTATATTTTAAGTGTAAGACTGTTAGTTGTGAGGTGGATCTAAAACTTATTCATTTACTTCAAAAAAGATGTTGTTGATGATTTATTATATAATTATTATATGATAGAATTATAATCAACAACCCAATTTTTGAGAGTTTTGTTTCAAAGATGATTTTGATCACTGGATAGTACAGCCAAATAGTTTGAAGTTTAATATATAATTATTAATATTGATTTTAACATCTCTTTTTCAGCACTTAAAGACCAACTTTGAAGATGTACTTTCTGATGAGAACATTAAATGGTTAAAGGAAAAGAGAAATGTTATATCAGTGGACGCTTTATAAAAGCATGAGTGATATTGGCTGTGTTTGAATTTTAGAGAAATAAAAAGTGTAAGGACAGGATTTTTGCGAAACTTAAATCAGTCAAAGTGTAAAGACATGATAAGACATGAACTAGATATCAGTAAAAGTTTTAAAATAATCTATCTGAGGTACTCTATATATACCAGTAAAATCATGATATGAGTTCTGTGAAAAGATACACCAGATTATGTCTGTGGAGTGTGTTTTATCAGAAAAAAGATGTTGTGAAAACAAAATTGTTGTGTACTTATTGGTCAGTCAGTAATAGTGTTTAAACGTGATTTTTGCAGAACTATATTGATCAGGAAAAGATACAGGAATGAATTTATGTGATAATGACAACAGAAACTAATACTAAACTTTACAGTTTCTTTATTTTATATAAATTGTGCATAACAATAGGATTGTAAAACGCTAGTTAATACTGGTATGGTAATTAAATAAGGAAATTAAATAAGGTAATAAAGGCATCTAAAACACAGTTATACAAGAGTATTTATCACATTAAGCACATTTTTCACAGTATTTGATTCTACAGTAGCATACCAACAATAAAATAAACTGTCCACAAACCATGCAAACTTAAAGTTCAAATATTGTATTTGAATATCACATAAGTTACTAGTCCAAGTGGGAATACAATAACTTTCAGACAGTTCTTGAAGAGAAAATAAATGATTGGAAATGTTGAATTTACTATTGGTTTTACATAGTTTAAGCTATCAGAACTGTATTTATATTATTAATTGTATACAACTTGAGCTCATGAGCTGTTCTAATAAGTTCACAGTGAAGATTGTGAATTCAAATAAACTATTCTACAGTGCCAATAGTAGGAATCTAAGTTCAAGAAATGTTTCTATAGTGTGAACACTTAAGTCTAAAAGTTCATGAACTATATATATGGTACAACTTGTCAGAATAAATGTTTAGTTTCTATGTAATATCTACCACCAAAATCTAAATTCAGTTATTGGTTTTACAGAATGCACAGTCAAAATCTTAGTTCTTTAACTGTTTTAAGCTAGTACAGTCAAATCAAAGTACAATAATTGAATCTAAATACATCTACATTGTTCATAGAAAAAGATTTGAACTTGAAATGGAATTAAAGCTCAAGCACTATTCAGTATAATCAAAGTCTCAAAGTTTGTATCACCCTAAATTAGCAAAATTTATATTTCCTGATTTGGCGCCATATGACATGCACTGTGTTGGTGGCCATAAAACCGACCAAACCAAAGTCTTTTACATTTAGTTAACAAGTATGTATGACTAGCAAATATTAACTACACACAGGTACAGGTTATAGGTATGGAATAAAAGCAGTTTAAATACATTAAATACACTAAACAACATAGATTGATGCATAGTTTTAAAATAATACTGTTATAACATACATTGTACTGTTGCATTTGAAATGCCGTATGAATTAGCACTGTATAAAGTATATGTTTACATCAATATCAATACAAAGCACATAATATAGTTGATCTTTGATCTTACTACACACCAAATATAGTAATTCTAACAAGAAAACAAAACATAAGGAGGAATTAAACCAAAGCTATTAAAATATACAGAAAAGCTTCATAAAAACAGTGATAACAATTGCTGAGCAATACATATTTCATTCTCTATGTCACTTGTGGGGAAAAAGCCAGATAATAAAGCAAAAACACATTATTTTTATTTTGAAAACTTTGGTGCAAAACTGGAAGGCAGTGTTTCACTAAAAAGAACTATTCAAATGTTAAATGTAGGTCATGTTCCTACAAAAAGATGTTTCATTGATAAAAGAGCTGAACAAATTCTGATCATGATTTTTTTGAGAATTTATTTCTCTTGTAATATAATCTATAGAAATCATTTTTTGGATATTTTTTCTAATCTATATTAATTAATATTTATTAGTAGATTTATTGCACTATCCCAAGATATAAATGCAACAAGTTCTGAGACAGCAGCTGTTGTTTTCTACCTGAAATGTACAATAATGAATATGAGCCGCGTCACAACAAAAGCAACATAGTGCGTTTGCGACCAGCATGGATACAGACCAGCCTGCGCATCCGCGCAGTCTGATCAGGATCCATGCTGTCCGCTATCAGTTTCTTTACTTGTAATAGAGTTGGTAAGCGAACAGCATGGATCCTGATCAGACTGCGCGGATGCGCAGGCTGGTCTGGATCCATGCTGGTCGCAAACGCACTATGTTGCTTTTGTCGTGATGCGGCTCATATTATTATACATAATGTACCAATTCACATTTGAATGACACATTTGTATTATTCCAAGTTATTTTGACTAGTCAATATTATTATGAGTTATTGATATTTTATAAGAGTTACTTCAATTTTCAAATGTTTTACTTTCAAATATATATGATGGTGTATTATAAACCTGTTCAAAGAGACATTTGTCTTGTTTTTTCATTCTTGCATTAACAAATAAAAAGCGGATTACCCCATAAATTTGTCGCTTTAAGAGCATGTGGTATTCGATTATAGGTAAAGGTCTTTTCTTTGTAGATTTTCATCCGTTGTCACAAAATCTATTACAGCTTTCTTCAGCAAAGTCAAATCTATAAACCTTGCTTTGTTTATACATATATATCTGATTCAAATTCATATCTAGCAGAAAATGTTACAATAATCAACCTCACAATTATTATTTGTTTCAACTTATTTTCCATTAAGTAGCAATGTATTCACTGTCTCAATATATCAGACAGTACTGATGTTCTTTAATGATGTTTAAAGTTATAAACCTTGCTACGTTCGTTCATTTAGTTTTGAAAGACGGGTTTTGTTTCGGCGACCATTCGATCAAGGAAATAAACAAATCGCTTTATACTTACAGAGTGCAGTGTGTTTTACAGACATGATATTAATACTGTATATAATTTTAGAACAAATATCTGTTAAGGTTAGAAAACTATATTTGCACATTTACCTATTTGAGTTTCTATTTATTTAGATAATGTTCAGTTCTCTGTCCGGGCTTCGCACTTGATGTTTCAGTTGATGTACTCTCACGTTCCACTGTAGGGAAGAAATAACAGATATGAGCCGCGTCATGACAAAACCAACATAATGGGTTTGCGACCAGCATGGATCCAGACCAGCCTGCGCATCCGCGCAGTCTGATCAGGATCCATGCTGTTCGCTTAAAAACCCTATAACAAGTAGAGAAACTGATAGCAAACAGCATGGATTCTGTTCAGACTGCGCGGATGCGCAGGCTGGTCTGGATCCATGCTGGTCGCAAACGCCCTATGTTGGTTTTGTCATGACGCGGCTCATATGTTCATTTCTAAATGCACATTTGTACGTGAATAGTATAGTTCAGTTGAAACATTACAGAAATATTATTTTTCTGTAAGAAACCTTGCTTATGGTCTCGTGAAGTGTTGTATTTATTTTGACTATTCACCCATAAGGTAATCATATGATGCCAGTAACGTATGATGCCAGTAACGACATTCCAGGAGTCTTATGATGTAATACTAGTATAAATTTTATTTTCTGTTGGGAAGTATTAGTATTTCTTGTATAACAAAGTATGTAATATGTTTATAATAAATTGAATCTTATTTTCAAATAAAATAAAGAAGTATTTACATCTAGATCCTCTTGACGCTGGCATAGCACTTCTACTACGACCATCTTGAGGGCCTGGATACCTGTAACAGTAATATATACATTTAACTATAGAAAATTGTGCTGGTGATAAAGATACGACTGTTGTTTTTTGGTTAGTTTTTTCTATAAATTCTGACTTACAGTAATGGTTTACAGCAGGAGATGTTTAAGTTGTGATCGTTAAGTTGTAAGCGGTGACACAGTGTTGATCAGTATGGTAATGTACTTAAAGATGTTACAATTCTATATGATTATATGTACTTTTTTCATCAAATGCATGTACTATATAATCCTGTTAATGTAAATTGTTTATATTACTATACAAAAAGGACCTGATCAGACACTCTTGATGTTGTATAACCCATACTCTATTGCAAGTTTTTTTACATATGCATTTTTATAATGCAAGTTATTGTACAGTTATAATTATCACACATTTGCGATGTGCTCGATGTTTAAACTTACCAGGCGTTCTGAAATCTGTGGCCGTGTCTGTCCTCTACTTGTTGACGAAATTGTCCCAGCTGTAAAACAAACGTGTCAGTTGAAAAACCACTTCTAAACCCTGACTGAAACTGCCTGATCATGACTCGAACCCATGACTTTCAGAAGACCAACTGAGCTATCCGGCCGGCTACACATTTTCTCTTTAATAATGAAACAGTTCTAAACCTAAACCTTTTTCCCCACTATATTGATTCATGTACTTGAATTTCTGATGTTTACAGAGCATAGTGAATTAAACTCATGGTTATTTGCAGTAACAGGATGAGAAAAACTTTCAGCTTGACCAGAACTCAAACCTGTGACCCACAGAATAATGTACCGCGGCTGTAGCGATTGAGCTATCTGGTCGCTTACACATTTTCTCCCCTAAATAGTGAACAGTTCTAAACCGTGACAGATATTTAGATTTTTAAATTAACAGATAATTAATTCTTAATTAATAAATAAGAAAAAAAAACCTTACATACTCATAGTCTTAATTAAAATAACAATTTATATAATTATTATTGTATAATTATTTTTACTAAAAAGGGCTAAGACAGTTATTGGTTGTGCCATTATTTATAACAGGTCAATTTGAAAGAGAATATAACTGTGCTATTAAATACATGTACAAAATCTTTGATAAGAAATTTTATGAAGGCTGATTTGTATTTTACATCAAGGGCACCGGGCAAAAACATGAAAATGCAACAAACGAACCTCTTTGTGGTAGATTGTATTTTCATGTTTTCATCTGGCGCCCGGTTACTTTTTGTACTTTGTTGGTTTTCATGTGGCACAAATCACCCACTATAAAATTTAGTGTACAAATTTATTCAAGGACAAGTATCAATCTACTCTATGAAAAGTCTGTTGTCGGGTTGACTCAGGAGACCTGGAGATTGAGACCGGTGTCCCTCCATTAGAAATAGATAAGGCAGAAGCTGTCCTTTTCAAACTATGCACATGTTAGAAAAAATTAGAATAACTATTCAGAACATGATTTTTTGAGGCTTTATCAATTATATTGCTTGATCCAAGTTTCAGGACATTTTCAATCAATACATGTATTATCATTTATAACTTTAAATGAAAGTCTCATCTCTTTAATAATAATGACATAACTGCAACTCTTTAAATTCAGAAATATTATAAGTCTCATCATACCAATATACTAAGATATAAATGTATGCACATAACATTAATAATTCCAAGTTTCTATTAAATAAATATGAAATATTGGGTATATAAAGCCAGTAAAAGTATATATATATCAATATTCACTCATCAGGGCCTCTATGCTTTTGATGACCTTACAACTGGTAAATTTTATAAAACAAAAATTGTAATCAATACCTAAGATAGACAGAAAAGAACAAATAATTTAGTAAACATGAGTTACTTCCCCTTGAAATAAAGAAAACATGAAAACCCAAAAGAACACCCTAAACATCAAAATTAATAAATGTTGCAGGCTCATTTTAATTATGCCATGCAAATTAATGGTAAAGTATTCATAAAAAAGTAGATGGCCATGTGACAGCAGTAATTGCAGAAAATCGGATAGCTGTCAACATCCGGATACTGGTACACTTTGTAAAAACAACCATTCTGTTCAACAGATAAACGTAATATGGATAAAATCAATAGGATAATCGTTTACAACAGTCCATTACCTATCCTAATACTCATTTGCAGGTGAACTTTCTTCTTGTAGGAAAGTTTTGAAAATATATAAATGAATGAGCATCAATGTAGACCACAACGATATTCGAAATCCGGGTTTTAGTATTGTCAATAAAACAAAGGGACAAGCTGTTAATCTGAGCCTGCAATTTCGTGAAAATAATATCACAATGCACATGCTTTTTATATAAAGTTATTAAATACAAATATAACAAAATATTTGTTTACTTGATTTTTACGAATCAAAATAAATATAATTAACACAACATGAAATTAACTGCTAATAATAACAGCTCCTTCCATAGGCCAAAATAAAAAGTATTCCATAAAAGACGACGCCGCTCACCGGCGTCGCCAAAAAAGGCTTTATTTAGATAATTATGTACAATGAAGAGTCAAGCGCCGTAACTCTACGCATGCGCAACGTTCAATACAGCCTTACTGAAGAAATTTTGGCGGCATTATTTGAACATTTAAATATACAGTTATTGTGTCTAATAGTTGTTTGGTCCAATGAAAAGAATTCCATACATGTGTAATAGAAACATATGTGGCTAGTTTATACTGACGGCGCGTTTGTAGACGCACTTTACATTAAATAACAAATACTTTTGTTAGAATTCCATACTACCTATTCAAACAACTTGCAATTTTACAATCCACCTACCGTTTATAAAACAAATTTCAATGCCGTTGTCGCAATTAAATCACGATCTTGATTAAATATCAACGTGAGGCCATTATGTAATACAATGTATTAATAAACTCCTTATGTCAATACAATCTGGCTTAAAAGTCTTTTACACGCAAGAAAACTGTTAACATGTTTACATGCATTAAGAAACTTAAGTTAAATTCCGCCGTATCAAAACTTTTCAAGACTGAAATTCGAATTATGTTTGCTTTGCAATTTCATATACATGTGATATTTTGGTAATGTCATCTATAAAAATTATTCAAATGCAATATTGTATTTATTCAACGATGTCTAATCTGCGATACAAAAAAGATAGGAAAAAAATTCAAAAAATGAAAATATTTTTATTGACACTGGCATGCAGTCAAATTCAAATGCTATCAAGTGATGTGTTGTACATTTTCGCAAAGCAAAAAAGCTGCAATAATTTTGAGAAAGACTTTTTCACCATGATTTGTCTGGCTGTGTTTGCAGGAGTCCAGTCCTGGTTATTTGGTACACACCAGCCAATTTCGCCGACTTTACTGGTTCTCGGGCGGTGAAATGGCGTGCTCGGAGCTGGTCGCCACAAGTAGTCCGTCTCACTAGTTCCTTCCTCTGACATAGTGCCAATACCAACATACCTATGCTCAGGCTCGACCGTGACTCGGTGATCGCAGTTGCCATCTGGACCTGAAATTATACATGGCAGTTTTCAGACATTGAAACATTATACCATTGCACACTTTAAAAATGCTGTATAGTCATCGTCGAGTCCTTTAATATTTTTAAAAATGCCTCTTCACATTTAATGATGCAATATCAGTCGGGACTGCGACTAAGCTGAATTGTGCCTAGCAACAATCGAATGAGAGTTGTAAAAATGTAGCCGAGAGAACACGACAAGAAAAAACACGTCATACCAACATTCTTGCAATTATTTTGTGGCCAGTCATACGAGATGGTCCTCGGCGAAGAGCTGATAAATGAGGAACCAAACCTCGTTGGCGATGAGAATGAAACTGAATGCAGACGGTATATCTGCTTGCTGGTGCTGCTATGGTCGTAGAAGTTACGACCAATGGCGACAGATAAGAGAGTTTCAGATGAATAGAAAATGAGTGTGTGGAAGAAAGGATAGCTCTCGTAGAGAAACAAGTATGTATTTCACGAGAGAGGCTCATTTAACAGAGAACAAACGGGATGTAAAATTCTTCAAGGACTTCGTTAGAACGTCCGATAAAAAAAGTTAAAGATTTGAGTCATAAGCTCATAAGTAAGCAATTAATAACAGACAGTTTTTGATCACTGCACTAGTTTCTGATCATTGACTAGAATTTGCCGACCTCTATCACGAGTGACCATTCAAGTTTCAAACAAAAGATGAGTTGAAGGAGATGGTCCAGATTTTACCTGTGAAATTGAACTCCAATTTTATTGCTTTGGCAGGACGATGGCAAACATGAAATTCAAATGTTGCAACTCTGTCGAAACCTTTCAGTCTGTATAGCAACTACCAATTAACTTCATGGTAACTATCGCGAACCGTTTGAGACGTGCCAAATGATTTTGTAAATATTTTGAGATTTTTTTGTTTTGTTTTGTTTTGGGTTTTACGTCACATCGACACAGTAGAGGTCATATTGCGATGTTCCAGCTTTACTGGTGGAGAAATAATCCAAAGTCCCTGTCGGGATTCGAACCCACAGCGGTGAGGGGCAAGTGGTATATTTTGAGATAGATACTTCTTTAAAAATTCAAGATTTAATGAGACCCATCCGTGCTATTTTGAAATAGTGCCCGAAAATCTTCTTCAAACAGTCGCAGCCCGGTGAGATAAGGGCTTATAAGCCATTTTGAAAACCACTTGTTTTGTTTTGATAAAGAAAACTTTCCAAAATGTTTTGTTCAGTCCGGTATAACAGATAATTTGTAGGGAACGAAAAATAAGGGTAGAAAACTGGTTATAGTCGGTAGTTTTGTCAATTGACAGTAAACCAGCTTATTACATTATTCCTTTTAATATAATTAAGTGACTCTGATTTGTATAAAAAAGCTATGCCCCTTTTCGAAATCTTACCTGAAAATACATCACGGAATGTTTCGTATTCATAACACACTTCCATATTTTGGTATACTTTAACACCTCAAGGAAAAATCACAAATGACGGGGGAAAGAACTTTGAAACAAAAAGCAAGTATCTAAATGACAAGTTTTTGGCAAAATTTGGACAAGTCTTCTTATCATACTTGTTTTCTTATCTTTTTTTAGTTTTATTTTGATTTTTAAGGCATCATATTGTGAGATGAATAAACGAAGATAAAATCACAGACTGAAGTTTGATAAAAAATCAAAAACTAAATACACAGATTCATATCTGCCATTTAAATAGTCTTGTTGATTCACAAAGAAGTTTTATATCGGGTTTAAACCATTTAGGAATTAATCAGCTAGCAAATGGCGTTTGTGCAGACCTGTATTGTACTATATCAGTGTTTTTATCACTTGTTTGAAAGGGGTACTCTACATTTGGAGGGCAATACACTAGATTTGTAATCAATAGAATTACACTTGAATAAAAAGATTATAACGATCGATGGCATATAAAGAATTATCTGCCTTTTAAAGTTCTTATTGATTGTGAATGGATTATATATATTACATTTACGGTGACAGTTTTCTTTTCAGTCAGAATTACCTCACCCATATTACATGTATGAAATGGATTCACACGAAAGTAGCAAGTGTAGTGATAGAAACAACGTTAATCATTTAAAATTAACAGATATGTAACAAATGCCGTCCTGCCTTGAATCAATATGTCTGCTTTTCATTATAAATAAATATTTGAGTAAGTTGATTTATATCTCGATAAAATGGACGACGACTACAACATTGCCGTTCAAGTTTCGTATCCTCGTGAGTTTTGTACATAATGGTTGGCCATAAAATGCAATAACCCAAACTGAGTTTCTTGTGCTTGGTCGTGTCCATAATGCCCCCCCCCCCCCCCCCAAAAAAAAAAAAAAAAACAAAAACAAAACAAAACAACAAATAAAATCACACACACAAAGAAGAAAAAAATTAAACCCGTTTTATCAAAGTAACAAGTGAGTTCGTGGACGTATAAATGGATCTAGATCTAGCTCCTCAATTTATTATGTTGAATGGAAATATCAATAATTCTATATCCATGTAAATCTAGAAATCCACATTAATTTTGTGATTTCTTAAACGTTTTGGCACTGCGTTCAAACAACAAAGCCATTTAAATGTATGAAAATCTCAAATTTTAAGTAATTTCGATAAAAAGTAGCTTACATGAGCTATACGTTTAAATATTTAAATATGAATCATAAACTTTTTAGCCCCAACAGTCTTGTATTGATATACATAAATCAGAAATGTGCCTCGATATTAATTTGGAAAGAATATTCTTTTTTTTTTCAAATTCAAATGACGTCTAGAAAATTACATGTACTGTACTTCAACGATAAATGAAGATCCACTTCAACATTATTTTTATTAGCATGTTTGAATTGAGATATAAATAATGATAGTTTTGCTTGCATTATAGTGTCTCTAGATGTCTCTATCTATTATCTTGCATGTCAAACCCCTCGCGGGGACTGGGATGGGTTTAGAGCAGCTGCCATTTAGCACAACAGACTGCAGCCTAAAATAATGCACAGTGTTTACATTTGTTAAATGTTTTTTTGTTTTGTTTTTTAAATTACAGTATATTCCTGCGCGTTTTAACTCGAACCGTGCATGATTATACAAAAATGTTGATCTACTCAGAATCATATCAATTTTCTGAGTGAACTGTAGAATGATAAAAAAAATAATAATACGTACGGATACTGTATGATAAAAATAAAGTATGCAACCTGTCTTCCAAGCTTAGCAGACATCTGCGGATGTTTCTAAATTCAAAATTTCATCATTTACGTGTTTAAATGTTGAATTCTGCTTAAGCCGGTGCTAGGGGTGTGCAGGGTAATTTGCACTTTCCAGGAGCAGGCTGAATCAAACCGAGCCTGCTACATTTTCAATTTTCTTTACTGGTCGGGGACCATCAACCGGACACTTTTTGAACATTTTTCCATAAAGATTTCATAATTTCAAACCTAGAGACCTGAACATTTGACACAGTACAGCTAGGTTCTTCTCCTAACTAACACACTAGTTTGACTATTTCTCGTCAAGGAGGGTATCAAAATTACCTAAATTGTCTACACTTCAGTACCACGTGTCAAGACAGATATGTACATGGTGATATTTAATTCATTTAAATGCTTGGGTGTTTTAAATTTTTATTTTTAACATGATTAACAATATTTCAGCAGCAAATGCTGACATTTTGGATATTCTATTGTTTACTCTGCAAATGATTAATAGCTGGTATATGAGGTCAGGTATTGCACTCTTAACGCCCAAATTTTCAACATCAACATTCTTGAAGTAGACATTAAAATATTACCGTAGAAATAAATTTAATTACTTAATTAAAGAAGAAACATGCATTTATTGTTGTTAAAAAAGTGACTGATAGATCGACAACCAATGAACAAAGGAAAAAAATAAATTAAGCATTTTTGGGGCCGTCCGGGTTGGAGGTTGTCCGGTTTTGGTGGTCCCAACCAGTAGGGATTCTGTTTTCTCTATTTTAGAAGCTTCGACTATTCCAGTATACAATGTATAGTCTATACAGTACAGTATGTATATATATATATGGATCAATTGGCATTTAAAAAAAACAACATAGTCCTACACATGTAGCCTAGATAGACATTAAATAGAATCTACATAGGTTCTAGCGTTGTTTTTTTCTGTTTTGTTCTAGATCATTTATTATTTAAACAATTTATCATCATTCGTGAATGCACCATGCATCTTTAAATGCAATGCACAGTCGATCGTTGGAGTAGCATATAGATCTATATATTTATTTCATGCTTTCCAGTGTTTTATTACAATATATCAGATGATTATATTCTGATAAACCACTAGTGAAATTTATAAAACATAATTTTCACTGTAGCCGGAGTCGGACTATATCTGAATGCGAATGAAAAGAAAATCATAACCAAATGGTATAACAGGCAGAAATGAATGCCGTCATATGTAAATATGCTTATTTAGGAAAAGAAAGTCAATGTCATCATACATCATATTAAAAATCTAACAAAATTAGAGAAATTAAACAGAACTATATTTCAAAACTTATGATGTGACGTCATGATATAATAACGTCACAAAGGAAAATGCGCGACGTTACGCGGCAAAATCAGTAAAATAATACTTAAAATCACTTAAAAAGCATAAAATAAAAAGAAAATTTATTTGTTTTACATATAAGATTGAAATATAAATTTAAATGCATTTAAATGCAATGCAGTCGATCGTTTGAGTAGCATATATAGATCTACATATATGTCTATTCATTTGTTTTAGATTATAAATCTTAATAAATATCTAGATCTAGCCTGTGTCCTCCCAATTTTAAGAATAACAGATATATTTTTATTATTACAGTACCTGTATACAAAACTCTTCCTTTCCATGGTTCATCAGTCCACAGAATATTTGTTGGGTGGCATGGTTCCTGCGATATTCCGATGTAACCTATTCCTAGTTGAGCATTCGTGTCATAATTAGTTCCCATTGTTTATTTCAATTAACAAAAGTCTCGATATTTCGTGTAATTTAATCTTTAACGCTTCATTGAATGTAGTTTCAGTTTAATTGTCACACCGAGATTATAGTAACGTGACGCCAACTGAGTTGCTAAGCGCTTAATACCCGGCTTACTCAATGCGCTTACCAAATATAAGAAATTAAGCAAGGAACCATACCGGAAGACAAACTGAAAACGAGGTTGTGTTGGGAAGGTAAACAGTTTTTTCATTTCAGTATTTTTATAAGCTATTTTGTGTTTATAAATGAAAACGAACATCAAATTAATGTCATTGCAAATGGAATTATAAGGTGTGTTATTTTTGTATTGTTTTAGCAGACGTAGGTAGATCATATGATAGTTTTGGTGTATTAATCAGTTGTGTATGATGTGGGTGGGGTGATGATTGTTACAATAATGGCCATGACATGGTCTAGCAAGAGCTCTGGTATTGATTTATAATTCATATGATTCGTGAAGGAAGAGTGATGTAGGTGCACAGGTAGGACATCAGCCTCTTTAAGTCTTAATCTGTTAGTACTAATCACATTTTATAAAGAACTCTCTTTCGACAATAATGCATGTGATAAGTCACTTTAAATGGCTTAATAACTGGTTATAACACCCAGATAACCGTCAAATATCAAGACTCCTGCAAGTTCGAGCAACAACTGAGCGATCACTGTTTTCACCTACCCACATTTTGATACTTAGTTTATTGTCTGGCTTAAAAAAATAAAGCCATGTTTCATCCCCTGTTACAATGGTAATATAACGAATCTTTTTCACACCTTTATTAAAACTGTCTATGGAACCTTCTTTCCATTTCATATTTCATTCGTAAATTACATAAATTAATGCTAAAAATTATACTAAAAACAGCTTTTATTGAATAAAAACACATGAAAACGAACATAATTATTTAATTTATTACCAAAATTACAAAACTCATTGTTAACAAAGACAATTAAAGTGACAAAAACTAGTAGACTCACCCTGTTTAAGCTGTGCATGCTGGTGTATTTAAATCTTCTAAATTGGCTCAAATTGTAGAAATATTGTCAGAAAATAACAGGAATATGTCGGCGTCAATAAAATATTTCTACAACAATCCTAAGATGATTGGCTTGTTTAAATTAAAGGTGTGACAAATGTTTGATGTGTTCCTTAATCAATAATTGTTAATTCATTTTCGTAATGAACACATAAATTTATTTGCAATACCCATTTTTAACTCAACTATTCGCAGAATAATCAAGCTAATGCAGTCACCCATTTGTCGACGTCGGCGTCCCTGTGGTTAAGTTTTTGCGTGTAAGCTGGTATCTCCATAACTACTGAAGGGAATGGATTGAAACTTCACACACTTGTTTTCTGTGATTATCCAAGATGATTGGTACAAGTCCCATAACTCTGATTTGCTTTTTTACATAATTATGCCCCTTTTTCGACTTAGAAATTCTTGGTTAAGTTTTTGCGTGTAAGCTGGTATCTCCATAACTACTGAAGGGAATGGATTGAAACTTCACACACTTGTTCTCTGGGATTATCCAAGATGATTGGCACAAGTCCCATAACTCTGATTTGCTTTTTTACATAATTATGCCCCTTTTTCAACTTAGAAATTCTTGGTTAAGTTTTTGCTTGTAAGCTGGTATCTCCATAACTACTGAAGGGAATGGATTGAATCTTCACACTCTTGTTGTCTGTAATTATCTTAGATGATTGGCACAAGTCCAATAACTCTGATTTGCTTTTTTACATAATTATGCTCCTTTTTCGACTTAGAAATTCTTGGTTAAGTTTTTGCGTGTAAGCTGGTATCTCCATAACTACTGAAGGGAATGGATAATAGGATTGAAACTTCACACACTTGTTTTCTGTGATTATCTTAGATGATTGGCACAAGTTCCATAACTCTGATTTTCTTTTTTGCATAATTATGCCCCTTTTTCGACTAGAAATTCTAGGTAAATTTTTGCTTGTAAGCTGGTATCTCCATAACTACTGTAGGGTTTGTACCTTTTCGGACAATTTTATGTATTCATATAGGTAAGCATTATTATACTCAATGAAACACCCTTTTGACAACTTTTCGAATAGTCAAGCGTTACTCTCCTCCGACAGTTCTTGTTAATATTTGACATTATATATATCGATAAAAATATTAATTGTCATATATCATAGTGCATATCCAGTAACGCAGGAATGTGTCGTATAGCAATAGAAGGAAGCTAGTAAAATAAAATTTAGCTTCTTTTAACGAGATAACTGCCGTTGCTTCAGTGCATCATGAAATTCACGAATTCGGCGTTGCCTCGTAAAAATGGCATAAATTACGTCTTATCTGCTAAATTAAGTGTAATATGACAGGAATAGATTGGGAAATGTCTAAGATACACCGAATATAAAAACATAATTAAAAGATTGTATTGTTAACAAAATGCTTCAAATTGAAAATATGCGCTGGGGGCCATAACTTCATATTACTTATATATTAACATTATTATTGTCCTTGTCAAATTATTTTTTTTTTTTTTAAATGTTGATATAATTGAACTAGGACTAGTCAAAATAAGAAAATTATTGTACTGTGGCGAATAGTTATTGTACTGTGGCGAATCGTTATTTGACTGTGGCGAATCGTGATTGTGGCGAATCGTTACTAATTCGTTACAATGTCTCTCAGGCATCTAGGGTCTCAATCTTTGAACCTAGTCAGTAAGACCAAGGCTTTTTCAACCCGGTCCCTTGTCTGGTCAGATGTTAGCAAATGCTGGATCCAAGTGCAAACTTTCCTTAACTTTAACTTTTCTTTCAGGATGGAAAACACATATGACGCACTAAGGCCCTATATATCACTTATCTTCTCCATGGTATATCTTGCATCTTCATCAACTATAGATTTGACGATGCTGATTTCTTTTTCAGAAGAAGTGGAAATCGGCCACCCAGGGTGGGGATCATCCTTAACATTAGTTTTACCATCTTTTAACATTGACACCCACCTGGCAATTGTAGTTTTGTACAATATGGATCGAAGGGCATTTTCTCCATAGACTAATATATAGTTTTTTTTTATTTCTAAAGGGTATTTATGGAATAACCCATGAATTTTGCAATAAACTCTTTGCTCTTCTCTCAAATCACAATGCAACTCAGCCATGTTTACAACCAGTATACAAAACCACATGCATTTAAATGACCTGCTAAAAGTGTATTGCACATGCAAATGGTGCGAAAATAGACTGTTGGTTAAAAAGTCAATCTTTCCAACAGTATTTTATACATGTACTTTCATGTGCAAATCATGCTTAAATTGCATTGTTGCCACTAAAATATGCCCCTCATATCTTTTCCCTTATTTAGGATGAAAATGATTTAAAGACTATGTGTTTATGTGTTGTGTCTCAATTATTTATAAGATTGAGGCGCAGTATTTTTATTGCTGGAATGATTTGTTAGTTTTAAATTTACATAATTTATGTTGTCTTAACTTAAGATGTTTACAATTTTTTCTGACTCTATTTCAGATCTTGAAACTTAGTGAACAAAATTTTTCAAAATGGATACAGCATACCTTAAACAATGCCTTGGTGACTCATTGTCACGGTGCTTAGCAGAGGTGTCAGAGAAGAGACCTAGAGATCCAGTGGAATATATTGCCCAGTGGCTTTACAAACATGTTGAGAACCAAAACTACATTGCTCAGGTAATTTTATACTGTATTTATTTCCTTGGTATTAGTATTTGCATGGGTTTCATTATGTTAGAAAGTTTGGTCAGTAGAAGGTATATAAATACATTCCAGAAAGATGAGTGAAAGAAATAACTGAAATTAGCTGGTTAACCCAAACTGTAACTTATTAGTATGTCCTTATGCCAATTGTGCAAGATTTGTTTTATTCATTTTGTTATAAGATTGAAAATATATTCACTCATTGTGTAATTTGAAAAAATTGAAGTATATTATTTTGTTAATAATATATGCAATGTTGATTCTGCTGTAAAGATTAAATGATATGTATTTGAAATATTAAATCCCATTTCTTTAATGAACAGAAAAAAGAAGAGGCTGCTGAATTGGAAAGACAGAGACAGAACCAAGAGAAAGAGGAACGATTGAGGGAGAAAAGAAGAGAAGAGGTTAGAAAAATTGCTGAGATGGAGGCAGAAAAAAAGAAGGTAGTATCTTATGAGTAATTTCCAAATTGGTGTTGATATACAGGCTCTATTATGAGTTGTCACATCTCATTATAGAAAACAATAGGCAAGCTAGTGTGGCATCAGACTTTTAAACTAAAATAAATGTTGTTGTAAATGAACTTAATTTCTGTCACTGAATTTAATGTGAAATAATTTCAGGGGTGCACCTTCAAAGGTAACGAGAAAAAGCTTGGTTATGATTATCTCCCTTAGGCTAGTACAATGTTAGTGATACAAGTTGCTGAGAATATAGCCTGAATGAGATAAATATGACCTGAGGTGCTATATTCTCCTTTATATCCAGTCAGCAACTTATATAACATATTTATAATAATGCAAATTGTTACTGACAACAAGTTCATTAGAAAACACAGCATTTTTAGACTGTTTTAAAAGAAGCTCCCGAAATGTCAACATAAATAAAACTTACAATGGCTACCCAAACACTGTGCAATAAAAATTGTTTTAAATACAAAGTCATCATTGCTGTGTAATGTTTAACTATTTTTTCAAAGTAATGACATTTGAAGAGAGAAATATGCTATAGTGGTGGTATGGCCCAGTGGTTAAAGTGTGGGACTAGTAATCTAATGATTGCTAGGTGCATGGGTTCAAACCCTGTCGGGGGGCCAGCTGTTGTTTCCTTGAGCAAGAAACTTAACATTCATTGCTCAGTACTGGTTGGTTCCAGTGAAAGTGTGTCTATAAGCTTATAGCTTCTTACACAATCAAACTAAAATAAATTCTGTATAAACCAAATATGCTATAAAGAATAAAATGCAATAATAAATTTTTATGCACACATAGGGTAGCGTCTATGATGTAGAAATACATTATTATTTGTGTGCGCTTTAAGTTTCCTTGGTATCTATGGCATTGTATACATACGGGTTATTGAATGAATGTAGATTTAATACTAAATTTATTGAACAAGTTGAATGAAACCATATTATGCGAGCCTTTGGCAAGCATAATATTGTTTTATTGAACAAGTTTAATAAATTTAGTATTGAATCTACACAAATATAATATTCTATTTATCACATATCCAAAATAAGAATGGTTTACAGTTAAAAATAAGAGTACTTTTTTCATTGAGGGTCTATAGTGTAATGCTTAATTTAGCACACTTTTACACAATGTTTGTATATAACGCAATTGATGTCACCTCAAAGTGTTATTCCACTAAATTAGTGTTTTTTATTAAACGGCTTTATTACACTACTGCGCCAAGGTTTATGCAATAAAATGTGTTAAAATTTATTTGCATTGTTAAAATGATCATTGTAGCTTTTTTGGTGATGATTTTATGTAGTTAGATTAAAGATATTTATCTAAGCTCAGTTTTGAATGAGTGTTTATTAAAATCATCTCCACAAGACAGTACTAATTAGCACTGATGACCAAAATAAGGTAAACATGGTTGAGTGACAGATATATTACAACCCGTGATCCAAATATTTCATTGAAAATGTTGTAATAAATGTACACAGTTCAAGTTGTTATGACATTTCAGCAAGAGGAAGAGCGTGCTAAGAAGGAGACAACATCACCAACTAAACTTCCTGTAGTAATTGAAGCCCAGGAACCATCTGAGGAAGCTAAAGCTGAAGCTAAAGCCGAGAGCCAGGAATCAGCTGAAACAAAGGTAGACAACTTGTAGTAGATTTATTTAAGGCTTTTGTGTAGAATTTATTTCTGAAATAATTGTGATGTTTTATTTTATTTCCCATCTAAGCAAATAAAATTTCTTTGGGAGACATTCAGCTAACTAAAACGATTTCTTTGTTTTGAATTGTATCATTTGCTTGCAACATGACTGAATATAAGTTTGAGAACAAAATATTAATATTTCTCACTAATCGTGTATGAAGATTTGTCTGAACGTTAAAACCATGCCTTTTTTAAACGCCATTAAAGAAATTTCTTAAAGCTTTATAGATGTACAGTATAACATGTATAATATTTTACAGGATTAGTAACAAGTGAGTATTTTGCACAATTTGAATTTTTATATAAAGGTTTATGGAATGTTTTATAATGTTTATTTATATCACACACAAACTTTATTTAGGCAATTTGTGAACATTTTTGAGTCTGAACAGGTCTCTAGGCAGTTTGACTGACCTTAAATCTGTTAGATTCTCAATTTTCACTACATTTTTAATATATTTATCTTGAAATTAAGAATATTAGTAGTCAGTACTATTTTATTTGGCTAATTTTTAGTCATAAGTGATGTCAGAGTGCCGCTGACACACCTGTCATTGGAAATGTTTTAAGTTTTAACATAACTTGTTTATGATATATAAATTTAAAGGTGTTGAAATATATATCACCTGTCTGGTCTAAAAATATGCAAAAAAAATGATTGGCTTCTCTTTGTTAGAATACAGTAATGATGACTATATATTACTCAAATACATGTTGAACATTTCTTTTGATACATTTTTCATATTAAACATGAAATAGAAGTAGAAATATTGTGTAAAACTAAGTCATATGAACATTGTACATATACATGTTCATGAAATAGAACATGCTTGAATGAAAGTTTTGTGTGTTTATTTTGTTATCCAGTTTTAAGTTTTGTTAAGTTAGTTAATGAGAGATAGCATATGGGATTGAACATAATTTTTCGACTTTTTCAAAGTTTCAGCATGCATGCACTATTTACTTATGATATTGCATTTTACGGAATTATTACTCAAACCCGTATCTACAAATATATTTAATCACTATAGACTACTGTATATAGATCTAATCTTTAAAGGCATGTCTTTTATTTTAAATTTTCATTGCAGCAAAATACCTTCTATTGAAATTTTACTTATTTTGAATGAGTTATGTAAATAAAATGATGCACTATTTTCTGAAGAATAACTATTTTTGATGCATCAAGGGTTAAATGAAACACTGCTAAGATACAGTTATAGTAAAGGTCAGGAAATGACTGGTGCATGCAATGCTTGATTTAAAAATGAACTCTTACAGTGTTGGCTGATTATCTTCCTTGCATGAAAAAATCCAATGCCCTTTTCAGGATTTGAACCCAGAATGGTGAGGGGCACCAGTATAGAACATTGCCAGTGTACACATTTGTGCAGTCTGACCAGACTCTATACTGTTTGCTGGTTAACTTAAAATTTTAAATATTGAAATCATTTAAACTAAAAAAAAAGACTGTTTCAAATTAAAAAAAAACAACAGGATAAGTTGATTTATATAAATACAGTCACTGTGGGGTGAAGGTCGATAACTGTCACTTTTTATTTTGCTTAGATTTTGGTGTTTGTAAAGTTTCAATTTCTTAAAGTTTTAGTTAGTGTTTAAATTCTTTGTGCTATAGTCATTTGGTTCACAAGGTTGTCAAAAGATGGTGTTGCTTGTGACAGAGACTTTTATTACAGAGAGATAAGAAGCTCTAAATATAGAACATTTTCAATGCCTGACCCACAGTCCTTTGCGCGAGATTCACTTTAAAGTGTATAACGTAGTAGCTTCCTCTCCATAATTTAAATATGAGCCGCGTCATGACAAAACCAACATAATGGGTTTGCGACCAGCATGGATCCAGACCAGCCTGCACATCCGCGCAGTCTGATCAGGATCCATGCTGTTCGCTATCAGTTTCTCTACTTGTAATAAGGTTGGTAAGCGAACAGCATGGATGCACAGGCTGGTCTGGATCCATGCTGGTCACAAACCCATTATGTTGGTTTTGTCATGGCACGGCTCATATAGCTCTGTGCTTGTGACTAATTTGATTTATTTTTGAAAGATGTTTATGAATTTATTGTTTATGGATAGTTTTGAAATAAATGAATGTCAATGAATATCTGAGTCTAAAATGTTAAGCATACATGTATTTGTATTACAGTCCTTTCTAGGTAGCTCAGTGACATAGTATTTGTTGTAACACATATATGTACCTTGTAATTTGGTTTATAATATAATGGTATTGGGCTAGACATGGTATTGAAAGGCAAACAAACACAAATCCTTAGGAATCTTTTTAAATTTAAATAACATTTTCTGATGGATTTAAATTATAATTTCCAGGAGGAGGACAAAGGAGAGCAACCAGAAGGGGAGACAACTGCTCCAGCAGAAGATAAAACTGAAGAACCTAAAGAAGAAAATGAACAAAAAACAGAAGATGAACCCAAAGCGGAAGAAGAGGCTAAAACTGAAGAAGCAAAAACTGAAGAAGAAAAGCCTGCAGAAGAAAAGCCTGCTGAAGAAGAGGCAACATAATCTCCCCTTGTGTTTATTTCAACTTTGTTCTCTTATCATACATCCATTTATCAATTACATGTATAATACATTTAATTTGTATGTAATTCTTCATTTTGTTAATGTGTTAATTTTAAACAAGAAAGCAATTTTGTTTCACAGGGAATTCTGATACTTTTTTTTAAGTTAAAATGAAAATATAGAAAATAAACAACTTTGATCAGTTCTTAGTCTAGAGCTAGCAATTTTGTATGGTGTGATTATCTAGAATGAGAAATTCTTTTTCTTTTTTTTGGACTTTTTTATAACAAAAATGATATGAGTGAATAAATGCTATCTGTGAAAACAAAATTAGGAAAGATATGTGCATTTAATATTTGAATATTTCTATATATAATTGTCTTTAAAAATAAATATCTCAGAGATGCAATGTACAATTGTACTTGCATAAAGCCAGTTTGACAATCATTGTATTTTTTTGTAACATTATATTTCTTAAGATCAAAAGAAGTCAAGAATCAAAAATATAGTGCAATTTATTTTATCAGTAGTAGTTCCTAGAATTCTGTTTTGTAGATAAAATTATAGAAAAATAAGATGTTAATATCTGTGTGGCCATACTTTGATTGCTTTAACATTTTGGGTGCTTTCTTAATATTGTAAGTTTTGAGTCATGTATAATTCTTGCCATGAATTTACACACAATTAGACTAGTTTTCATTAATTATCAGTCCAGGATTAGTACTTGTATCAGCATTATTATTGTCTAGTTACTGATATACTTCAGTACTACTAAGTACTACTGGGCCTTGTTTTATTTAGCGTTTTTTTGTCAATGTAATTTTAATTGAATACTAGTCAATAGTACTGAAATGATATCATTCTGTTCGTATAAATGAAATTGACTTTTTATAAACATTCCTAATTTTCATATAATATTCTTATCAATATCAGCATTTAAATGACCCAACAGAAAACAAAAGGAAAATTCTAAGTTCTTATTTCTATCATAAGTTCATTATAGTTAGAATGATGTTGTATTAATTACATAAAATGTTGTGATAAAGCATTGTCCAGAAGTTTATTTCTTTTATTTGAAGTTACTTTAACTGTATGTGACAAAAATTAAATCATACTGTAGTTAAAAATTGTCCTGTTTATATAACTGTTAATTATAATTGTTAAATATCTGTGATTGAATCTAGAATTTACATGATCTACATATGTTTTTAGTCAGTGTTTGAATAAATGTAAATTATTCTTAAGCTTTGTTAATTTTTACATTCATGGAAATAGTAAGTCGCTTGTTGTTCAGTTATTCAATGAGACAGTTGTTTTACAACTGAGATATTGTTATCAAACTGGTGGTGGTGGTGGTATTGGTAGTTTCACTCAGGATCACGGCAGTAAGCCACATTTACCAGAGCACAGTTCAGTCACCGCATCGTTCCTGGACAGACTTTCAGGCAGTTTACCAGTACTAGTTGCCTTCACTGCAAGGACCTGAAACTTCTGTACATGTCAAAGCAGAGGCACAGTGCGAATGTCTATAGAATGGGTCTCATGATAAATCACAACGAAAATGACCTGCACTGTCCGGGAACTGAACCGGGGTCGCCCGATTCCCAGTCCATTGTTACTTAACTTGGTGTATAGCAAACCTATGTAGTGACCTTCCTATTGAACCTTTTATCAAGGTTAAAGTAACTAAAACTAGAATAATGTAATCGGGATGATAATTAGTTAGGAATTTGTCATTGTCATGAAACTTGGTGTAAAGGAAGCTTATGTGGAGATCTCCCTTGTGATTTCTTGTGGACCCCCAAGGTTCAAGTCATCGTAACAGAAAAAAACGACAGAAAATGGTTTCCGGATGATAACTAAGAGTTAGAAATGAGATGTTGAAATCAAACTTGGTATAGAGCAAGCTCATATGGAGTCAGCAATGCATATTGATACCCTTTGGTCAAGCTATGTTACTGTTACTTAAAATCAAAGCACTGAATGTACTGATGGGGAGGCTATGAGAGAATGTTTCAGACTTATAGTTTCTTTTTTTTTGCTTAAAATACGCTACCAAAATAAAAAGATATGCACATTGCGCTATTTATCCTTACTGTTGTGTTCAACCATTCATATATACGGTTAATGTGGTTGACTATTCATTTTGTTAATATTCCAGAACATTTAATTGAGGTCTACATTCGGACTGTTAATCATGCAAATTTTGAAAAACCTAAACTGTCAATAATAAATGACATACCAGCAAGTATGACGACTGTTCATTATCAAGATAACAATAAAATTTTACAACTGACGGTTCCTTATCAAAATATTCTAGGACTGTTCATCATAAATACTTTATGTCATTTTAATATTATTGAATGATAATAACAACTGCAAGTGATGCAACATTTTTATTGAACATAAAATATTATACACGTTTGATGTACCATAATTGAGATCAATAAGATACCTGTTTGTGATGATATTAATATTCATGCTCTACGGACAGAAGGTTGTCTTCTCCAGAAGCAAATCTCGAATAAAATCACGTTTCAGAAAATTAATCCCATTTCATTACTGACGGCGTCGGATAATATTAAAGCTAAATATTTTTGAAAAAATACATCTCTGCAAAGCTTATTCAAAACTGAATCAACCTAAGTGAAAATTGATCAGGAAGTTATATCTTCTTTTTTTACCGCCAACACTCAACCAACTTATGGTAGTTAATCGATAGATTCTACGTGTATTTTTAAACCTCACTAGCTTGAAATATATGCTGCGGAAAAATCTGTTGTCAACAGGGTGTGCGGTTATTACGTAGGGTTTTCCCTGTCGACCATTTCCCGCAAATAGATGAGAACATCGAAGCCGTCAGTGCTATGAATGGTGTATAAATGGCGTGTTTTTGGAAGTTTTTGTTGAAACTTCTCCAAAATACCTCCAGAGGCGTGCAACGTCGCGGAGAAGGCAAACGGAAGGTCAATGTCAAGTCATCATAAGTACCAGAGGTGATTGGTTGACCTGTCGTGACTTACTCTGGAGGTTTGGCGCTAATAGATGCCGTTTTTGTTGTCGTCAGTCAGAAAGTTGATGCCTTGAGGGTATTGTCGTCTCCTTTACCACAAAAGAACGAAGAATGGGCTTCCAGGAAGAATCTGCTTGAAAAAGACGGTTGATGCTAATAAACGGACATAAGGTTTTTTCCGGGGCCGATTTTAAAAAAACTTAAAAACCAAAAACAACTTTTTTTTAAAAACAAAACAACAACAATTTTTCGGTTGGAATTTTTTTTTGGGGGTTAAAAAGAAAAGAAAAACCTCTTAAGGGCGCCCATTTTAGAACACAACCATAAAAGTTTTTTTTTTTTTTTTTTTTTCAAAATAAACAAATTTAAACACTTTAGCGGGGGGCGCAAAAATGTTTTTTAAAATTTAAAATTTTTGTAAGATAGTTTAATTTACCCCGAGCCGACCGGGGAAAATTTTTTAAATTTTCGGTTTTTTTTTTTTTGTTTTTTTTTTTTTTTTGTTTAAATTAAAAATTCCTTTTTCTTTTAAAAATTTTTTTTACCCAAAAATTGATTGAAAATTTAATTTAATTAAAACCCTGGACTATAAAATTTTTATGTATGGCCCCAGAATTTAAAAAACTTTTTTAAATTTCAAAAAATACGGGGTCCTTTATTTTTGCGTCCTTTTTCCTTGGGAAAAAATTTTATTTTTTTAAAAAAATATTTGCCCACAATTTTTTGTCCCAAATTTAAGCTTTTAAAATTCCCGATTTTTTTGTTTTCGGGAAAAAACTGTTTATTTGTGTTTTTTAATCAATTGAATATAAAAATATTTAATGGGGTCACCCCCCGGAAACGCTACTAGTACTTTTGGGCATTTTTTTTACCACAAATATTTAAATTTTTTTATTTTGGGGTTTAAAATTAGCAAGTTTAAACAACCGTAGTATTTAATTTCCCGAAACCCGTTCCCAATTTTAAAAAAAAAATTTTTTAATATTAAACTTTTACTACAAAAATTCCCAAACAAAAGAAAAATTTTTAAATTTTTTCCTATACAAAAAAAAAGATAGAAGGTTTGGGATTGTCAATTGCCAAAAATACTTTTTTGTTAAAAAATTTTATTTTAAGGAATTTTTAAAGATGAAAATAATTTGCTTTTTTTTTTTTTTGGGTAAGTAAAAAATTTAAAATTTTGGGGGAATTTTTTTGGGGGTCCTTTCGGGGTTTTTTTTAAATAGTTTTTTTGGTTTAATTTTTTTTAAAGAAAAAATAATTTTTCAAAACATAGTTTACCAACAGGGAATTTTTTTGTTAAATGTATGCAAAAAATTTACTAAAAAGTTTTATTTTAGGGGGGTTTTTTGACCCTTTTTCCCCGAAAGGGGCCCCCGGGGGGTCCCAAATTTAAATTTTTTTTTCCCTTTTTTTACACCAACATGATCCATTTCTGAAAACGGGAAGGAAATTTTTTGTCTTTAAAAAAATTAAGGACTATTAAAAATTTATAAAAAAAAAGAACATCCATATTGAAAAACGGGGTTCCCAAAGTTCAGTTTAAGACCCGTCATAAACAGTTGGTCGCTGCGTGTAATTTTTGGGAAAAAAATTTATCAAAAAAAAATAAAAAATATTTTGCCCACTGAATTAAAAAACATTTTTCCCAAAAAATTTTATTTAGGGTTTTTTTTTAAAAAAATTGATAAAATTAATTTTTAAGGGGTTTTTTTACCAGAAAATTTTTTATACAAAAAGTAAATATTCCTAAAAAATGATTTTCCCGGGGGGAGTAGACGTACGGAGGGAGGAATTTAAAAAAAAAAAATAAATTTTTTTTTTAAAGAAATTTTCTTTCCCAAATTTCAGATAAAATTAAAAAAAAGAAAATATTTTTATATTTTAATGTCGATGAGTATGATCCCCTTTGAAAAAATTAAAAAGGTTTCTTTTTTTTTCCTGTTACCCCGGGGGAGTAAAGAAAAAACCCCGGGGGTAAATGTTTTCCCAAAAAATTTAAAAAAATTTTTTCAGAGAATTTTTATCTTTTCAAATGCAGATATTAAAATTAAAAAAATGAAAAATTTCATATTTTAAAAATTTTGTGATATGGGTGAGTCAGGTTTGAAAAAAAACAAGGAATTTTTTTTTTTGAAAACGGGTTTTCCGGCAGTAAAATTGACAAAGGGTTTTTAACATTGGGGGCCCGGGAAAAAGCCTCCCAAAAAAAAAGGTTTTTTTTTCAAAACTGTCGGTTTTGGCCCCAAAAAACAGCTTTTTAAGGCTAGAAGGGCACCCGGACATGTCAAAGTTATCCCGTAAATGGTCAAATTTTTTAAACAAAAAGTGGCGATAAACCCTTTCCCGCATGCAATTTAAAAATTTTGGGTTTTTTAGCCCAAAGATATGAAATTTTTTAGGCCCAAGTAAGTCAACTGTAACCCCGTAAGTAAAAACAAAAAGTACCCAAAAAGGGGACAGTAGTTAAATTGAAAAAATATGAAAAGGGGGTAAAGGGGATAAGGGGGGGCAAGAAAAAGGGGCCCACTTTCGAACCTCACTGGGGTACTTGCATAATTTTCATAAAAAAGAGAGTTTATAATAACGCAAAAATTTTTACGGGGCGACGAGTTCATAAAAAAAGAGCAACAAAGAAAAGGGGGGTACAAAGGCCCCCCTTCTTTAAAGTTTGGGGCAAAAAAATGTATTTTTGAGAGGGGGTAAACTTAAAAAAGTCAAAGCTTAAGAAATGAAAAATTTTTAAAAAAAATAAAAAAGTAGTTCAAAAGGGAAAGGGGGCAATTTATTTTTGTTTTTAAATTTTTTTTTTTTTTGGAAAATAAAGAATTATGGGAAACGGAAAAATGCAAAAAGAAGAAAAAAGCCCAAAAAAAAAATAAAAGCACCTGGCCCCCAGTTTTTGGCCGTTAAATGTCGGGAACGCCTTAAAATGTGCCTTGCCCCTAAAATGGTTTGCACCATTGCCCCTTTAAAAGTCCCCCAAAACCCCGGTAAAAAGTTTTGCAAAAACATTTGGGCCCTTAAATTTTCGCAAAGTGAACGTTTAAAAGTTTTGCACGAATTTTCCCCTTTCCCCTTAAAATTTTCCGGGACACATCGTTTAAAAAACGCAAATGGAAAAATTTATTTTAAAATCTGAAAATTAAAAATAGTAAATCTTAATTTTTTTAACCTTCCCCCAGTTTTTTTTTATTGTAAATTTTTCCAAAATTTTTTTTTTAAA